TGTACACGTACTGCACTTGATAAGGTATCATCCTCGAATTAATCTTGCGCCGTGCGCAGCGCTTGGCTCTCGCGCGTATATTATTATTCTTCGTTAATACAGACGTTGCCTCGAGCTCGAGTCGTTTCTTTGAAATCTCTCGTACATCGTTTCGACAATTCCAATTAGTAGGCGAGTTGCAGCCCTCGATCGCGTTTATCGATAATTTGCTCAATTTCGTATGCCGTCCCGCGCGATTAAACCACAATCGTTATTCAGTTTCGAGTCACGCGGCGCGTGCCAAAGTAATTACGACCTCGGCGGTTTGACTAATGTGACAATGGCGACCAACAAAAAAAAATCAACAACAACGACGTCGTATCATTATTCGAGTGGACAAAATTTTACCCCTGAGAAACAAAGTCGTGCATTATGGAGCTGTAATTAGATCAGTAAAAAGCAGACGCGCATTAGAATATATACCCCGACGCGCCGCGTACACATTCAATTATAATGGCAATTTCCATCTGTCGATATTTTCTCGAGCGTGAATTAATTCACCTATGTGTAATATCGACAACGATTCTATCGAAGGCTCATTTCGACGAATAGGGAGGAATTTTTCTTCCCGATGCGCCAGAACAACTGCGGCTGACACTTGTTCATAAAAATGACGATAGCTGCGAGGAAGATTAATGCGGCCTAATCGACTTTGTATTTTCCTCGGTCTCTGCGCTTTGCAAGCCATTGCACACGGGTCTGAGAGCAAAAAAGGCCTGCAAGGAGGAAAAAAAAAATTTAACGATAATTATGCCACGGGCCGGGCTGCGTATACATCCTCCCTAAAAGTGCCGTACGTCGGCGCATATTTACGAGATTGTAACGCGCGCTCGCGCAGTGATAAATTTGCAGATTTACCACTGCTTCGCAAAAAAAAAAAACACGAGTAAAGAAAAAAAACGAGCGACAGTAATCACTGCCGAGCTTGATGGAGTATCGCGCGAGCTGCAGGTGATTTAGCGCGGGTATCGCGATAAATATCATCGCTGCTGGTCGTAAGTTTTATGATGAATCGGCGCGTACGAGCCAAGCGTCGATCCGTACTACTGGGTAAAATAGGCAGTAAACGCTCGTTCGTTGACTCGTACGTGCGCCGCATGTGCGCGGCTCGGTCGAATCTCGGTGGCCGCGGCGGCGGCTGGGCTTTTAACAAAGTTTTTCAACTGGATTATGAAGCGAATTAGCTCGATGCAAGCATCAAAAGCCAAAAGCAGTCCTTGATGCTGCCACACAAAGGATATGAAGCTCGACGTGCACGTCGGTCCGCACACAGCAACGATATTATCCCAAGGTACTTCGCAATGCGCATTGACGTATGCATAGATAGCAAGTTTCCAGCGCATTTGAATAATTTACACACTTGCTGAAACGCATTAAAAATAAATAGATGAAGCTAGCCAATACACTTTCATAAATACATACATGTATATTTGCTAACAACCTGCTGCTACGAAGCATATGAAAATTGATTCCTAAAATTGATATAAAACTCACTTGTGTATACTTTGAGCGCGCGAAATTTATCAAGCACGAAAGATCTAAATTTATTCCTTGCCTCGTCATCCTTTTCATCGTTGTCGTCGTCGTTGCCGCCGTCTTTGTGATAGCAACGGCTGGATGTATACGCGATACAGGTGAATTCGAAAATTGAATGCAGTCGAGAAGATATGTACGAGATATCTTTGACAAGAACAAAGCTTATTTATAAACACACGAAGCAACTGATGATACATGCTATATGAAACCTTACCTATCGATTTTATTTGTTGTTTTTTTCCTCCCCTTCCATCTCGTTACTACACGTGTACGACGCGTGTAATAAATTTATCATGCATGTATACGCGACCCCATTTCTACGTGCGATGCGAGCTCTTTATCTATTTATAAAAAAAAAACGTTGTATATATTTTCCTCGGAGCTTTTCGAATTTTTGACACTGATCCACGGACGCGAGACCAAATCGCAGTGGCTGTGTGCTCATGTACACGTTTGCATATGCGGGTGGAACGAGATAGAGAGAGAGAGGGAGAAAATTTTAACGGCTGCACGACGAGATTTCGAAGCTAAAAGCCTGGAAATATATGCGAAGAATTCGAAAAATGTTCTTCATTCTCGGTCCGCGGTAAGGGGCTGCAAAAAATGTCACATCGCTTTTGCCTGCAACTGTGCGCTCGTTCGCGCGTGGATTACCGCGACCGAGCGAGAATCGTACGTGGCTCGTATTTTTGCTTTGTTACGATGAAAAAAAAAACAAGAAGCGCTGGAATTTTTCAGCCCTTCTGCCACGATCAGATTTTCACTCGAAACGAAAACATTTGAAAAAGGGAAAAATAAATACGTATATATATTGGAGAAAGCATCGGGAAAAAGATGCGAGGAAAGCTCTTTAGCCGGAAACAAAAGATTCTATCGGTGTACGAGGCCGAGCTCATCGGACTACTCGACGTCGCGTCAATCAACGTCCGAGTCATTAATTAATAACCCATCGTTTATCTCAATATAGCCTTTTCGCCATTACACGGAACGACGACACGGACTCGCGGCGCGTCCGATAATAGGAAGAAGCAGAAGAAAAAAATGGCTGCAGCGCGCGTACGTTGTATGAGCGATCGATCGGCGCGAGCTTTTCACGCTAATTAAAGCAGGCCGCGCGCAAAAAAGCAGCGTGCCTGCGGTGGCGTGCGCAGAACAATGAGCCGCGCGCATCTCGCCGAGAATAATGTTCGACGGAGCCGCAGCCTCGAGTTTGTAACAACGGCAGAAACACGCCTCGGGAGCTGTTCTCCGGGGGCCAAGTCATCGACTCGGAGATTGATTTATGCTAGCCGAGCTTGCACGCGCATAAAATGTGCTTTGGATGTATAGCTCCTCGCAAGCACGTCGTAAGCGCATCGCATACGCTCGCACGAAAGAGGATTATTCGTCCGATAAGTATCGAGCGAGCTCCAACGAGATCGATAACATATTCATTAAAAAAGGATTATTCGAGTCTTTCGTGGCGAGGATGACTGGCCAGGGGAGCTGCCTCGATGTCGCGGTCTACTCATTAGACTGGAGAGTTCCGAGAGTCGGAGGCGCAGGCGCAATGGACAGCTCGTGCGTTCGTCTTATTTAATTAGGTAATAAACAAAGACGAGCCACGGCGTATTGCGAAAGTCGCTTATATATATACTAGAAGATAACTCGTGCTACAAGAGAAGCTGTGACGCTCGGCTTGCTTACTCCATGCCAGGCTAATTTAATGCCTCGGATAAATATACTGCCTCGGTGTTTGCGCGAGCTACACGGAGGCAAAAAGGCGCGCCAAGCGGTAAACGCCGCCAAGAATTAATCGCCTAACTCGTATCATATTATGCACATAAAGTGTCAGAAGAGAGAGAGAGGGAGAGAAGAGAGTGGTCGAGGCAGAAGCGGGTAAAACGAAGCGACAACTTGCGAGCCACATATGCGCGACAGCCCTGAAGAAAGTAGGCACTCGTACATACTTGGAAGTAGCACGAGTAGTGTTTCTACTCGTCGAGGGACGCGTATTTATTCCGAAAGTTGCGCGCGCGAGCTTTATTCCGCGAAAACGAATCAGAGATCCCGAGCTGGCGTGTGTGTGGCTGCGTGTGTGGGGCAACAGGTAGGTCTTTGAAGCCAGCCGTCGTCATCGCCACCGCCGCCGTGATACCTATAGGTGTAACGATCATCCCCCGGCCTTGGCACCTTTCGCTACGCAGCGAGCTCAAAAGAAAGCCCGCTCTTTGTTGCTCTTTTGTCAGACATGCGCAGCTACAACAGGCCTCTCATCACGTACTATACGCTTGCTATGGATTTCTGATGTTATCTTGTATACGTGTGGGGGCTCGCGTCGTGATCCGTGCAAGCCGTAATTTTTCTTATGAAATGGCCATTTTACACGATGTGTCTGGCGAATCGTACATCGAGAACGAGCACACGAGCGAGCCTCGAAGCAGCGCCTGATGTAACGCAATAAAGACGAGCAATTATATCGCGAGTGCAACTGTAGAAGCGAGAGAGCGACTGTACACGGCCCGAATCGCGTGAGTATGGTCTATTGTAATGCATACGAAGTACGTGTATAAGCAGCGCTCGACACACAGGAGACAGGCGCGTAGCGAGGATTCCCCGAGGAGCAGCTATTCGTTTCTCGGAAGCAACAGTGCCCCGAGAGCTGCTCCCGCTGACTTGTAAATGTCGCTCGCGCGTATAATGTGCCACCTTTAATCTGATTCTCCTGCACGAGTACGACTCGGCCTGGCCGGCTCCTAAAGCCTTCGACGTAAGGATTTTCGCGCCAAACTCTGACCTCGATCTCTCGAGGTCTAATTAAAAAATATGAAAATAAAATATGCGAGAGCCGAGCGAGGCAGAGGCAGCGAGACACGTATACATAATGCATGCGACGTAGTAGTGAATGTGTGCGATCGAATGTGAAATTTTATTCTGGTACTTGTATAATGGCGTTAGACGTCGTATAGCTCTAAACGACATTTATCAAGGACTCTAGCTCGGCAGCGATTCTCACTTGGCTCCAGTCCATAACAATAGAGATAGAAACTTGTTCTTCGAGCTCGCTATATCTATGTATGTCTATCTACTCGCAGCTATACATACATCTATATACATATACCTATACGACGGAAAGTAGTCTATTAAGTACTATCTAGAGCTGCTGGCGCTATCTGCGCCTCCGCTGCCGTTGCTGCTGCTGCTTCTGGATCTTTGCTCGAAGTAGCGATGCTCTTGCTTCTGCAGTTCCTCGAAATCGCCTCGATCCAAGCTCTTCAAGTACTCGGACATACTGCTTGGCCGGCTAACTGCCTCTTTCTCAGCTTTCTCATCTTGTTGCTTTTGCTGCTTTTGCTGCTGCTGCTGCTGCTGCTGCTGTGGGGAATTAGAAAATTTCGCTTTTCGACTGATAAACCATCGACAAAAATCAACTTTTTTTCTCCTACCCCCTGGAGAGACGAAGAAAGCGAAGCGTTTTCCTCGATTCGACTTGTCGCACTCGCAGCAACTTGCCGTGGCTCTTGAGCTAAAACGTCAAGCGCAAAAAAATCACGATGTGTGAAAAAAGGTAGAGGGCAAAAAATTCACTTCAATTTCGATAGGTCGTTTCTCGTAGAAAATAAAAATGTACGTACGAGATTTTACATGCTGCGGTTGATCGTCGGTAATCTCCGCGATCTTTAGAGCCTCGAACTTGGCTTCGTCGAGGATAATTTTCGGCTTGGCCAATAAAATCGGCGTAACACTTTGACTCAGAGCCCGGGCTTTCTCGAGCAATTTCATGACTTTTATATCGTCCTCGGAATCCGAGCACGACTCGGCGTTCTTTTTACTCTTATCCTCGGTGACTGGGGGCTTAGTCACTCTGATGTACGGGTCGATCGGTGGCAGCGAGCCCTCCTCCTCCTCCTCCTCCTCCTCCTCCTCCTCTTGCTGGCCGTGACTTTGATAGGTAATAACGTCGCTTGGCTGAATTTTGACGGCGTCTTGGGCAGCAACATCCGGCGCTAATCTAGCCCTCCTTCGCTCGTTCATCGTCCTCAGCGTTTTGGCCACTCTGTCGATGAGCTGCTGCACGTAGTCGAGCGTGGCCTGGTCGTCGAGCCGATCGGCGAGTTTAGCCGCGCTCTTGAGCGTGTCCACGGCCTCGACCAGTTCGTTGAGTTTGAGCAGGCACTGGCCTTTGAGCAGTTTGGCGCGCAATTGCCATTTGTCGTTTTTTTTACTCGCGGCCTGCTCGTGACAAGTCTCGGCGGCGTCGAGCGCCTCCTCGTAACGGCCCAGCTCGAATTGACATTTGCCGATGTCGTGATACAGCCAGACCGATCCTATCGACTCCTGAATCGGGACGAAAAAACAAACGTAATGAGCATCGTAAAGAACCTCCGCGACACGCGTCCAGCTAGACGACTCGAACTTTACGAGCTCGGGGAGACAGACAAAGTTATTTTACTGCGTACCATATAAAAGCCGTAAAAGCGGCTTAATCTAGCCTCACCGATTGGAGATCCGGGGCGAGCTTCAGCCAGAGCCTCAGCAACGCGTCCAAATGGCCAAATCTCAGATGGATTCGTCCGATGGCCCTGAGCGCCTTGATCAAGGCCTCGTGGTCGTTGCGGGTCCTCGCGGCGAACAGCATCTTCGCGGACAGGTCGACGGCGCGGTCGTGTCTCTTCAGTTCGAGCTGCTTGTCGATGAGAAGATCGAAGGCGCCGAATCGATCGGCGAGGGCCGAGGGTTTCTCGTTCAGCGAGAGCAGATTGATGAGCTCGTCGCCGAGGTCGCGCACGCCAGCCGAGTCTCCGGCCTCGCAGGCTGCCTCCAGATCTCGGCAGGTGGATTTCACGCACTTGTCCAGCTGTCGGAGCATCGACTTCGAGCGGATCGGACGCGGCGACGCTCGGCCAGTCGAGTCGCCTGCGGGCCAATAGTTCTCTTGCGAGTCCAAGAACCTGCCGAGAATTTCCGTCGTTCGGTCGCGAATAAAATACTCGGAGACACGAACTCGGTCAACTTACTCGAGTATCTTTGGGATTTCTTGGATGGGGTCGTCGGCCTGCCTGACAATGCTTCTAGCTCTCTTGGCCGTGGCTTCGGGACACAATAGGGCCGCTGCTCGTTGCCCAGAGAATCTCGAATCCTTGATCGAGCGCGGAATTTTTCTGTTCAATCGAGCCGCAATCTTGATGGAGGCCTCGGTACGCTGAATCGCTGCCTTGTGCTCGGTGTCCCGCGGACAGAGACCCGCGGCTCGATGATAGAGTACGAGGGCCGACTCGTAATCTCCCCTGAAATTAGACGGTTCGAGCGAGAAGGAGGAGTTTGAAAGAAAACCACTCGATAGGAAAGATTCGAAGCAAACAACATGCCAGTGTGTACGTGCACAGCAGAGCTCGCCTCGAGACGACGGCAAAAGTTTCTAAAGCAGCTTTTGATTTATTATTTTGTGGCTTCCCGAGGGCTGGCGCACTTACCGCGTATACGGTTTCGAGCTCAAAGGAGAGCAGCGACGAGGACGACAACAAGGAAAAAGACTCACTTGCTATAAAGTTGATCGGCTTCTCGATGCAGAGCCCGAGCACGACTTTTTTCGCTGACTTTGTGCTTCTTTTTATTCTGCTCGTCGGAGTGGCGCGCCTCGATCTCGCCCACCACCTGGCGCGGATCGGACAATTCGACAAACCCACTCGGCTCCTCATCTTTCACGAGGACGTGCTCGGTGGCCACTCGGCCCCCCCTGCCTCGCGCTAATCCGCTCAGACGCGACTTTCTCTTCAGCATTTTTATCCGCGACTGCGAGCGAGCTAAAGCAAACAAGTGAAGTTGCTCCCGAGTCACTCGACAGCATTGAAGTTGGCTATTTTTTTTTTTATTGCATTCCAATAATTCTTACAAAACAAAACGCCTACGCAAACCAGTGCTCAAAGTTACAAAGAATATGTAAAAGATAAATTCGCGTTGTACAAAACTTGGCACTATTTACAGAATTGAAAGACAAAAAATATATAGGTGTCAACAGTCGTATTGGCTGAAATCAACCGTTCCAGGAACTGCCTTGCTCGGGGCGTACTTCTTGAGCATGGCCATCATGAGAAGGTTGTCCTCGTCCTCGGGCGGTCCCGACTGCACCGTGACCTTGGTGCTCTTCTTCTTTCCGGGCGGGTCGATCGGGTTGCAGCCGGGCATGACGCTGAGCCTCCTGTTGGCCGGCAGCGAGCCCATCGCCCGGAACAGCCGGTCCATCCTCGGCTTCATGTAGTCCGGCATGAGCTTGTTGATGAGCTGCTCGCGCTTGCCGATGCCGTCGTCGTCGCCCACCTGGCCGAGCTCGCTCGTCTCGAGCAGCCGCACCGTCTGCTCGTAAAAGTCCACGAGGTAGGCGCAGTCGAGCTTGCGCGCGTACTCGATGGTGGCCTCGGCGGCCTCCTTGGCCTCGGGCCGGTTCAGCTGCATGGCCTCGACGCGCAGCAGGGCGTGACAGGCGTTCAGCGCCCAGTCGTCGTGGCCCCACTCGATGCTCAGGTCCCGAGTCTTTTTCGCGTAAAATCTGCCCGCGTAACGAAACATCGATCCGTCTTCTACAGTCTGTTATCCTTATCCTTATATTATATAAAAAATACCTAGCCAAGTCGAATCTCTTGATCTGCATGAAGAGCTTGCAAATCTCGTGAAGCAGCCACAATCTCTCGAGCCTGCGCCTCGACAACGCCAGCCTCTGTCGGCACTTGGCGAAAGCCTGCCGAATATTCAGGCATCGCGGCCAGGCTAAATCCGAATCCTTGGGCAATTTCGAGCCTTTCAAGCCGATAGCTCGACGAATGTAGTTGTTCTTCTCGCGCTGCTGATGGGCTTGGAACTGACGCAGATCCCTCGGATCCATGTAAGCTCGGGCTGACATTCTGTAGAGGGCGTCGAGGAACCTCATGCGCTCGGGAAAGATGCTCAACGGGCTCGCAGCGAATCTCTCACGGGCTATTTCTACCAGTCTATTCTCGTCGGAGCAGCGGTTTAGAAAATCCGGCCGAGTCCATCGACTCAAGCTGTTGTACTACTCGTTACCTGAAAAACGTGTCGTAATCCTTGGCGAGCCTCGTCTGGTGTATCTGTCTGAGGACGTATCTCGCCGCGTTGAGCCTCAGGCACTTGGTCAGCTGAAGCTCCCTGGCCTCGGCCAGCTTGAGGCCTTTGCTCTTCTGAGCCTCCTGCTTGTATCGCACCGCGTAGAGGGGCCTGCGCGTCCTTATGGCCTCCTGCTGACTCTTGAGCCTCGTCAGGCAGTCCTTGGTGGCCTTGGTCACGCTCTCGCTGCCCTTCTCGTTGGGTATCCTCAGGCCCGGATGGGTCGTCATGTCGAGCAAAAAGTTCTTGTCGTCGGCCGACTTTTCCAGATAGAAGGCGGCGAGCATGCGATCGACCAGTCGGTGCTTGTGGCGCAGGTGCTCCTCGGGGTCGTTGATCGTGAAGAGCATGTGGTGCTCGCCGATCTCGGCGAACTCGTCGTCGCCCTCGTTTCTGTGCCGGGTCAGCTCCTCGCGATGCTTGCCGAGACGCTCGATCCACGGCTGCATCTGGAGGAGGACGTCGCCGGGCACGTTGACGCCGCAGCAGTCCTCGACCGTCTCGTTGGCCAGCAGCACGGCCTCGCGGAATCGCGATCGACGCTTCAGACCTCGATGCGCGTAAATCAGCGACTCGCAAAATTCTCCGATGTCGTAGAGCGCGCCCATGCGAGTCCAATAAGCTCCGAGGTGACTGGCATCTGTGCCGATTTGCAACCATTTCTTTATTCAATTATTTGACCGAAAGTATGAAAGCTAAATTTTATCAGCTTTATTTTCAAACAAGTATATTTCAACGAATATATTGCAGGTTGGTTATAGGAGCAATCGAGCTCACCTATATTCATGCATTGTTGGGCGACTTCGTTGGCCTGGGCAAACTGTCCGGACTTTTTCAAGGCCTCCGCCAGTCCCAGCAGGGTCCATATGAAATTTTCCTCGCCGAACTCCTTCGACAGCTCATAGTAGTTGATGCTCTTGAGGTATCTGCCCAAGGTGCAGAAGCGCCGACCCCACTCGCGATACAGCACCTGGCCGTTGAACAGTTTGTTCTCGTCGTCGTCGTTGGCGATCATCTTGACTCGGCTCCTCGCCCCTCACGATTCCATTCACTTGATAATTTTGATAGAAAAGGACGAGGCCGCGCGCGAATTCGGGAATCCGGACGACGCGCGCACGCGGCTCGGTGTAAACAAATACGCCTGCACCACCGCGCCGCCCGACTACCGCGTGAAAATAGCCGATATCACGTCTGCGCGCTGTATGCTCGGCAAACGTATACACGCAGTGCCTGTAAAGGAGCTCGCAGATTTGCGATTGCGATGACTTGGAAATGCGCAGAGTATGCAGGAGCTGCAGCGCCGTATCCTACGCGCTCATTGTATCGATTTTCGTTACACGCCTAAAGATGATATCAATATTTCAGCCACGTACATCGCTGAGCTATATAGCTGTATAGGTTTTTTCGGCAGGCATGCGAAGCCAAAGTTTGCCTGCGCAGACGCTTACACGACGTCGAGCTTTTAATTAATATTTCCCATCGTGTTTACGCGCTGCTTTACTCGGGTCTAAAGTTTTTACCTCCTTTTTACAGCTCCTCCTTTCTAAGCGGAAATTTCTCTAATGGTCTAGAAGCAAGTTTGACGGTAATTCTTTAATGAATTTCCCTGTCAAGGCGGCTGATGTAATAAATATCATTTTTCCCAGTCAGTTACACATAATAATTGGCTCGAGCGTCTTAAAATTCTCGACGACTCGGATCTTGCGATACAATACTCGATGCTCAGAAATTCTGGGAAAAGCGAGACGAATAAAATAATTTATCATTGCAGCGCGTAGCTACGATCGATGAAAATTCAACAGCCATCACGAGTTAAGCGGAATAAAAGGAAAGACATCAGAGACGCAATTTGGATTACGGTCCTCTTGGAGCCCGAGGACTGTGAGGACATTCTCGACTCAATGGCAATGCGCTGATGGCGTTGCTCTACAGATTCGCCCAACTGCCCGATCGCAGTGGCACCAGGGTATTCTCGTTCGTCGTCACCAGGAGCGTAGTGCGCGACCCCGAGCGCGACGTCACCAGCAAGGAGCTGGTATGCGGATTTCAGCGCTGGGCCGTGGCCTTTTCCCGAGGTGACAAGGTGAGTGTCCGACAATCCTCGCGGGCTGTCTCGTATGATTATCGTTACTAGCTCGAGTTACTAGCCGACCGAGTCGAGTATCGAAAATTAAATTTCATAGGCTTTTCGTGACGCTCTCTTTTTTTTCACGCGTTTCTATTCTTTCTTCTTCCGCACTTGGCTCAGTTTTCCCTTTCCCATCTCTTTCTCTCTCTCTCTTTCGCTCTGTTCTCTCTCATTATGTAACATGCTCACGTAATATAGCCATGGAAAAGGGCGGCTGAATTTTTCACCGTGAATAGTAGCTAAATTTTCATACGAATATAAGCCCGACGCGCACACGCATACGTAAACTAATTTTATTTTTACTTGGGAGAAATTTCGCGAATAGATGCAAATTCGCTTGATGCTTATTTAGCAGGGCGTTGTGCGTGCGTGCGTGCGTAGGGACCGTCATCGCGGCAGTTTCGCAGCTGCGTCAAGTGCTATCGTTACATGCAACTTCTTTCAAAAAGAGACAGATAATAATTTTCAATTTTTCAACAAAAAAATCTTGCAGAACTCTCCAAGTAAAAACGTCGCATAATGCGCTTTGTTAGATGCTCGCTGCTTGAGTTCGCTAAGGCTAAAAGAGGGAAAAAAGGATCAAGTCGTGAAAAGCCTCTGTAAAAACTGTGAGAGACAGTGTGTGAAAGAGAGTGAGAGAGAGAAAGAGAGAGAGAGAGAGGAAGGGAGGGAAGGAAGGGAGGGTTATACGATGATCCTTTTGAAATTTATTTTCTACCACTGGAATTACCATTTTGTTAGAGAAAAAGAGAGCCATCCACATACGTACGCGGCGGGAAGCAACAATGGCTCCTTCTTTTTTTCGGAAAAGGATAGTATATCGCATCTCGCTCTTGCTTTCTCGACGTTTGAACAATGAACGATCTTGTCTTTGTTTACTTTTCTCTCTCTCTCTTTCTCCTTCTCTGTCTGTGTTATTTTCTTGCACACTATAAGCACACTGTATGAGCGACGTGAGTATATGTGACCACCTCTTGGCTTCACGCTGCCTCTTCTTCTTTCTCGCTGTCTTTCCTCTCACCAGCCACGTAGTCGAGTCGGCAGCAGCAAGCAACGCTCCTGCAGCTTGTCTGATCGGCAGGTACTCGGGGTTTACCTGGTGTGGCGCGGGGCCGCGCCCGGCCTCAGGGTCTACGTCGACTTCACCTTTACCCTGCTGAATCGCGAGCACTTCTCCAGCAATGAGGGCTTCAGCGGCAAGCGGGTCAAGTTCACGTACGAGGCGCCCGCCCAGGGCAATCGCAGCTACATCTCCGTCGCGGATCTTTACAGCAGAAACTTTGCCGATCCGAACGGCGAGTTTCAGCTCGAATTGTCCATGGCCAATGTCAGGACTGTATTCACCAGCGAAGTAAGTATAGAGCCAATTTATTTTACGTATACATAATGCAACTATACATTGTACATTGTACATGATAATTCGAGCTAGAGTAGTGCATAATTATGAGAGGGGGGTAGCCGGGCTCATTGGGGCAAAGTCAAGCAGTAGCCGGAACCGTTGGGCGGCTGCGCCGGAATACCCCTGCGGTTCATGCGGCAGGCGTGCTCCTCGAGTCTCTTGGCAGCCGTTTCGGGGCCGTTTCGTTTTCTGCTCCAGAGTCGCTCGGCCACCGCCGACGCTCTCGGCCAGATTCTCTGCTGCACATTGTTCCTGCGCAAAGCAAACCAATGAACTCTCCGTATATAGATCCTATTATTACTTTCATTTGGTGCCGAGCTAACTCACTTGTCGACGAACTCGCCCCACATACAAGCCTCGCCACCGATGACGAGCTTCTTGTGCTCCTTGGAAGAGGCGAGGAAATTGAGCGGGTCGCAGTCGTAAAATTTGAGCCAGTCCCCGCCGGAGGCCAGCTCGCTCATGTACCAGCAGGCGGACAGCAGCACCGGATGGCCGGCAGCCGTGATCTTGGCCATTTCCTTGCGCCAATTGCCCGTCCAGACTTGCACGACCGAGTCCTTGGGCAGGTCCACGCCGTTATCGAAAACTTCCTGCCAGACGATCGACTTGAGCCGCAGCTCCTCGCACATGCCCAGGACCCGCTTGACGTACATTTCCTCGAGCTTATCGTACCTCGAGCTGATGTTGTGGCGCTCCATGAAATTGTTGACGCCGGGATTGCTTTGCCAGCACTGGAACGGCACCTCGTCGCCGCCCAAGTGAAAGTGATCGTCGACGAATCGCTCGGATATCTCACGCAGCAGATTCCTCATGAAGTCGTAAACTTGGGGCTTGCTCGGATCCATCGGGCCGAGTTTTCCCGTCGGCTGCTTTTTCTGATCTAAGCGAGTCAATTTTCGATTCAATTCCCAATCGACACGCGTCGCCATATCGTATATTGTATTTTAATAATAAAATAATTGTCTATCGACTAACCGTAACAGGTGGTCAAGAGATGCGGGTAGGCCTGACCCCAGGACCTCGTGTGTCCCGGCGTGTCGAATTCCGGCACGACCCTGATGGCCCGATATCGGGCGTGCTCGACGACCTTGGCCACGTCTTCGGCCGTGTAGAGCATCGAGCGATGATAAGCCCCGCGACGCGACAATTCCGGATACGCCGAGCTGACGTAGGGGAAGCTGTTGTCGTCGACGATGTGCCAGTGAAAGACGTTGAGCTTGTTGTAGGCCATGGCGTCGAGCGTGCTCAAGATCACGCTCAGGGGCATGTAATGGCGCGACGTGTCGAGCAGCAGGCCTCGATGGGCCATCTTGGGATAATCTCTTATCGCTTGGCTCTTTATCACCAGCTACGCGATGCGATGGAGAAAAAAACGGAACTCTGATTTCGCGTGGGTGTATGGATTTGGAATTATGTAGCATACCTTGCTGGAATTTCGAGGGCTCGCCAGCAGCTGGGAAAAGGTTTCGAGACCGCGGAGAATTCCCCATATCGAGTCAGCTTCCAGCCAAGCACTGCTCTTGCTTTTCTCTAGCACACTCAAATAATCTGCAACAGCAATTTCGCACTTATTAAGAATTTGTATCGTGTATCGATCTTCGTCTCTCTCTCTCTTTCTCTCTTTCCATCGTCATATATACATACACGACTCGTTGGAATGGAGGCGCGGGTATTGCTCGCACTCGAGTTGCAGATTAATCTCGAGCTTCCGCAGGTAGTTATCGCAGACGAGCAAGTCCTCTCCATCTTCTACCTTCCACTTGGCAGTTTTCGCCTCGGTTTCTATGATTTTCCCGTACCTTTTCACGGCGTCCAGTAAAATATCGCAGCTCTTATCGACTATCTATATATAGACAGGAAAACGAATGTCGTAGAAATTTATGTAGGTAGGTAAGTTTTGCGAATTCAATCGGAGCTTACGTGAAAGTCGAAGCTATCGACGTCGAGGCAAGCGTACAACTCGTGGACTTGCCGAGTGGCCGGAATGGGCCAGGGCTCGCCCAAGGTAGCCTCGAACCAGGGTCCGGCTTCGTCGTGCCATTGGCTGTCTATCGACGCTACCAGCTGCAGCAGCGAGCCAACGAGTACGATCCACGAGCGCATTCTTCCGCTCGATTGTCGACTGCGAGCCTCGCGCGATATTTATTTACTCTCTTTTTGCGAATGATGAGTATCTCGCGGACACGAGATTACAGTCTAAGATTGATGTTCTGTTGTTTTCGTTCGCGAAATGATTCGCTATTCGATTGTATCGTTCACTCGAGCGCTCAAATCGGACATTTTTAAGCAAAGGATTTGCTCTTGGACAATACTATACATTGTGCCGGTGCTCTCGGTAATGCTTTGGAATTTGAAAATTCATCAAATTCAAGCGAGGGGGGAAATATTTGAGCAGCAGTTAGGTCGCGGTCGGTATTAATTTTCTCTCATTTTGTACACATATACACGTGTACTCGCTGGCGGAGTCGACTAACTCGATCGTAAATAGCGAGTTGGAAAAGTTTTTAATGTCATTGCGAGTGTCGAGTGGCGAAGCTCGCGTGCCGCACATCTGCCCCAGTGCAGAGACAGAAGCAAAAGCATTCCCCTCAAAAAGTCAAGGTTTCCGCGAGCTCCCCCGTGAAATTTGCCGCCACTAAACGATCCTCGTCGGCACAGCCAGCGAAAGTTCACAGTAGTTGCGTAAGCGTTGTTTAACTTGCAGCTCGCGCGCAAGTCCAAAAGGGAAAGTTAATTAAGCCGTGCACACGTTGCGTTGCGTTACATTGCTGGCGCTGTTTAACAGGTCCGTCTGCCGTCGGGAGTCTTCGCCACGGGTCAATCGAAGCCGAACAAGCTCGAGACGAACTACTTCACGTTCGGCGGCTTCGACTGGAACCTCGTGGTCTACCCGAGCGGCAACAAGGAGGCCTCGAGCGACTCGTCGAGGCTGGCCCTCGGCAGCTCGGCCGAGGGGGGCAGCAGCAGCAGCAGCAGCGACCGCAGCGGCTCGAGCAATCGGCTCAGCGTCCACCTGGTGCGGCTGACGGGCTTCGACCACCAGTGCCGGGTGCGCTACATCGTCAGCCTCGGCGACGGGGACCGCTGCATCGAGTCCGGCCCGATCGAGGACCTCAGCGACGTGCAGGGCCGCGGCTACGGCTGGCAGCCTCGATGCCGCTGGTCCGACGTCGCCCACAAGGGCGTGCTCAGGCTCACCCTGGAGATGCTCGAGGCCAGGACGATATCCGAGGTGCTGGTGCAGGCCCTCGGCTCGGCTTCGCTGCCCGCGGCGCCCTGCTACGACAAGGACAAGCAGGCCTGGGCCATCAGGGCGGATCTGCACTCGGATACCGTCAGGCTGCACCTCGTCTACAAGGACATACACAACGTGCCGAGGAATCATTTGAGGTACTTACTACTATTATAAATACACAGCTGATTCGACTCTTTTTGTCCTCTGCACTTGGACGTCTTTGACTCGAAGCTCCGCACGAAAGTTTTCGCTTCGATATTATATTCCTGCGCTAAATATAGTCGCTCGAAGAATTTCCCGATAAATTTTCATAGTATTGGGCCGCGCAGTTTTTACATGCTCAAAGAAAGCCAGTAAAAGTTTTATCGGAAGCTCGGAATAACGTTTCTCTCTCTCTCGTTTCAATACTCGGTCGGATGAAAATTTATAATGTAAAGTACGCGCAATGATGCGTGCTGCTCAGTGAGAGAGCTCCGGGTAATTGGCTCGTAATGCGCAGGTTCGTTAGCTGGACGGCCTACCTGATCCACGGCGAGGAGCCCAACGTCGAGATCGTGAGCTTGCCCGGGGCTCCGTTCAGCCGCTACTACGCCCAGGAGCCCGTCGACGAGGGCATCATCATGGAGACGTCGCTGGGCGTGAACGAGGTCAAGGACGAGAGCTGCCCCTTCGTGACGGACAAGGGCCAGATTCGGGTGCGCATCGAGTGGAACGAGTCGCACCTGCTGTTCCAGGCGACCTACCACAAGTACGACGACGTCTGTCGCGTGCACAATCAGCAGATGCGCCGGGAAATAGCCGTGCTGCAGGCGGAGAACTACAGCCTCGAGAGGCAGCTCTTCAGTTACCAGAAGAGTCTGGCTTACGCTCAGGCTCAGCAGCAGCAGCAGCAGCAGCAGCAGCAGTCGCAGCAATCGGTAAGTCAGAGCGAAATATTTGCACTTGGATCGAATCGAATTCCGATGTTAAAAGACGTGTCTCGTATTTGCAGTCCCAAAGCTCGCATCATCATCACTCGCCGTCGAATCAGCAGTCGTCGCATCTGGAACGCTCGGCGTCGACCGACACCGAGTACGCCTGACGAGTGAGTCGCTATCCGTCGCAAGAACAGACCTACAAGCCATACCAGCAGCAGCAACAGCAACAGCAGCAAACTCAGCAGCAGCAGCCGCAACTTCAACGACCTCAGCAGCTGCTACATCAACATCAACGTCATCATCATCATCAGCAACATCAGCAGCAGCAGCAACAACAACAGTCACCGCATCATCAACTCGATTATCCTCATCACCAGCAATATCCGTCGCCGGGCCACAGACGCCGTCAGTTACCGACTTTAGACACGGCAAAGGTATTGTCGCGTGACGATTTAAGAGTACACGAAAATCTCGTTATGATGATGGATCGGCGATTAAGTAATGTTCAAGCTAGATCCTCTAGATCAAATTCGGCTGATTCGAATCCGTATCTGCCCGCGCCGCCGCTGATGATGAGCTGCGCCGCCGAGGCTACCTACGGAACGGCCGCGGCTGCCCTCATGGTGGACCTTCCTCACTTGCATCAACAGCAGCAGCAGCAGCAGCAGCATCAACACCAGCACCATCACCATCAGCAGCAGCAGCAGCCACATCGTCGACAGAGCATCGGCAGCGGAGCAGGAGGACGCTTCTTCGCGTTCGGCGGTGTGTCGGCACCGCATCAGCAACAGCAGCACTACTACTATCGGTCTTCGGGCCAAGCCAAGCAACGAAGACAGACCTTTTGGGAGACGTTGACGGGGCTCGTTTGCTCGCTCGGCGCACTGGCCACAAGAGCTGCCAAGATGGCTGCCAAAAAAGCAGAACCTCTTTGAGGGCTTTGACTTTTGCACACACACCCGTATGATAGATAACTAACATAGGCTTAGCTGGCAATATGTTACCACCACCCACACACATGGTTCGTTTCTTTGTAGATCTGTTCGGCGGACGGATAGGGTTTTTTCTCTACCTCTTTCGCTCACTCTCACGCTCTCGCTTCGGTTTTCCTTCATTTGTACATAATCAAATGTTTAGATAGGTCGGTTTTTCGCTTACACGTCGCGATACATGTAGGCTAAAAGTTTTCTGCGTGCAGACAAATCTCTGTAAGTTTCTACGTATGCAAATGAACTAAATGTATACACACACAACAAATGCTTCCAAAGATATATCAGATTATAATGTTAAGGATATTCCGCAGCCATGATATCTCAATATCTACGTCGTTCTTAATCGTCGGCACAAAACAAAAAGTTACAAACATACCATTGGTTGTTACTACTTTCAATACTATGAGCTAGGAAAATAACTGCTATCAACTATATTATACTGACAACAACAAAAATTATTCAATAAGCACGAGCACACTTTAAAAAAAAAACCAATCGGTGAGCGTCATTTAATTGCGTGACCAATGCATCGATACTTTAAATTTACAGTACGAATGTAACAAAAGAGTGAGGCAAGCACGAGTACCTGTGTGAATCGTTCGATAAATGATCCAAAAACAAAACTTTTAAGAGAATAAATATAATTACAGGTCACGTGAGGGTATAAAAGATAAGAGTACTGTGCTACTAACGAAATTTATCACGAGCATACTCGATCGACTAATTTTTTCGCCTTTTTTTACAATTAATAAAATATACAAGTACAAGTGCGTGCGAGTATTCAAATATTAATGGACAAAATATCACACAAACTGCAATGGCAAAGTCAGTGTCAGGAATTGAAAAATTTGAAATGGAATTTTATTTTTGTATTTTCTTTTACATTTGTTGTGGAGAAGACATAAAACGTTCGATGGGCTCGCGAGTTAACAGAAAAAAATTATAAAAAGCGGCTGTGTTGAAAAGATTTCTTATCTCAAAGTGTTTTCTGATCTACTTGTCAATTTCTATATAAAACTCCCTAATTTTCTCGTAAGAAAAAAACTCTTTTTCACCTTTGAAATGATCCCGTTGTTGCATAATAAACTTACTTATTAGAAAGAAACGTGTATCCACGCTAAGATAATTAATTCGTTGTTATTAAGATTTTATCATATAGTACGGCCGATTATACGAAAATTGATTTTTAAGCCACGGACGAAAAAGAAAGGGAATATATCATAGTTGATTAATTATAAATAATAATTATATATACACATAGCGATCATATTTAAATGTACTAGCAAACGAAAAAATACGAACAACAAAAAGTCCGGATACTGCGGGGAATGCAGCTTTTTATGGGGAAACTCTGTACGCTCAATTAGGTTGTCATTGTGCTAATTACTAGACGTATTAATCAATAAAAAAAAGCGTGCGGATATTTCGCGCGTTCAACTCTCGCTAACAATTCATACAATGATTTTAGAATTTCCTCTGAAAGGATTTATAATAAATAAACGCTAAACTCGTCTAGATACACTTCGATCTTGATACAATATATGAAAACTTTCAAACACTTTTGTACTCATATCAAATGAACGAACAATGCCTATATACACAAAGAAAAATAATCAGCTTTAATTGAGAAACGTTAAAATATACAAGAAATAAAAAAAATTGGTATTTGAGCGTGGGATATTAGGAAAAATATTTTTACTCGATGAAAAATGGAGTATTTACATAAATATTATAGACACTTGTGATGAGGTTTTTCTATTGAAGATAGAAGAAAATTTAAACGATTTTTATTAATACACGACACGAATTCTTATGCAGCCAGTCAAACATATACATACAGAATAGCTTGTGTCATTGGAGTTGGACGATGTATATACGATAGGTGCGTTTTATTGGCGTAGTTTTTCATTGGACTGTTCACTTACATACATGGATAGCTCGGCTTCGTTATACCAAGTCGGAAAAGTTTCGCCAGCGCAGTTCAACGATCGTGTCGCGATCAGCAGCCAAAGTTTGAGCAAAAATTCGACCTAAAGGCGCGCGTACATCATCGATCGCGAAATTCCAAACGGCGATTATTAGTTGCAGGCGCGCTAATTACCGTGTGCATGCGTCTCCGAAAATGCCACGCACGCATCTATGCTCGAATAATCGATCGATCGCCTACTCACGGCGATGCGCACATATACATGTAGGCAAGAAATACATCGGAGGCTTCGCTAGTCGGCTGCGACGCGTACGTGTGCGGTATATAAGCTCGCAACGATGCATATGCGATACATCTCTCGTCCCAATTATACGCGAGTTCGCCAATCATTATGATTTCAACTATTTGCTTACGTGTGTCGCTCTTGGCGTTTCACTTATCTCTAGCTTTTATCGACACTGTAAAATACCTCATTCTATGTGTATAATTTGTATATAATTATTTTGGTTAATTTTCACTGATTAAACTTATCTTGTACCAAAATCATTGTACGTTTTAAATAAAATATATATAAATATATATTCGTTTCTTCGCGTTTCTAAGAGCTATATAAATATACATTTAAACAGAACTGGTTTGTATTATAAAAAGAAATTCTAGAGTAAAAAAGCTATGGACAAATGAAACTATATAATAGTCGGTGTTAGAAAAGAAAAAAGTTATATTTTACAAATACATATGACGATCGTTTTGAACTTATTTTGAAATATTTTACATGTATTATAATAAGTGTACCATATATACATAGTTATATTATGAAGGAAATAATCGTTAGTCTATGAGAACTTGGAAAAGAACAAAATAATTATTTATTATCATGTGAACATGATGAGTACTATATATTTGTATTTCTGTATACAGAGTTGTCCAACAAAAAAATGATACAAAAATACTTTTACCTATATGCATTTATAGCCTAAAAATACAACTTCTATATTTGAGTGATAAATTAATTATTAAAATTACTTAATGTGTACAATAATTTATATTTTAAATGTCAAAAGAAAGATTGAATGGAAAACAAAAAGTGTCATAAAAGTTATGTTTTTATAAATTTACTCATTGCAAGAGTACGCACATAAAATAAATCGATTAATACAAATATGAATAACTTAATATAAATGTACCGATGGCATATCTTCTCAAGAAACGACTCACCATCATTTTTCACTCTCGAGGCGAATGCATAATTACGCAGACAAATATATGAACACATTATTTACACTAAATCCTGTTATCATGATCTAAAGATTTAATAAAATGAATTTAATCATTGTTTAGAAAAAACGTTAAAATTTTAGATAGTAAGTCACGAGTAATGGTTACAATATTAAAATTGAAACATCATTTTTACTTACTCAAAATCTGTGACAATTTCTTGCTAGTGAGCTTTTTATGTACTGTGTGTATATGTAAGTAGCTTAAAAGTTAATAAACACAATGATGACTTAAGTCAGCTGTAGCCAATTTTCAAGCGTATACGCTAATGATCACGAGTTTTTTAGTCTTAATTACCATAATATAAACTTTACATTTATGTATGGCTATGCAAAGCAAAAAAAAAATGACAGAGCACTGACAATCGCCAAAATTATATTCTTGCATTGTATCTCTTGATCTCTTGGTACTGTTAACGATACTTGTTGCAAAAAAATTGAAACAACCTGCACTTTTTACACCAAACACACTATGCGTTAATTGAATAGACATGCTTTTAAGGAAAAACTTATGGCGCATACTTATGTCATGCATTTAAAAATCTTTTGTTCGATGATATCACTGAATGTTTACAAAATATTTATGCACTTGAAATTATTAATGATCAATTACTAATTTAAAAAAAGAGTGAATAAATTTCATTACAAATTTTACTTCAATTAAAAAATATTAGCAAGTTATTCTCCAAGAATGTGCTAAATTAAAGTTGTCATAGTTTTATGACGAAAAAGTAATGTTAAAAGATATATTTTAACATTTTTTGAGAAAGAACGGGGGACCATTTTTCTTTCATGAATTAAATACGATGAGTTGAATGAATGAGGGTCCAATGAATCAGTGTTTTAAGTTTCAATGAAAAAGTATTGTTGCAAAATACTAAAAAAATATCTTGGAGAATACTTGTTCACAATTACTTTTGAAAATCAAAACGACTAATATTACAACAGGGTATATTAACAATTTACAATGATACGTTTAAAAATATTTATTGCGTAATTAAATTTGAATATAGTGGCAAAGATTTCGTTTTAACTCGTTGATATTTATTATAATATAAAAAACAAAAAAAGATAATCGAAAGATTGATCAGTAAATGCCAAATATTTTTACATTACTTAACTATAACTACAAATTTTTAATCAAACTAATAACACGTACAATTGAAGCATATCTATCTATACTTTATGGGTTATAATTTGAAAACACAGAATACAAATTCGCACTGAAACGATTTCTTTGAAAAATTTAATTTTCGATTTAATTATATACAATATATATGTAAAACATAATCGTCATATCAATATATGAAACACTTTGAATTATATAAACATGTCATTTACACAGGTGAATACGCATATGAACAGAAAATAAATTAAAAAATTATTTACATCAACACTCAGCGCAAATACAATATATTCATAACTATAAAATTAATTATATAAAAGAAAATAAGCGTATAATGCGTCTACCTCGTGAGTTTTGAGACATTGTGTACTATTAACGTTATTATAATTATACATATAATACTTGTAAACCATCTGTAAGTCTGCCTCGTCTTTTATAAAATTCTTGCTATATTCAAAAAATCCACTTTCAATTTATTTATACTGACCTTAACCATTTTATGCTATACATTCGATAAGTCGATGAAAAAAAAATAAAAAAATTGCTGCACTTGCAGCAATGCGACTTTGCTCGGGCACGGACTTTTTGTTATGGCGCGCATATAAAGGTATCGTATGTCACTTGGTGCCGGGCGATACTAGAAACTTTTCGATTCAGCGTGCGCCTATAGTAATAAAAGCCTATATGTGTGCGTACTGTACACATTGATCCTCTTTCGAGCTCTGGGTACATTTCATTTCATAACGAAAGTTTGCGTTGGCATCAACGCAGGCATGAAGGTATAACAGGAAATGTTCCAGCAAAACACATCAAGGCCGACCGAATTAGACTTTTTTATTTCATCAGCATCGAGCCGAGTATCGTTTTTTCAGCTTACTCTATACCTTTTTCTCTCTCCCTTGATACATAATATGTTAGACTTTGTGCGTGTAGGTATAATATATGGCCGACTCTCTGTGAATGTGAATGTCCGAAATAAAAATTTTTATGATGATGTGAAAAACGTTTAATATCTTTTATTTCTTTTTTTTGAAAAACACTGTTGTTGGTATTATTCGCTATTTTTTAGTATTTGTTCTATATTTTTTCAACGTTTTTCTACGGGTTCTGATACTCTTGGATTTTTTGTGTCCGTTAGCTTTGAAAGCCCACTTAAACACTTTAAAAAGTATTAGTTGATATTAAAACTCTACCAATTTTGTGGCAATGAAAGAATCGAACTTGATAAAATTTAGAATTTTATGTTTTTCTTCTTAGTAGCAAGCTCCCATAGTGCTCAGACCCTGAGCGAGTAATTTTTTGAAAGTTTAAAAATTTTTCAGTATAAAAACTGTGCAGCACTGTAAGAGATCCATATCCCAGCCGAAATTCAAATCTCCAAACACGTTTTCTGAAACTTGAACTGAATATTTCTCAAACATCAAAACGAAGGTAATTCTGATTCGCAAGTCTTTTAAAGAAATATTCAGTAGAAGTTTGGAAAAACGTGTTTGGAAATTTGAATTTTTGGCTAAGGTACAGATCGCCTACAGAGGAATGAACTAAGGTTTTTTCGAAATTAGCGATATTTATGAATTGTGATAAAATACTAACTTCCAGCCTTTTAAAAAGGGTGATACAATAGTCCTGAAAATTAATAACATTAGAATATTAGAAAACATTGCTGTCATCAAAATCAATAAATTTTTCATATCATTAAAAAATATTATTTAGACATTCGATTTCGTAGGGGAATCGTCCATATATATTTAGTGAAACAATTTACGTTGACGCTCAAAAGTCGAAAGCCGCAAACTTTTTGAATTTTCCACCTGAAATATTACCGCAGTCGTATGTTAGCGGGCAACTTTCTGCCGTGCGAGCTGTATTGCTATCGTTGAAATGACAACACGTATTCTCGGCGCGAGTTTTGCGCACCTCAATATGCATGACAGGCGCAGTAACAGCAAAAACAGCAGTGCGTGGTAAAATTTTTGATGAAATCCACCAATTTTTCCGCGTTGTTTTTTTTTCGAATGCCAATTTTGATGAAACTGCCAAAAGTATGCAATTAGATTATTCCAGTGATTTGTCAGCAATAGAGAGCAACAAAGCGATTATTAAATTATTACTGGCCACGAGGAATGTAGATGCATACAATTTGTTTTGGAGCAAATTACGGCATTCTGGTCTAATAGTCACCGCACTCGCGCCTACACAAACGCAGTCTAATTGGAGTCTTGGTTAAAGGTCGGAGATTGACAGCTGACCGCTCAATACAATTGAAACGTGAGCGTACATCAATTACATGGCTACGTATGTGAAGTTGAAACGACGATCGACGCTGCAAAAACAATTATTCACGTTTCTGTGTAGCAGCTGACGGCGGGAGTCTTTTGAGAAATTCTACCGAGATAAGCCAGTGACGATGCGGTTGATTTTGCATCGCAGATAAGATAGATTTTAATCGCGCACCGAACAATTGCGCTAATTGATTTTTATGACGATTGCCTAATGTGCCTTTATAGATAGTCTATCGTCTATATGCTGGTAATGGTCATTGGCGTTGCGTAGACAAAAAATAAACTTTTTCTATTGAAAAATAACATATCTGACCTATTATAAGCGATTTAATCAATGCCGCGTCGATAATCAGATTACTGGACGAGCTTACAAGTTTTAACATTTCCTTCATTATTATCAAAGAGAGATAAAAGGTCCGATTGAATGTAAATGTATTATACTGTTATTCCGAGTCATCCAAACTGAAAAACAAATTCATAGAACGCGTACAAATGATTCTTTGGCCAACTCGACCCAACGTTATCCGCAAAAACATGAAGCAAAACCACATTGAAGGCCCGATATTGCATCATTTTATGTAACGTTTTCTAAGTAAGCTTATTATACATATGGAGTTGCGAATTTTTTTCTCGATGTTTCGTTGCGCAAAATATTTTCAATTTATTCGTCCATGTAACTCAATATTCGATACATTACAGTCATAATAAAAGTTAATACCAGTTGAATGCCAATTTGAAGCAACAATTAATGAAAAAAAAAATTACAATTCGAATTGCGCGCTCGTGGGTCGCCGTAGCTTTTTACACTTTCAGACTTCAGAGTCTTCTCGGCCAGCAGCGCCAGAAGCGCCTGGTACATGTGCACTCAAAGCAGCAATTGCATGGCGTGGATTAAAAACGTCTGCTAGCGATCGAATTTCACTGACAGAGGCACGGTGTACGAGCTTAGCAGTCCGTAGGTGTGCAGACAGGAGACTTTTTGCGGTTCTCCGCTGTAGCAGCGGTCAGCCCAACGAGCGCACTGCAGTTAGCAGTTGTGGCAGTGCACGAGCTCGATGCAGATGTGTCATTCAGTTTTTGCATCGCCGAACGCGACTCGAGTCGAGAGTTTCAACTTTCACTGGCTCGTGACACGCGAGTAGAAAGTGGCTGTCACTTGCTGTTTGTCTTGCCATGGATTCTAACATGAACAGATCATGCTTATACACACCACGTAATTAGACCCGCTGTAGGTTATATGCTTCCTATGCGTCGCCTGCTAATGCGAGTGAGAGTATTGCGCTCGGTAACGATATGTACAGATATACGCGACATTAACAATTGTTGTACGTCGTGCAAGCTCGATAACTGACGAGTGCGAGCTTCGCATCATCAGTCGTTGTTACACGCTGCTAGAGTAAGCGTGTGCCTCTCTTCTTCTCTTTTCTCTTTCGCGATCGCCAATACGGCGCCTGCCTGAGCCTCTCTCCGGCAATTCTCTAATTGATTAAGTCACTCAGCTGTTCTTCTGCTAAGTCATGCAGTGTAAGATCACTTGAGTTGCTGCTAATTTTTTCAATTATATTCACTTTTGCTATGGAGCTGTACAATTCTTGACAGGATTGCTTCTTTCTTACAAGTGCTACAGTGATTTTTTTCTTCTATAAGTATCAAAAGGACTGCAAAAGTTTCATGTTACATAAGTTATATGTATCTGAGTTTAATCATAATCCAAAGTGTGCAGAAAAAATTTAAATTGTTGCAAGAGTGATCTCCCACTGGGGTGATTATGTGTCGAATCATGTTTGCCCAAAGATTAAGCAACCGCAAGATCATTGTTGATGTATTAGCTCTCCTTTTTGGACTTGGAGCTTGGGTAGGAATCAATGGAATTTATGTTCAACTACCTTTGCTGGTTCCTGAACTACCAGAAAATTGGAAGCTACCATCGCACATGGTTCTTATGGTTCAATTTGCCAATTTAGGACCTATTCTTTACACCTTATACAACAAGTGAGTTATTTTAAAACATTATGTTTATAATTAATTCAAAAATCTAATTTTAATATTATTCTGATGATCATATGTGTTTTTAAGATATTTGGCTTGTGCAAGGGATCATTACATAATATATGGACTGCTTGCAGCTGGGTCTTTATCAATATACTGTCTAGCCTTCACGTACAATAAAACCACATATATTTTTGGATCAGAACGCTCGACAGCCTTACTCAGTTTAATGTTCATTTCATCGTTTGTGGGATGTACCAGTTCTGTGCTGTTCATGCCTTACATGAGAAACTACAGGGAAATTTATTTAGTTTCTTACTTAGTAGGAGAAGGTCTAAGTGGTTTTCTACCAAGTATAGTTACACTGATACAAGGCGTAGGACCAAAGCCATCCTGTGTTAATGTTACAATATCTCCTGGACAATTTGAATTACGGCCTGGAAAACTGGAGCCAAGATTTTCAGTTGAAACATTCTTTTTATTTTTAGGAAGTTTATTAGCATTAAGTTTCTTTGCATTTTTGAGTTTAAGCAAATTAAAAGTAGCTAAAGGTGAAAGAGTGAAACTTCCTGCTAGTATAGAAGCCTTACCAACTGATATGAATGCTCCACCAAGCTATAAAACTACTGCAAACTGGTCGATGACTGATAAAACTTATTATTATCTTTTAGCTATGATGGCTGTAATTTGTTTATTAGGGAATGGAATTCTTCCAAGTATACAATCATACTCATGTTTGCCTTATGGAAATGTAGCTTATCACTTAACTGTAACCTTGGCTTCAATGGCTGGACCATTAGCCATGTGCCTAGGTTTTGTCATCAAAAATCCAAAAGTTAAATTACTATCAGGTCTTATGGTCATAGTTTTGATACTCTCTGGTCTCATTGTTTACTTAGCTCTGCAATCGCCAACTCCTCCATTACAAAAATCTTGGCTTGGAACGTTCCTCGTAGTTGTAATTTGGATTATAGTTTGTGGTCTACAAGGCTTTATAAGAATGGGAATAACAACTGTTTTCAGGCCAGATCCTGGTAGGGGTCTGTACTATACGGGAGTAGCCACTCAAATTGGTTCATTGATAGGTGCAATAATTACTTATGTTTTAGTGAATGAAAGTCAATTGTTTCAGCATTCATCAGACCCTTGTCTATGAATTTTGCAATAATTGATAATTTAGCAATAAGTGTATAAATCGATTTTGTAAAAAATTTTTTGAACGATCGATAAATTTTATACAAACGAAAAAAATTACGGAGTAAAACGTAACAACGCAGAATCTTTAGTCAATTATCAACAAAAATTTACTATTTCTTGTACTTACATTGATTTGATATTTTTATGCAAGCATGTCATGCTTTTATCAAGTAAATAAATAAAAGACAATAAACAAAGCAAGTTGTAAATAAAAAAGAAAGCCTTTATATAAATAAATTTTATGCATTAAAAATTAAGGCGCATTACAAATTTACTTTGACTTATCATTCTAAATTATATTAGTCATGAACGATTAGATACGCTGTTTCAATTAAAAAGTACAACTACTCACCTGATCGCTCAAAAATTTTTAATTATCTTTACTCACCACTCACGATCTATTTGTATAGAAAGTGCCCAGCTTTTCGACGCGATAAATTAAAATCTCGAAGAGTGCGTATACTTAGACACACGCTTGTATTATATACGTGTTATCAGCTGGTCACATTCCTTCGGACTTGATGTATTTTTTACACGATCGATATTTTTCAATCGCTTGACCACCATTAATGCAGTATCGATGTTCCTACGTGTCATACTTGTTCCGCAAGCACTCTATCAATATAATATTCATGTTCACTCGCTTCCATACAACAATTTTGTGCATATATACGTATATTCTTCGAATTCAGTATGAGTGTGAGTGTGTAATTTTTTTCAGTGATAAGACAGTTGCGTAACCGAACGTATACCAACAGGTAATTACACTTGGTGTCCGATTTTCACGATTCCCCTATCCACGCGCGCGCATAAATACATATGTTGCCACTCTAATAGGATAATGCAACAAAGTAAAGTATAATATTTTTAGTACTTAGTGGTGGAATCGGATATTGGAGACCAAGTGTAAGAGATAGACACGTGAATAAATCATGTGTACAAATCATGTGCGTTCGTGTAACCGTACGTAATACCGATTTATCGCTGTAGCAAGTGATCTCAGCAGAGAGAGAGAGAGAGATTAACGGACAAGTTATAAACAAAATATAAGAAAAAAGCGAGGAGTAAATTATAAGTAATAGCTAAGAGCACGAGGCGGTTGCAATGTGCGTGCTCGAGCGCCTATTACACATGCATAGTCGCAGTTCTTTGTGAGCCTCGCTCAGTGCACGACAACGAGATCACGACGTAATTGAGCGCGGAAGCAAGCACACATTCAAAGCCACTCCAGTGTGCAGCACGCATTTTGTGTATTGTCAGAGGTCGTCAACACGTGCAATATTATGAAGAGCATCATTCGACGACGTTTGCGTCCGGCAGAGATCTTCTTAACAGCTTTCGCAATGCATCTGCTGCAGCAGTGAATATAAGCTGCTGACGCGCCGAGTACAGGCGTGCGAGTGAACGCAATATACTTGCTGTATGTATATTGTACATTTGCAATATATGGAGCATGTAGATGTTGATTTTGAATTTCGCAACTGAGCAAATACAACAAAGACGATAAAACATGATTACTGGCAACAGCGAGGATGCTAACTACGGCAAAGCCGACGCGAAACACGAAAATCGCAGATCAGATGGCGTTGAATCGTCGACGATGTGAGTTGAGAATAAATACATTACTTTTTTTTAACTCAAAATTTTTCACCATTACGTAATCGCGTACTCTAATACATTTTTTGTGAATATGCTTTTTTATAGCTCCGATTGCGAAGAAGAGAGATTGATGCTACATGAAAATGACGCAATGGCACAGACAGTGACAATGAACTCTACTGTGCCAAATCGGAGCTGGCCTTCTATCCTGGTACACTTGCTGATTTTGTTATTCGGAAATGCTGCTTGGATCGGCATTAACGGTATCTTCATTCAGTTACCGACCATATTGAAGACGGCCCCCGAGGGAATGAAATTATCGGCTTATTTGGCGGGAATGGTTCAAGCTGCAAATGTTGTGCCAATACTTTACAGTTTGTTTAGAAGATCGTTCGTTCAACTGAAGGAATCATTATGTATTTATACGATGCTTGTCGTTGGCTCTTTAGTTATGGGTCTCACAGCATTTTTATACAATAAGACATCCAGCATAGGACAAGAAAATTACAGTATAGCTTTATTGGTATTGACCTTTTTTGTAGCATCTATTGGCTGTACTAGTTCTGTTTTATTCATGCCATACCTCAGAAACTTCAAAGAAGTATATCTGATGTCGTACTTCATCGGTGAGGGACTGAGTGGACTATTGCCGAGTATTGTGGCTCTTGTTCAAGGTATAAATGAAAATTCATCAAATTGTAATAATTCAAGCATCGATTTAGTGCAAGAAACTTCCTCGCAAAGATTTTCAACGCAAGCTTACTTTTTGTTTATATTTTCGTGCATGTTATTGTCAGTCATTGCATTTTTTCTTTTGGAGCATCTGGACTCCATAAAAATAGAAAAATTACCGACAAACGCTAGTTGTCGTGATACAGAAAATGTTCCTTCTGAAGAATCTACATCAGTATTAGCAAAAAGCTCGACCTCTGAAGGAAATTCTGTGCATAAACATGTTTATGTAAATGTGCTGCAAGAGACAAGCAATGTAGAAATCTCACAAAACGAATGTGAACAAACTTTTGGTCAACTATCTGTAAAAGATATATTTTTGTATGTACTTTTAGGTGGTATTTGTATGTTAGGACATGGACTTTTACTTGGTATTCAGCCATACTCTTGTTCACCTTACGGCGATATAGTGTATCATTTGACCATGATTTTTTCTCAAATCTCTAATCCTACTGCCTGCCTTCTTACAATGTGGTTTACTGTACGCAGCCGAAAAATCATTAATTTTTTAGCGATTGTTATATTAGCATTAAGTTGTTATGTGAGTTATCTTGCATTTTCATCACCTCATCCTCCATTGCAACAATCACTCATTGGAAAAATATTAGTAATTATATCTTGGATATTTCTGATGGGAATTATTTCTTTTCTCAAGCTAACTATAACATCAGTATTTAGGAAAAAGTCCGAGAAATCACTTTTTCGTGTAGGAGTAGTTATGCAGACTGGATCTGCTTGTGGAGCAGTACTTTCTTTAATCATCATCAATGCTAACATTTTACAAGAATTTAATCCATGTAGTTCAAATTAAGTCCGAGACAAACTTATTTTTACAACAAATATATCATTTTAATGTACATCAGACTTTATTGAAGTTGTACGGTAAATAGTTGACCTTTGAAAAAATTTCCTGTGGGATTCCACGAGATGTTTTTAACGGAAATTTCTTGAAAGTTATTATTTTTTTTTATAAAAAAAATTGTTTTGAAGTTATAAGCTATTTTTCCTATTTTTAATTGTTCTTCAAACAAGTTTTATCGATTTTACATTCCTTTAATTATCATTGTGTTACTTGATAATTTTGCAATAATATTTTTACCTATTAAAAAAAAAGTAAATTGCAGTGTTAAAGTATACAATTTACGAATTTTACATTGATTTGCAGTGAAGTGGTAATTTAAATGGCTTGCAGGAAGTTTTTGATTCTTTGTTCAACAGATTTTTTTATATTGCACTCGTGTAAAAATGCCTTAAAGTAGTCAATGTAGTTCTGTTGTATAAGTTGAAAAAAAATTGCAAATTCTAATCGGAAATGTATACTTAAGGTCCCATATTAGGTACCAAGTTAATCATATCTTAAGAAAAAAGATATAAAAATTCATGCGATGATCATGTGTAAATAAATAATTTTGTGATAAAATTTCATTTTTCCTGCGTAAAAAAGTGTGATTCTAGGTTTTTATCGTCAAAATTGTAGTTCGTTCTGTAGTTGAATATAATACGTGCAATATTTATAAATTTGGCGGAGTTGAATGAAAAGAACCTAAAATTGAGTGACACTTGTAAAAATGATTCCACTGTATAATAGAATATTTACTACTGATTGACAATGTTATTAAAAAGCAAAGAGTGTTTATCTACAAAAATGTTACAATGATTTTTAAATATAGAATTTGTTATACAATAAATAAAACACTACGATTACACACGTTTGCATTTTTGATTTAAAAGTCCATAATAATCTAAAGAAAAAACAAGAGACAGTGTAGACTGTATAAAAAATAACAAAAAATTTTCCGTAATAATAATAACAGCATAGTTTACTAAAAATTCTGAGTAATGAAAAAACGCATATAAAGAATTAAAATAAGAAAAAGATAAAATTAAACGGGTGCAGCAGTGTGACGTACCTGGAAAATAGTCAAACGCGTGCAAAACTAAAAACGGCCTCGCGCAAAGAAACAAAAATGGAAATATAGGATTGTCAGCAGTCCGCGATAGTATACGCATTCGCAAAACGCAGCAAGTCGCGTCAAGTGGGCAGTGCAGTTCTCAGCGCAGTGCAACGGAAAGTCTATTGCGAGCGAGTGTATTATACATGCTCGGCAATTGTGTCCTACATTATAAGCCTATACATACATGCTCTTTGGCTGTGGCAGGCTCATAAAACTGTAAATCGTACACCAGGATATACAATCGCTCGAGCGTATTTATATATGCGCGAGTATTCATTGTTTCGAGCGAGATCCTCGAGATCGCACTGCAACAATCGCTCAAAGTGCCTGTGCATTTCTAGACACATAAATGTCATGGAAGTGTCATTTTTAGTTTCGGATGCAAACCATTTTCTTTAATTTCTGTGAAAGGCTTCCAATGAGATCAACATGCACAACGATCAGGAGGACACACAAAAATGTACCATCGAACTGAAAGATCTCCCAGTCGAAGTTAGTATAATTTTCACTTTAATTTTCTCTCCTTTAGCTATTTACGCATGATTAAACTCGCAACTCCAAAATCGGATAAAAGAAAACTAGGTCGAGGTTTATTTTAATACAAGGGCCGCAATCAAAAATATGTTTTACTCAAGAACGTCGAAAAAAAATATGATTTTTTCGGGGTCATTCAGGGTATGTGGGCATTTGTGCGTGTAAATATAGACGTATACGTCAATAGAGTCATGCGTTTGGATCAGCTGTTATTAGACGCCATTTTTAAAACTTACCAAACACACCAGCCTCATGTTTACATTTTTGATAGGCACCCGCATTTGACATCGATTTGTTTTCATTCTGTAATGCTCACTTCACGACCACATCGATTCTATCATTTACACGTAAATACTTAATAAGATCGTTTTAATTAAAGGTATTTCTACACATCTGCTCGTTTTTGGATGAGTGCACTCTCATTCACAGTTTGAGTTTGACATGTAAACAGTTTCATCAAATTCTAAACGACGACTCGATTTGGAGAGCGAGAATTCGCCAAACTTGGCCGAATGTCACGTATCCAATTTCTCCGCATGGTATGTTCGAAAATATTACGTTTGTTTAATAAAATACATAAACAGTTTTAAAAAAATTTGTTTTTTGTATACAGTTGACGACGATAATTTCTTTTGGAAAAGGTCGTGCATTACTGTTCAAAAAAGAAAAAAATTATGGATGAAAAGTGATGTCAGAAAAATTCACTTGGAAAATGTACACTACAGTACTATTGATGGACTCTTGTTGATGCATGTAAATAATTACTTTCATATTGCATTCTTTAATGAATAATAAAATCAATAAATCATAGACCAACATTTTAGAAAGGTGAGACATGTGTATCCGGAGGTAGAGATCGGTCTCTGGCTATATCTCGTTTACCTAACGAAGAAAGACTTCAATGTGAATCAACCATTCAAAGCAATGCTCATAAAGGATGGATTTGGGGTTTGACATCCATTGAAGATACAATATTTAGTTGTAGTTGGGATGGAAAAGTCAAATCATGGGCAATCGTTGAAACTGGCTTAAGGTGCTTAACAACTTATGCACCGTAAGTTGTTTTGTTTTGTCAATATAATTGCTTAAATTCAATGTTTTGTTTTAATGATAACTATGTTTATTATGTAGCTGAGTGAACTAAATAATATTGACTAATGAGACAGTTTTATTTTCTAGGATTCAGACAGGTCCAGACTGGAGACAGACTGGTGCTTTACTTTGCATTGCTTCATGCTCAGATTTAAGATATTTTGCTACAGGGTCTTTTTGTCAAAAAGTGTTTGTTTATGATCCAAGAAATGGTGATGAACCCATATTCAAATATAAACCTCATAAAAGATCTGTAATCAGACTGTCAATGAATTCGAATTATATTATTTCTGCAAGCGAGGACAGAACTGTTAGTATCTGGGACCAAAGGGCTGGAAAAACATTACAAAATAATGAAGTAATATAATTATTTTATTTATTATTACAACATTTGCTGGGATGAGATACAAACATTTTTAACTCTTATTTGCAGGTGTCAAAAGATTCTTTTATAATGAGCATGTGTATGCAGAATAATGTTGTGTATGTTGGAGATAATTTAGCCAAAATTCACGTTTTGGATGAGAAAAAGATGTTTGAGCCTGTGAAGACTTACAAGACTGAACATAAAAAAAGTATTACAGGGATTCACGTAGATGCTGGGTGCTTAATAACAAGTTCTCTAGACAGAACTGTAAAAATTTCAAGCCCAACTGATCCTCCAATACTGCTATCAGAATTTGAATTCAAAAATGGAGAGATAGCAAGTGTGAGTAATATTAAATAAAAATTTGCAATTGATGCATATTGAATTTTGATGATTAAAATTTTTCAACAGATTGGTTTCTTAAACGAAACCCTAGCTATATCGGGCACCGATGACATCGAAATTTGGCAGCTAGCTTACAAGTCAAAATGTTAAATGAGTTTGATACTCACAATTTTTAACCATCAATAATGAAAAAGCAAAAATATAGATATATTCTGTAACCCACGACCGTAATTCAAAGGTCTACTAGTGATTCAAATTATCTGATTTCTTTGTTTTTGTATTAAAGTGAATTGAGCAAATTCTTATTGAAGAATAAGTTTATTATACTACTATGTAAACAAATTTTTTAAGTTTATTACTTTCGCTACATATACTTGCGTTCTGAAAAACTTGTTATAACTAATATTACAGAAGATGAGAAATATATATATATATAACATATATAACATATATGAAAATAAATTTTATTTGATTTTATAAATCGATAAATTTTTGTGTCGAAAAAAAATTGCAAACTTCCCGCAAAAATTGTCATTCACCGGAAGCAGGCGTCTGCTATCCTTCACTTGTCTAACTGTCACTCTGTCTTTCTTTTTCTCGTTTGGATGTTTACATCTGCATTAACATTTGAGCATAACCTTAAAGGTCGAAGGGGAGTCGAATAATGCTATAATACGCTTTTCGAGCCGAAGCAAAGAAGGAAAAAATGCACAGCCTCTTGAATCATTATCATGGAAAAGCATCAAGGATGGGCCCGTATTCGTCGCAGGAGAAAGACGAGCAGCATGCCGTAAAAAACGACTCGACGAGCAACAGCAGCTGGAGCAGTACGACAATACCGCCGGGTATCGGTGACAATTCATGCGCAGGAGCGGCAAAGTCTAGCATATCAAAAACATCGAGTATCAGCAGCAACAGCAGCGCCAAAATGTGCAGCAGCAGCGACACGATAATAGCTGCAGCAGCCGCGGCGGCCGTAGCAGCAGCGACAAGTACTACAACTCCTGCGGCTGCTTACTACAGCACACGGCAACAGAATCCAACTTATAGAAGGAGACTTCCGTTCTTGGCAACTGGCAGCGGCGGCAGCAGCAGCTCGACCACGGCCACTTCTCGTACGACTACGGCAACGACAAGTGCTGCTGGTTTTAGTAGTAATACAACAAATAATCACGGCGAGGTCAGCAGCAGCAACATCAGTAGTAGCAGTGTTAAAATCACAGACGTCTGGTTGCGTTCAGTGCTTTTACGTGCGGGTCTGCAGACTTCATACAGTAGTGGCAGCAGCAGCAGTTCGCGGAATACGATGAAAATGGCGTGGCAACCGCAGGAGGAAGGACTACGGCAAATACTGACGCTTTTGAAGGAATCACAGTCGCCCAACACTGAGGTTCAACGCGCTGTCCAGCAAGTATCCTTTTTGCAAAAAGTGATGATAATTTTTCCAGCTAAAGATTGCTGCCGAGAGATAGAATAAAAAGGTCATTTGTTCCGCGCTTGCAGACGAGTGGAACTCGCATTCTATCTTCATATCCGTTACAGTGTATGTGCCTTCGCTTCGATGTTACTCTTATGAATGTATGAGTTGTAGTAATTACTTTTTCTCGAGCGTCGGAACTTCTATTCGTGTCAAAATAATCATCGAGGTTTTTAGCTTGCGTTGATATACCTATAGCTACTGACAACACACACTAACTTTCCCCTCCCATTTCTTTGCTCGTGATTCTCGTTGATATATATCGTACATATAAATAATGATGTTTATGAATCACGCGGAAACCCTGCGCACATTTCGCAACCATAACGTATCATAATATGTAAATGAGATAATTCTTCCGCTTTTGCGAGCGCTATTAACGCTGCCCATCGAGTGCCCGGTTTCATTCCACCTCATCATGCATACCCCAACCTTACAGCCATATTTTACTTTCGATAATTTTCGACTGCTTGTGCCTCGTGGATCGACCGTAAAAATGCTCTTCATCTGTGCTTTTTGCAATGCTTATAAATGATAGATTGATATTCGACAGGTTCCACATATCTCAGCTCTATGCGTGTGCTTCTTTGCGAATATAATGTGCATGCGTGAAGCCCAAGATTCCGTGTATGTGTATAGGCACACATGTAATGCTATGTGTATATATGAGTCAAGGGCGGGCTTTACTACTCCGTTTTTTTCGGAACTTCACGTACAACCAAGTCATTAACTCTTGCCGTCTTATACGACGTAGTCGTCGTTTCATTCTTTATATGCATTTTGATAAACAACACTCGAATGAGAGAGAGAGAGAGAACTTGTACCACAAGCAGTGTGTGCCGTGTGACTCTTCATCTCTGCTGTACGTGCCCTTCCCCTCTTTTCCTAGTTTATACATACATACGCCGAACGCATAGGTGTCCGCGCTAACTGATATACTACAGTGCATGAAAAAAAGAGAGAAACGTGTTGAACACCCAATGGGGACAAATTTTTTTTCTTATTACGAATCAAACGTGACTTTTCAGACAAACATATTTTCCTTAACCAAAATTATCAAATTAGAAATTGGAGGAACTAAACAAATTTCCTGACTTCAATAATTATCTTATCTTTGTATTGACAAAACTCACCTCAGAAGGTAAACTACTGATTTTGATAAATCAACTTTGACATTTCAATGTTGTTTGGATTTTTAACTTTTGTATTTATTACTATAGATGAACCAACAAGATCACTTAGTGGTCTTATTTTAAAAAATAATGTTAAGACGCACTATCATGAACTTCATGTCGAAGTAACAGAATTTATAAAGCAAGAATGTCTCTCAGCTGTTGGAGACCCATCACCGTTGATACGGGCAACAGTAGGGATTCTAATTACAACTATTGCATCCAGAGGTATGTTTTTTTCTTGTTTTTTTTTAAGTAAAATTTATTAGTAAAACTTTAATTATTTATGATTTATTGAATTTTTAGGTGACTTAAGTCAGTGGCCTGAACTACTTCCAGCTCTGTGTCAAATGTTAGATTCTCAAGATTATAATGTATGTGAAGGAGCTTTTGGAGCTTTACAAAAGATTTGTGAAGATTCAGCTGAACAATTAGAAAGTGATCATTTAAGTCGCCCATTAAATGTTCTGATTCCTAAATTCCTACAGTTTTTTAGACATAATTCACCCAGAATTAGATCACATGCTATCGCTTGTGTGAATCAATTTATTATCATAAGAACTCCATCTCTAATGATGCATATGGATGCATTTCTTGAAAATCTTTTCTTCTTAACATCAGATGACAACCCTGAAGTGAGAAAAAATATATGCAGAGCCTTAGTTATGTTGCTGGAAGTCAGAATGGACAAATTAATTTGCTACATGCATGATATTATAGAATACATGCTTTTGAGAACTCAAGATCAAGATGATGGCGTTGCACTGGAAGCTTGTGAATTTTGGTTGTCTCTAGCTGAAAATTCACTTAGCAGAGAAGTTCTAGCACAACATTTACCTAGATTGGTTCCTGTCCTGGTTAAGGGTATGAAATACTCTGAACTGGACATTATTCTTTTGAAAGGAGATGTGGAAGAAGATGAAATGATTCCTGATAAAGAGGAAGATATTAGGCCGCGTTTCCACAAATCTAAAACACATCATAACAACCATGCAGTTAACAAAAGTACTGATGAAAATGGCTATGACGATAAAGATCTTGATTCTGAAGATGGAGGTGATGATGACTCTTCTTTAAGTGATTGGAATTTGAGAAAGTGTTCAGCTGCAGCCTTGGACATGCTTGCTAATGTGTTTAAAGATGACTTATTACCAGTTTTGGTTCCCATTTTGAAAGAAACTCTGTTTCATTCGGACTGGGAAATTAAGGAGTCTGGTATTCTTGCATTGGGAGCAATTGCTGAAGGATGCATGCAGGGTATGCTGCCTCATCTTAATGAACTAATTCCTTACCTCATCAATTGCTTGGGTGATAAGAAAGCTTTAGTTCGTTCTATCACTTGTTGGACATTAAGTCGTTACTCACATTGGGTATGTACCCAACCTCATGAAACTTTCTTGAAGCCATTGATGACTGAACTTCTCAAAAGAATATTAGATGGCAACAAGCGTGTTCAAGAAGCCGCCTGCTCTGCATTTGCAACTTTAGAAGAGGAAGCTTGCACTGAATTGGTTCCTTATTTAGGCTTCATTTTGGAAACTCTAGTATTTGCATTTGGTAAGTTTAATATATCATATTAAGCACATCAGTTTTGATCAATTAGAATTATTGTAAATTAGATCGATTTAAAATTTATAATTATTTTTTATAAACAGGTAAATATCAACATAAAAACTTGTTGATTTTGTATGATGCCATTGGAACACTCGCAGACTCAGTAGGACGGCACTTGAATAAACCAGATTATATAAATTTACTAATGCCGCCTCTCATTCAAAAATGGAATGTACTAAAAGATGAAGATAAAGATCTTTTCCCACTATTGGAATGTTTATCTTCAGTAGCTACTGCCCTTCAATCAGGATTCCTGCCTTACTGCGAACCCGTTTATCGAAGATGTGTGTCTTTAGTCGAACAAACTTTGCAGCGGCATGTAGCGTATACTCAAAACCCGTCGGTTTGTGATGCACCAGACAAAGACTTCATGATTGTAGCGTTAGATCTGCTAAGTGGATTAGCCGAAGGTCTCAATGGTCATATGGAGCGTCTTGTTGTTAATAGTAATATAATGGAATTGCTGTATCAGTGTATGCAAGATCATATGCCAGAAGTAAGACAAAGCAGTTTTGCTCTACTTGGTGATCTTACTAAAGCTTGTTTCCAACATGTGCAACCCTGTATACGTGAGTTTCATGAAAAATTTTCTAAATCCTTGACATAATTTTAAGCAACTCGCTTACTAATATAATTTTTACAGCCCAATTCATGCCTATTCTTGGACAAAATTTGAATCCAGAATATATTTCTGTTTGTAACAACGCTACTTGGGCGATCGGAGAAATAGCTATTAAACTCGGTAGAGTATTTATGTTCAAAAATATTCTGGTTTTGTTGCAGATCTTTTTTATTTACTAAAATTTGAATATTTTTGTAGGAGCTGAAACAAGCGCTTATATTCCACTGATTTTGGTACATCTTATTCAAATCATAAATAGACCTAACACACCCAAAACGCTTTTGGAGAATACTGGTAAGTAATCATTTGTCGGAGGTGAAGTATTTATTTTTATTTACTTAATAATTATTTCATTGAATTTTAATATTTTTATCATGAATTATGTACATGACTATTAGTTACAATGTATAATTTTCAGTTTAATACCAAAATCAAAATTTATTAAAAATTTGACCCAATTTTATAGTTTTACCATCAAGCGACACAGCAACGATTAGTTTTTAACGAATTCATTCTGATGTTACTTTTTCTCTGACAATTTTAATATACTTTTAAAGATGACCTACGTCAGACTCATCGTGTTTTAGTAATGTTTGCACGATTTAATGTGATATGTTATTTTCTATCATAATGCATTCAGTAGTGTGCGATTGCCTATTACTCGAGATTAACCAGTTAGAATGGCTTAAATGCTAGTAAAATATGAAGCGTGTGTTTAAACATGGCTTTTAACTTGACGTTGAATCGCATCAGTTACTATTCACATCTAGCAAGCACATTCGATTTATTAGTTTTGTTAAATATAGCCTTTTAAAAAATTCAAATTTGACTATCACCTATTATTATAATGCAGTCATTGTTTTTATATTATCATGGACGCGCACGCTGCTATTAATATTAAATTTATTATTTACGGCGGCTACATTGCTAACTGTTGGTAATAATATGTTCACCTGTGTTTACATTGTATATTGATTGTTAACATTTATTCATTATGATTAATTATTAATTATTGATTATTGATTATTGATTATTAATTGCGTATTTTTTGAAGTTTTTGAGCAGCATATAAACATATATTTACCTGAGTTCACTGTTGTTTATCAGTTTGTCTTATTGTTTGTGTTTCCGGTTCACTTCACTACACTTCACTTGCCTACTTATCGAAACTGAAAATGAAAAAACGTAGCCATTACGATCGGTCGCCTTGGTTTAGTGTGTCCCCAAGACGTCGCTCCTATGTTACAGCAGTTTGTCCAACAGTGGTGTGTAAATTTATTTATTATTATCTTCTATTCTATTTTTTATCATTAGCACTTAATTCTAACATATTTATTCATAATTTGAAGTAAGTTTTAAATTTATTTCTAAGAAAATTCATAAAAGTAAATGTATATTTTTGACTATTAACTTTCCTGAAATGAATTTTCTTAGAGTTGTATTAAGTTTTTGTGAGTTAAACTATTTCATTTCGTTGCCTAAGAGTATGGGAGGTTTTGATTTTTAAGTAAAATCCCTGCAGCTGGTAGGTTTACATTTGTTGTGGTAGGTTTTAATCGCTGTTTATTTTCTGTCTTTACACTAACTATAGGAAAGGACGAATAATTACTTTGGACGTAACGAATATAAATGTAAACCCGACCTCTTTACCATGCTACAAACTTATAACGATATCCTGTCTTCTGAACTATGCTCATCATACAAAATCAATTTTTAGCACCTTCAAACATTACCATTGTTGTTCAACTTTTTTGAAAATTTTTAACTCATTTTAATCATTAAATTCAACTTTTTCTTCTAATTTATATTGAGCACTACTTTTTTTTCATAATTTATAAATCATCATATTTTTAACATGAAACATTTTCAACTCAAGTGATATGAGTTATTTCTTAAACTTCTATTAAATTTTAATAGGTGCACATCTTTAAGAAATATTCGGGATAACGAAGAAAAAGACTCTGCTTTCCGTGGAATGTGTCTTATGATATCTGCAAATCCAGCCGGAGTTGTTAATGACTTCATATTCTTCTGCGACGCTGTCGCGTCATGGGTATCGCCCAGAGATGACCTGAAGGATATGTTCCAAAAGGTAGACATTGAATTTTCTGATGATTACCGAATTAATTCATTTGGCTAATGAAAAACAATACTTTCTGTTTTTAGATTTTACATGGATTCAGAACTCAGGTTGGACCAGAAAGTTGGAAAAGGTTTACAGACCAATTTCCTAGACAACTTAGCGAGAGATTGAACCAATTGTATGGCGTTTGAACGGTTTTGCCTGCAATTGGTAAGTTTTAATGATAACTCTAACTCGTCCTAAAAAAAAAAAAAAATGAAGCGTATTCATGAAGTAATCAAAAATTGTTTTTTTTTTCAGAAGGCCATATCCAGAATCAGGCCGCACGGGGTTGGGCGGGGTTCAAAAACATGGGCGATCAGGGTGGGTGGGTGAAACCACGGCCTCTTCTCAACATCAGCAACGTCGTCGTTAATAAAGTACACAATCGAGTCATGGTTAATCACCGTACCGAATGACGAAACCGTCGTCATCGGACCCTTTCCTCGGGTTTTTGAGACAAGAGAAGCCAAATCAACGCGTGCGCCGTAGTCAAGCAGCGTATGAATAATTCGGCAAACTCAAGCACTCATACAAATATCGAATATAATTAACGATGTTATATTACAAAAATAACGCGAAACAATTAATTGCGACGAATTATTAAGAGAATTATTCATAATAGAAAACGCGAACGGGAAGTCAAAGGAGTATGTAACGATCGAATGAATTGTTAACTTTACGCGAGCATACTTCATAGATATATTATATAGTAAAGACGAATCGACATTGAAATGGAAAAATGAATCAAAGTTTTTAAATGTTTTATTAATTATAGGAAAGAGAATTATCGCGAAATAATGAGAAGGAACGACACTGAACATCAATGGCCGAGAAGATTCAAATTTAATGGGATGGGAGGGAGGGTGGGAAGGGTGGGCTTTGCTTTGTGGACGCGTACAACCACATAAAATGTAAAAGGTATCAATTGACATTTTAATGAAACTCGACTTCATTCTAAGAAGATACCTTAATCCGCGAAATAATCACTCAATGACGATGTACGTTTTTTCCTCTAAAAATTTGGATTAACTGCAAAAAGTTTATTTAAGTTCAATTTTCAATCTTCGTTTCTCCCTAAGCAAACACTGAAAATGATTTCAACAAAACTTATATAGATAATTATTATTTACAGTTTATTTGTATTTAATTGATCCAAATAGTGATTCAAAAAACGTATATTCGATATTAGAGTTCTGTTTAAACACAATTAATAGCAGATGCTATTTGACCACTCTAATTTAAAACCGTAAAACACTGTCAAGTGTTAAAAATACCCTCAATGTAAGAACATTTTTTTCATAAGTACGATAAAATCAAGAGATTGACTTGTCGAGGATATGATGATGAAAGAAAAATCAGTGTTGACAAAGAGAACTAAAGGCAGCCTCACTGTTGTATTTCGGTTAACAGCTTGGTTAGCTGCTTGCTAGTAAGCATAGATCTCACGTTATATTGCTCATCGAATTTTGTGCGACCTGATGTCAATTTTTTTTTTAGATTTTATTTGTTCTTTACCAAGGCATAATCATACCTCTTTTAAAACAATCAAAATGTTTGATGTTTATAAATGACCTTTATACCGTAAAAAAGAATTGGCTTTATTTTACAAATTGTTTATCGCTCCATTAGATTTTCATTTTTTCGAAAATGTATACTTACTTTTTATACGTTGTAACTTGACCCGCATTGTGCCATTCCATATATATATTATATATATTCGTTCATGCCGAAAATTGTCACTGAATTAATTGTGATACTAGGATACGCGCAATATATCTTTATAAATAATAATCGCATAGCAAAAAAGTTTTTGAGTTAAATATACGAGTAATGTTTTACGTGGCAGACTATTTATGCAATTATTGATTTTTTTCCTATTCTTTCTTTATATTGTATTATATTTTATCTTTATTTTTTAATTTTTTTATTACTTATGTGTGGAATACAAATTGTATTTATGTAAATATAACAAATTTTAGACCGACAAACTGATTTGTTAGAAATAAATTTCTTACCTAAGAAAAAACCTAAACTGATATTGATATGTAAAAGTTATAACACAAACTTTCCTCAACCGTTAGCGTGAGCTATAACGTGAAATCTATGAAACTTATTAAATAGTAAAAAAATCAAAGTCCAAAATTCTTGCACTGAAATTACATCTCGCAAATGAGTGCACAAGGAATTTACTGAATGGATTTAAATGAAAAAAATATGCACGCGTTATCGTACACGAGTTATTTTCCAAAAACATCTAACTGGAACAAAATTGTATTGTTGTTTTGCACGTATTAAAATGTGCATTATAAGTTGCAAACCTTTTTAATTTTTCATTATAATTTTTATTACGTAAATCAATTTTCATGGTACTAGGTATTCATTTGACGTTTTTTTCTTCAAAAAACTTCAACGCATTATTATTGGAATTAGAATTTTCTAAATTAAATATTCCACTGGCTAGGTAAAAAAATTTCGAGCAAGTTAATCTATAAATGAAAAAAGCAATTCCATATACAATTATAAAGATAAAATATATTTTGTACGTACCTCTTTGTACGAATTGAATACTCTAAGAGCCATTTGCATCTACAAGTTTCTTAGTCCTTTAGTTTTAGCAAACGATATCAAACAAATAAAATTTTAAAAGAAATTCGGGTTTTTCTCCCTTTTTTTTAGTAAGCTGGCATACTCTGTACTCTGTTTGTATCCATTTTTTGTGATATCAGTACTTTTTATAATTATTTAGGAGCCAGCATAGATGTCATGTACATGAGCCACATGTCTTTTCAAGAAAAAATGTAATAATTTACCGGTTTAAGAAAAGTGTTGAAATTCTCTAAACGCACGATGCTATTATACGGTGATTGTGCGACACTTTGAAAAAAGGGTAAACGGTATTAACATATAAGTCTTACATATAATTAACAAAGTTATTTTAGGATACATAAGCATTATTTCGCGCACATTGCTGAAAATAAAATCATCTAAACTCAAATTACTATATAAACGCTATACGCTAAAATGCTGTTTAAATGCAACGTCGCAACTTGTAAGTGTATATATGTCTTTGACTAAATATGAAAAATAAACATGCGATTTAGCAACTTGCGCTCTTAACGCGCGTACAGAAGTCAGTGACAATCGAGTTTTGCATCGATTATTTCTGTATCATATAATATTTGTATGATCTAATCATTGTAATTTTAATAGTTCCTAGGTTCTGATAAAATGAAAAAATTAGCTCTCGATTATTAATTATGTATCGAACGCGTAGTAATTTACGTTTGTGTGCAATGCTATTTCATAATATATCAATTAGATTTTTCTACTTAAGGACAAAAGCGGATAACATAATAAAAAACTGCAACGGAGTATATACATTATCAAATAATATACAACTAGATTGTAAAAAAAACTGATATTTTCATAACGCCCGATCATGCTAACATGTACAGCATATCGGACGCGACAATTTTCTGCATTTCTAAATATATACATATATTTATTGCGTGTGATAAGTTTATATCTCGCCGATGAAATATTTCGAAATGTAGAACATGTGGCTTCACACTGTCGATAAAGAAAAGTGACAGGCTCTGTGTACATGCTACTGCAAGCAACTTTTTTATATAGTTAACGTGGATGCTGCAAATTAAAAATGAAATTACATTTGGAAGCTACGTCTTAAACAGTTCAAATGGAATTTATAATGTAAGACTTGACGTATAATTATATCGATTTTACAGGGGGGACGCGACTGTATAAATTTTGTCCGAGAGTTCATTATTATTTTTTTATATATTTTATAAACGCGAGATAAAGTATTTCCGACACTGCGTGGGGCCGGACCGTGTGTTAATTGCAATACGTCGATATAAATACGAAATTTCGCGTACTCGGTGATAAAAATTTTTTTAAATCTATAACGTTTTAAAACAAAATAAAACTCGGGTGATCAAAAAGTATAAAGTATTCAATAGATTATTAAATGTAAAAAAAAAGATGAAGTTAAGCACACGAATGAAATATATTGTTGTATTTTTATTATTGTTGTTGTTGCATGAAGACTAGTGTAATAGACTGAGCCATTCTCTATACAAATATAAATAATATTGTATACTGTATATGATTGAATATATTGAAACAAAAAAATTACTATAATACAAAGTAATGGTACTTCTTAATCGATGGTAAAATATTAGAATAATTAAATTGAATACACTGTGTATTTATCTCGATTTATAGTATCTTTAGTACAAACAGAGTACTACAATTCAAATACTCCCTTTTTACAGTTTCAAAAAAATATTTACCTCAACAAGATCTCTTCAGAAACTTTGTTGTTTATCGTTAAGAAATTTTTGTTGATGATGTTCGGGAAGCTCGTGCTTACCTAGCCAGTACGAAACTTGAGAAAAATTATGCTCGCAATCCTTTTCTTCAAGACACCCGTAAATTCGTGAAAATTCTACATTAACTATAGTGTTAATAGAAGAATTGTGATGTTAGTTTCATTCGTACAATGTACGGTTCATTATTACATCTAAAATTTATTTGGTTAAGCGAATCTTATAAAATTCTTCGCCAATGAATTGTGCAGTTTATAAAATGAAAAAAAAGTACGAAAATCATAAGAAATCTTTATAATTTGTAAATAAGGCTTATTTTCATCATAAAAATATTTTTCTGATGACAAACGCACTTTGTAAAAAAAAAAAGTAAAAAGAAAAAGGATTCACGAACGTTATATTTTTGTTAAAAGAAATTAAGTTATGAATACCTTGATTTAGGATTTATTTAATTTTCTGTATCATGATTATCATCAAAGCAAAAAAGAGTAAAAAAAAATTCTTGACAGTAAAATCATACGAGTATTTAATTCTGTCGAATCCCTTCATTATTTCCCGTCAAGTAGTGCGTATACGGTAGGTTTTAGCGGCGCTGTTAATCTCGATGAAATTCGACTAAATCATGTGCTAGATGCGCATCGTGTAGCAGCCAATCGGCGTAAAAAGGAGCAACAACTTGACTCTCTCTTAAGTGATTGCTTCTCTTCATTAGGGCGTAAGGGACAGGTACGGTAATGGGCCGTAAAGCCCTGCGCCACGCGCTCTGCCTGCACCTACATTCGAGGGGTTCGTACGCATAAAAGGACAAGCGAGCAGGACTATTAGGCGAATTGATTCGACAACGAGTATCGCACTGACCGTATACTTACATTGGTTTATATGCGCGCGTGCACGTGTCGCTTTATCCGTGCACTGCAATTTTCCCTCTTTTACGCAGCTCCGTGCACGATTACAAACTTTTCTTACGTCGAGTTAGCATCATACGTGTCCGAGAGGCAGACTGATTTACAGCGATAGAAAGGAAGAGGATAAAAAACGCAAATATAAGATTCTGACGGATTCGCCCGGGAGAGAAGTGCCCCAGCAGTAGTGGCAACAGCAGCAGCAGCAGTAGCACATCCGCCCCTTAATCTAATCCGAGATAATCTAAAATTCATGACACACATAACTGCCAGGCGATGATATATCTGGTATGGCCACCCTCCATGCCTGCAGTAGTACTACAGTGTAGCAGCATTACGTACGCGCACAGACACACTTACATACGCATACGCGCCGCACGGCACGTCTATTGTTGTTGCTCTATTTATCTATCGCAGGCGCAAAATCTAGCCACACGCGTGAAAACTTGATACGAGGATTTATGCACCTACGCGGAGGAGAGACGGAAAAAGGAGGCAAAAAAATCCGGGCCATGCATACGCAATCGTGCCGAGGACTCGTTTAGGCGGTTTTAAAAGGCGAATAATCGGCGGAGCTGCGATAAATCACCATTACAATCCCTAGCGCCGCTCCAGTGCACCGCTGCGAAACCACTGCGCGACAATTACGTACGCGGCTGTAATTGATGATGTAGAGTCGCGAATATTATCCCGCTTCTCTCTAGCCGCATATTATTTCCCAGTTAAGTTTTCACGCTCGCATTAAAAGGACGTTTTGTTCTTTTTTTATCCTGCTCCTCGTCGAAAGCTAGCGACGGATGTACGCGGCGGCGGCTCCAGCGGAGCACAAACGACAGGCAATTTGAGAACGTCTCGGTCCTCGCGGCTCGCTCATTTAAAAAGTCGAGATTAAAACGGAGACACACAGACTCTAATTTGCCGGTATAGCGAGTCTGTGTGCCGAGGGTCGCGCCACTGCACGCGTACTTAATTTCGTCGCATACATTTTGATTTAGGCCTGAAAAATCGTCCTTTTCAATAATACACTCCGGTACAGCGCGACTAATCCTATTGGTGTAGTACATCAAGTTGCAGAGGTCGACTGCATGTGTATACACAGGGAGTTATTTGCAGCGCTTGGATTAATGCCTGGGCGCAGTAACGGCACCCTAGAGAATCCATCTATACGTGTACATGTGCTGCATCAACACACATGTACAGCGAGCACAAACACACCGACAGACGGCCAGTGTAAAGATGACGGCGTAACAAGATTACTCTCTCGCTATCTCTCTCGGGCGCGCGCAAGCTCGGATGGGCTTGATTTATCCTCGCGCTCGTTCGTTCGCGCTTTATTGCATTAACGCCCCGCGAGATGACCCCTTGGAATACGTACTACATGTAACTCTGCGACTGTATAGTATACGCGTCTGTGTGTGCGTGGCAAGTATGTATCTCTGAATCATCGCGCGAACTGTTTTTCTTACTTTTTCTGCACTTTTACGCGCGTTATTTATCGGTCAGTTTTTATCCTCACCCTCTTTTTCTCCTACGTTTTTTCACGCTCTCGTCTATACATCGACTATTTGCTCGGAAATATCTTGAGGTTTGACGGAGTCGAGTTTAACAGAGGGAAAGGAATGAGACTACGCGACTTTTTACCTACACTTTTTTTCCTTTTTATTGTTGAATCGGAAGTCATTACATGAATACTTGACAAATAATCTATACACAACTTTTTTCTTCTGCTACTTTTGCATCACTTTACACTGTATCTTAAATTTATGCTTGCGATAATTATGCTATTTTCTATATTCAAAAAATTAAAAAAATAAATAAATAAATAAAATCAACAAACAACAAGTAAGAACATGAGGTCAAGCTTATATATAACGCTGATGCACATCGATCGAAGCTAGAACGTTTCTTTCGTTTTTTGTCTATTTAATAATAATTTACACGTATACTTTCGTACCTTTCGCCGTGCATGAATTTCCACCTCATTATTTATTTTTTTTTTTTTCATTTCGAGCGGAGCAATTTCAGTTCTCGCCAGTTCGCACCCCCCTTTCTATTTTACATAGCAGCTCGCTGTCTATACTTTTGATTAGAGAGCTGCCCTTTTGATTATGGACGAGACAACGTTTAAATAAAGTCGATGCGTCATCGTCGCGCACTCGTAAAACTTTTATCACTACGTAATGATAATTATAAGCCCTCGGATAGGGAGTAACATTAACGTACAGAGATCACAATTGTCGGCTTGAAAGAATGCTTTGGCAGTGGACTCGAGCTCTAGGCCGTCCTGTCGAGGCCCAGAGCCTCCTGATGCCTTCGAGCCTTGAGCCTCAGGTCGGCGATACTGCTGCTCTTGGACCTGGTGCTGGCCGCGGCGGCCGCCGCCGCAGCAGCCGCAGCCGCTGCCAGGGACACCCCCAGGCTCAAAGAGGAGTTGGCGTGTCCGACGTGGCGTGGCGTGGCGGCGCCGCTCGGGGTGGCGGGCCCGGCGTGGGGCAGGCAAAAGAGCCCCCCGGCCGCGGCGTAGTGGAGCACAGCCGGGTCGAAGGCACTGCTGGTGGAGTTGGCGCTCGGGGCAGCGGCTCCGTTGGCCGCGGAGGTGCACGACTGCGACTGGAGCTGGGCCGCGTGATGGAGCCGAAGCGCCGGAAGGTAGGGCGCGACCCGGCACGAGTCCAGCGACGTCGGTGGGCTCCGAGGGGCCAGTACCATGCCTCCGCCCACGCCTAAGCACAAATATCGCATCGCTCGTTAGTTCGAGCTCGTGATCGATCGATTCGAGAGCTCAATAGCGACGGTGATACCTTTGTGCATCTGGCTCTCGTGCTTGCGGCACTTGGCGCGTCTGTTCTGGAACCAGACTTGGACGCGAGCCTCGCTCAGGCCCAGTCGCTGGCTCAGTTCCTCGCGCATGAACGCGTCCGGGTAGTGCGTCTCGTCGAACAGCCTCTCGAGCTCCGCCAGCTGCTCCAGGGTGAAGTTCGTCCGAGATCTGCGTTGTTTGCCGTTACCACCGGGGCCTGCGGTGCTGCTTGGGCCGCTCGAGCTGCCGCTGCTGCTGCTGCTGCCGTTGGCCGATGCACCGTTGCCGCTCGGATTGCTACGCAGGAGGCTGTTGTTGTTGTGATTCGATGACGTTCCTTCGCCTGAACAAACGATTACATGCGCACTTTTATCGAAGGCCGTGAAAAAAATAAGCAAAACAAAGCATATAGCCAAGGAGGGTAAAAGAACAAGACGTAGAGCGAACGACGCGCTCCAAGTGTCGGTGTAATTCACGCTTGCTCGGCGCGCCGCTGCCGAAACTTTTCTCTGCTTGACTTCTTGAGCTTTTTCACGGATCATTTCGCTCGGGCTCTTTCTTTCTCTCCCTCCCTTTCTTTACAGTGAGTATACGAATTTCCGACGCCTCGTCGTAGAATAAAAATGTCTAGCATAAAGCGCTTATTGGCTGAAATCAGTGCGCTGCTCCCCTTCCTTCTTCATAAATGCATAAATATGAAATTGACTTTAATTTTATGCATTATATTCACTAGACGAGGATTTATACGCACTTGGCCTCACTTTACGATAATTATATCCTCGCAAATATCGCTGAGCTTGCAGCATCCCTCGAGACAAATTAAAGAACGATTTCTCTTTCGAGACTTAATAAAGTATCAACTTATACATACACACACACACCTGCTGTGAGTGAAAACCACCTGAGTTTGCTGTAAGAGCTAGGTAATTTCTAAATAGCCTCGAGCTTGCGCGCCATAGCAAACTTGGCGTAGGGTAGTTTTCTCGGTTCGCACGAGAACGAGAGAGACTTTCTACGCTAATTAATCGTAGGCTAACTAATGACTTCTTAAGACGACGACGAGGAGCAACGACGGCGGTGCGAAGATTTATATAATTTAGTTAAGTGCTAGTATGTGTTTGTATCGCGCGCAGCAAGCCGCGGGGGTACGTCCGTATACATAATCATGCCCCGTGAGAGCCTAGAGCAAAACCGTTGAAGCGTGAACTGCTCGAGCTCGTCTGCAGTTTCTATCGATTAAAACGATTTTCTCCTTTTCTTTTAGGCGCTGAAAAGTAGCGAGCTTGCGATGTAATTAAAAAAGAGAGCGAAAAAAGCTCGAGGAGTTACGTAGGCGGCGAATTGCCCATGATATAGGTGCGTACGCGTATGAATCTCGGGAGTTTTAATCAATTAGCGAACAGCTCGTGTATAGGCGGCCTCGTATAATCCAATCTGCGCGTCGACCCCTGCGCGGGCGGCCAAGATATATACGCGATGTGTATATTGTATAATGTATACGATGGCCATGCCCGGAGTCTATACCGTCGCGCATATGCGTCGGTGGTTTCGAGCTCGGCGAGCCGCCCCCTGTGTGCCCTGCCTGCGTTCGGCACATTTTAAAGCCCGCGGCGCTCTAGCAGCCTAGTATGATAATAACGCGCCGCTGCAGATTTATGGCCCGAATCATGGCTGCGAGCGCGAATTTGTCGCGCGCGAGTCCCAGCTCCGCACTGGCAATTCTCTCGATTCTCGCGCTGCCAGCGCTGCCCTGTAATACGCGCCCCGACATTTTTCCAATCTCGGCGCAGGAGACTCTTTTTTTTTTGTTTTTTTTTTTTTGCACTACCTCGCCGCCGATCCTCGATGTACGATGAGAACGAGAGTCAAGAGGAAAACGAGTGCGTAGGCAAAAAAAGCTCAGCTCCTCTCGCAATCACGCTCGGTACACACACGCGCGCCTGTAGGGGTCAGTAATTTCGTTACATCCATCCGGTGACGCTCGTCTTCTTCTTTTTCTCGCCCCACTGTACTCGTCGGCTATCGAGCCGGACGCAGCACCCTTGACTTTTTTTTCCTTGCTGCTGTTTATGCCCACGCGTCGCGTAGCCGGTACAAACTATCGCCTCCGCTAAGTAATGATGTTCGTTCACGCGGATTAGGGGCTATTTGTGTAATGCATCGATTTAATATCACTGACGTATTAGCACTTAGTCTCGTGTGCGCCTTGCGATCGGGCCATCGTGAATGAAAAAACAATTTGAGCCGAGCGAAACACTTTGCGCGCGATTTATGACTATTACCGAGCGACTGACCGTAGGCCACACTTTTGGCCCTAAAATGTATATCACGATGAGTAGCTCTCACATCTTACTTTTTTGCTACCCTTACGGAGCGAGTCTCCCCCTCCCTCCTTCTCTCTTTCTTATGCAGAAAAGACGTGCGCGGCTTTATTTACGACGTAATTCGATTTTCCAGGCGTGAGGAGTAAAAAATTCGCGAGATATGGTCAAGCTTCTTGTCTTTTTTATATATGCCCCGAGTCTGGCACGCGCGCGAGGGCCGACCGTAATTTCATCAATCGAATATACGTGTGCTACATATATATACATGCAGGGAATAGCAGCCCAAGCGAGCAGATACCTTTTCTAATATCCAGTGCTTTTTTACGGCTGTAGCTCTCGTAAAAGCAACTGCAATTGCGATCGCTTATTTTATTGAATCGTTCGATTGTGTACACTTAAAGGGTATCGAAGGGACCGTAGTCGAGGAAAAAATTCCGACAGCCGATAAATTTGACTCTCCTGACACAGTGAGCAAGACGAGGCGCGGAGAAATTGAGATCGACCGATTCTATCAACAATACGTAGCTGGCACGAGCCAACTGCCGTCCCGAAAAATGACTCTTGAAAAGTGGCGGTCAGCGGGTACATATAGCCACGATACGGACTTCACGACTTGAATAATTGATTCGCCGAGTCTTTGAAAAAGGTCCCCGAACGGGAATGACCGTGCAGCTATATATAAGTGCGTATTATTATTAAACGTAATCGATGAGCGAGTGCGACTCGTGAGACGAAACGATCGGTCGTGAATTTTTTACAGGACGCGCGTCGAGCGAGCGAGTTGTCGCTGCAACCTGCGCAGGAGGGGAGTTTTTCCCGTGACGTTTGTTCTCTCACCTTTGCCGGACGGACTGGACGTAGCGATGTCTTCGTGCATCAATCGTAGTCTGGCAGCCGCCGGATGCCTGAGCTGCTGTTGTTGCTGCTGCTGCGACGGAGCATCTGGACTGCAACGATGAAGCCGCTGCGAGCCACTATTGAACTCGACTGCGACGGGACTGCAGGACCTCGATCTGTTGCTGCTCTCAGGCGGCGGCGACGGTGTGCAGCCCAATAATTTTCTCACGGATAATTTCAGTTCCGGCGGTTTCGCTAACGTTGTGCTCATTTGACTGGTGCTTCGAGGCATTTGCGTGGCCTGCTGGTGATGATTCGAGCCGATGGACAGATCTTCCGGGGAATCGGGCGGCGCGTCTTTTATACTCGCCGCGAGCTCGCTTATGTGAACTTTTTGATGAAGTTGACGATGATGAAGATGATGATGCTGATATTGGTGTGGATGATGATGCTGATGCGGATGACGGTAAGGATTGGAATCAACGTCCATTTGGTTGTTTGGCTCAGCTGTGGATCGTTCGAGGGAGTGATTAGTCAACGAACCGAGCGTCGGATAAAAGGGAGAAAAAGCACATGAAAAATACCTACTCTCCTGTCGAAGCTCCGAAGAGTCACGCGACTCGTCCCTGGACGAGTTGCTCCGAATCCGATCCGCGTCCAACTGCTCGTCACTCACTTTGTCCTGCAGCTTGACGCGCACTCTTGGCTCGTCCTCGTCCTGCGACAGCTGCTTCTCCTCGTTCTCGGACCTGTCGCTCTTGTCGGCTGGCACGTTGTCGTTGTCGTCTCGACCGACCAGTCGGGCGACGCTCAGCAACGTCATCTTGGCGGTCAGTCTCTTGTTGTTGGCTTGGGAGCTCGCGAGGTCGGCCCGATCCTCGTCCTGCTGCTGCTGAGCACGCTTCAGTGGCACGCTGGTGGCGCGGGCATCGTCCGATTCGTTGTCGTCCTCTTCGGGGCTGACGGCGATGAAGCTCTTCGAGACGAAATGCGCCAACTGTTCCATGCTCGTCGTCGGATAGTCAGCGAGAGGCCGCGTGTAGTCGACGCGACTTACCTCGGATAGCTATATCGACTCATGTCCACTCTTGGCTCTGGTCCGTCGAGCGATTGCGGCGCGCGATTCGACACCTACGCGTTTATCCTCGAGTATCCTCGCGATAGAGAGATAGAGACGAGCTTTTAGTCGCACGCGCTCGTCGTCTTTCGTCGGCCCGTCGGCTGGTAGTGCGCAGATGCGCGCGGACCTCCGTAGCACGCGTAGCACCGCGCGAGGGATCAACGACGAATGGCTGACTCGGCCAATGGCGATGCCACGGAGGCGGAGCTTTTATTTCGCGACAAGTAGGTGGGCACTATTTGTGTACGCTTCCAGTATAACTAGAAGCTGCCTTTGCTCGTCTCGTCTGCTCTTCTCTCTGTACTCTCACTCTCTCTCTCTTTCTCTCTCGCCTGCGTGTGCACTTGTACAAGTGTATATATCCACCTACGCTCGTACGTAATTGGCGATGGGTTTAACTTGTTAACGGCTCGATTAAACTCTCTTTTATGCCCCCCGAGTGTGAATGCCTGCCGCTGTACCGAGCGCGATGATTAATCACTATATTTTCCCGAGGAAATTTTTCTTCGACTTTTCTTCTTATGCTGCCGCGTCCTCTAATATGTTTTCTTTCAAATTTTCTTTCTCTCTCTCTACCTCTCTCGACTCTGCCGGAAAACGAGCGCCGAATGTGTTTACACACGTATAAAACTTACCGCTCTCGGCAGCTGGCATATAATAGCTGTGAATCGCTCGTAAAGTGCAACGCCGAGCACAGCTCTCACTTGTTTTCTTTGCTCAGCGATTTAGAAAATTATGCAAAACTATCCTATAACTGCAGCGCGACCGAGCGACACTGCCGACTCTTCTCCGCGCTTGAATATCTTTACGATGTCGTTTGCAGCCCGAGTGAGAAGCGCGAAGATCATTATACATGAGCATTTTTATACTGACTGCTGACAATAAAACTGAATAGGAAAAATTAACAGAGTGTCGTAGCGGTTTTTTGGAGCGAGAGTCGAAACGACGCGATAAATTATGCCGAGGGCGACACACGATTTTCATGTGCTCGAGGAGAGGTAAAAAAAGTCGCGCAAGCCGCGAAAATTTTCCTGTATCCATCGTGCGCTGCAAAATAATCGTCTTATTCAACTGGCAAGTATATAACATGTACAGCTAACTAATGTGTATTTACGCGCATAAACGTATGCATATACAGGAGCAATCGTAATACATGTGCTGCGTAAATGTAGGAAGGATAGCAGTAGTTTATGTTATTTGTCGGCGCCAAACTCGAGGCAATATTTAAATGGGATTGCGTTCGGGAATGTAATTGTTCGTGCAAACATTGCCGATCAGGCGCGGCGCTCGCTCGAGCTGTGCCTTCCTGTGCCTGTTCGCAGAGTCAACGAGAGCAAGAGAGAGAGATAGAGAGAGGTAGGCAAAATGGGTGGGAAATGGAAGTGGTGCAGAGGGGTTGGCATTTATACTGCTTTGCTACTCTGTGTATAAACGTGTAAGTGTGTGTGTGAGCGTACGTATAGACGTGGATATAGCGAGAGACAGACGTAGCCAATCAGGGCGCAATGCGATTACCTTAACGAGAAATCCGATTACTTATTCATTCGCCCTAACTCGAAATCAGTTTAACTAATCGTTTAATTCGCCGCTTCCACCTCTCTTCGCTCTGCTTCTCTTCACCCTATATAATATACATATACGCACTTACACATTATCAAAAATATAAATACGAGAATTACAGTTGTGCAGCTATAAACTGCGATGACATTTTCTAAAAATCTCATTGTCGGTGTTGTAGAGGTAGGGCTAGAAGAGGATTGCAAATATCGCGCGCGTTTGAATAATGGTAAAAAAGCTCAGTTGTGGAGGCAGAGAGCTTAGCGCGCGTGACGCGCAGAAAAGCCTGCGAGATTAAATACGATGGCTCGAGAGAGCTGCGAGGATAAATGCTATACTGCCTTAACTGAGCAGCAGCAGCAGCGAGTACCTTAGCTCGGTCGATTCAATTATGTAATGAATTGTCGTGTCGCTGCCGAGCGCGACTAAACGGCCAATGAAATTTAGCCTGGCTCTAATGAAATTTAGCCTCGCGCATACAGCGCATCGTTATAAACACGGGAAAATCAGGTACACGTATAATCTTGGACGCGCGTGCAACCGAGCGTTAATACGAGCTTGCACAAAGAGAGCGAGCTTTATGCGGTAGGCAGAGCTGATCGATAGGCTCTAACCACCGTGGCTTGTCTCATTAGAGCTTTCGCAGCGGAATCAGTTCTCGCTCGAGCTTTGCTCGAAAATTAGACGCAGCTTTATTCGTGGGCTGTGCGTACGATAGCTAGCGACAGACATGTGATTCCGATACGTGCATGTGTATGCGCGGCAGTGTCAACGGCTCTGCGGAGAGGATATGTTTGCACGCTTTGGCGTGGAGGGAAGAGAGATGAGCAGCGAGAGAGGCGAGACGCGATTGGATCGATATATGTATGGTGCTGGTACACAGTCGCTATAGCTCGCACACCTACGGAGCAAACGAGCTTGCGATAGCTTTATGTGTGTCCAGGCATGGATCAATTCACTCGGTAAAGCGATACGCTGGCTGACAGATCCAGCTCGTACCTTCGATACTCCGTGCGGGAGTTTCGCGATGCCTCGACGCCTCGATGCTCCTCACCTTCTTCGGGAAAAAAGATGCGATACTCGTGATTCGCGGCCGAACGCCAAGATTTACCGGGGCTAAAAATTCAGCCTCTAACCTGCAAGTTAACAATGAAGAGTCGTTTGGAATATCCGTCGCAATAGTCATCGCGCCTCGAGCGCGACAAAGCTCCACTTTTATTTTTTCGGCATAAAACACGGGTCAAATTTAAAAGTAACAAAGATGCTGGCGTCACCTCGACGAAGCCTCCAAATTTCCGCCAAATTGCTGCAACAGGTAAACCGGCTAATTGATATCGCCACTTGGGATTGTGTTATTTGAGGTTATTCGCGACAGTTGGAGAATCCGAGCTGCGGTCGAAAAAGCTTCACCTCCTGGTTTCCCTCGTGGTTTCGCAAAAAAAAGTCAGCCGCCTGCAAAGCTAGCTGCGACGGCCGCAAACCCTATCGAAATCCGTGCCGGCACAGACCTCTGCCCGACTGCCCTTTGGTGGCGTGTCCGGCCACGGGTGCCCCCGAGCCGCCACCCAAGACCTCCTGGTTCCGGCGGACACCGGCCCCCGTCAAACCCGACAACTGCGATCCTCCGGCCTGTCCGCGACCGGACACCTTCTGGGAGTACCTGTTCGGGCGCGCCAAGCCGCTTCCGGAGCCGCTCACCTGTCGCAGCTACTGGAAAAATCGCCAGCAGTGCAGGTGAGTACCAATCAGGAGGGCATCCGATCTAGCGGCATCGCTTCTTCTCGCTCGGCCCTTCTCGCAGGATACTGGATCGACGCCTCGAGGACCCTCGATACAAGGAGACCAGAGGCGACGTCCTGCTCTACAGCGAGGACTCGAAATTCGAGATGAATCTCGATCCGACCCCGAGGGGCCCGGGCGGACACTCCTGCCCCTACAGAGCGCCCTGCAGTGCCATCATCGGCTGCATATCGAGGCACCTTTCGTCCATCGACGATTTCACCTCCTGTGCCGTTTCCTTACCCGATCCTTGCCAAAGAAATTTGTAACTATCCGACCCTTTTTTTCTCTCTCTCTCTCTCTTATCGCGCTTGATTTCAATACCTTGTAATGTAATAAGTGAAATCTTGATGAAAGGTGTCCGGTGCACTCGAAGCCCGCCCGACTGCCTTACGAAGAGCTGCGACCGGCTCCACAGAAGGGAAACAAGTTTTATTGCTGCAAAACGGGCATCGCCACTGAAGAGGTATCGCTGCCCGTCAGGATTAACGCCCATGATTGCCCAAAGCTCGGCCCGGACAAATTTCCCCCTTTCGAAGAGGCCTGCGAAGCCCGAGATGGTTGCTGCCTTCATAAGACAAATTGAGTCAACTACAATTGGCTGCGTAATTTTGTAAAAATCACTCATGATGTAACTAAACGAGACTCGAGAATAAAACTGTAGCACGATACCCGACTTTTTTGGAAAAATATAAAATTCGCGCTAATATCGGTCTGGCTGAGCTAGCTCGCGCTTTCCTTGCCAACTAGTGACATCTGTCGTACAGAGTTTCAACTGCCGGCGCATTTTACCGAATCTACGTAATGGAAGCAGTGCTGGGCTTATGGAAGGTACACAAGAGAACGTGTGTTATGTGAGGTTATGCCGTTCACATCTTTTCAAACGTCAAATTTGATAGCTGCTGTCAAAGTCTTACAAAAGCATCACGTGATATCTATCTACCTGTCAATGATCATAAAAATATCTTCATTGTTAACGCTATTTTCAATATTATTGATATCGCGAAATGTCGATTGAGTTAATGAATATCAGAAAAAGAGGGCGAGTTTTCACCGATAAAGTTAATGAGAGTGTCGATGTTGCCAAAAAGCGGAAAATAAATGACGTAGCTGACATTCCAGTCATCTCCTGTCATAATGAAGTAAGTATCATTAGTATTGCTTCCATATCTAATTTTTTACGCCACGATGGTGATCTTGTTGTAGCCTGTCTTCTTACTTCGGAAAAATGAATTTCATTTGGTGTCAAACCGAAAACTTGAAACTTGGGACATGAAAAATATACATAATACAAAATTATTTTGTCGCGTGAAAAGAAAAATAATTTTAAAAAAACTTGATATTCCATGAGGTACGAAAGAAATTATTTTAAAATTCTACTTTTTATCCATTTTTCATTAATTTTCGATTGTAATAGTGTCTCGTGAATTGTAATTTATCTCAAACCAGCAAAAAAAATCTATCTTAGTATCATTTATGATACATATTTTTACCAAAAAGTAATCACGTTTATAAGACAATTTAATTATTTATAGGTATATCCTCAAGTATTGGATGATGTTGAAAATTGGCTCAAAAATTTAGAACCAAAGTGCAGCTCCGAATTAAGTGTTAAAGATGTAGGGCAAGTTGGTATGGAAAAATTCTTGAATGAATTGTATCCAGAACTTGTACAAAATCCAACAGAGCCTATAAGTATTGATTATGAAGATAACGAATATAACTACTTGGAAGAAGAAAAACAAAAGAGACCAGTTGAGCAACAGTATAAACCAAATTTAAACAAAACCTTGGTTGGTGTTGAAAATACTAACAGAAGTATAATTAAGAGTCCTCGAGTAGATTCACAAAGTATTCAGAAGACCTCTAATCATACTATTAATATAACTCACAATAGAAGATTAAAAATTGAAAACCAAAAAAATAATAAATTGAGTCATGCATCTTCAGTTAATTTTGGTTCTAAACAATTGAAATCAAAAATAGACTCACAATCAAAATCCAAGTTGCAACCTAAGCAAATTAAAAAACCAACTTCTGAAAAAAAAAAACCATTAATAAAAGACCATCAAAATATTTCAGTAACTAAGTCTTCCAAAGAGGATCATTCGCTTGTGCTCAAATTTGCTGTTGGACAAGAGAAGACTAAAAATAACACCACTAACAAACCAACAAAAAAAGTTACCTCTCAAAGCAACAAAATACCAATTGCGGCTATTGATTCTAAAAAAATACATAAAATGTCAAGCCTTGTTAACCAAGAAGATATTATTGATGAAGCTTTACTATCTGTTGGTATTACGGATGAAATTTTGAAGCACAAAAAAGATTCTGAGAACATAAAACTTTGGTACTGCCATAAAAATTTTTGTGGTAAGGAGTTTTATAAGCTATGTCAACTCAAAAGTCATTTGTTGGAACATTATGAAATTAAACCTTTTAAGGTAAATCTATATTTTATTTTTTATACTCTTGTTTATCTTTAATTTGCTGCATAAATTGTATTAATTTCCAATATTCATTAATTTCAGTGTAATTATCAAGGATGTTCCTCCTCATTTTATTTGGCTCACAAGCTTTATAGACATCAAAAAATTCATAAACCATCTACGAAAAAAAAATTCGTGTGTACTATCGACAATTGTAATCGCTCTTTCACGACGTATTCAATTCTGAAAACTCATGAAAAGTCACATCTGCGTCCATATGCATTTAGTTGCGATATGCCTGGTTGCACAGAAAAGTTTCAATTGGCTCGTGACCTTCGTAAACATACAAACGAGTTTCATTCAAAAGATGAAGCAGAAGCAATGTTTACTTGTGATACTGAAAATTGTGGCAAAAAATTTGGTACTATAGGAGCTTACAAAGCTCATTGTATAACACATAGTTATTCTAAGTCAGACTTAACTTGTTCCTGGCCTAAATGTGGCAAAGAGTTTAAGCAGCCATGTAAGTTGAGAGCACACATGAAAATACACAACAAGGAAAAAAATTATGTCTGTAATTTTGAAGGATGCAACAAGTCTTTTATAACATCTAATAAGCTTAACAGGCATAAAGCATCACATACCCAAGAGCGAACATTTGTTTGTAGCATACAAGACTGTGGCAAAGCTTACATTCGTAAGGATCATCTGAAAGACCACGAAAGAAATCATAAAAAAGATCCATTGTTTACATGTGAAATCTGTTCCCTTGCATTTTTGGCTAATGATAAATTACAAGATCACATAAAGATACACAATAATCATTGCAATGAAAGAGCTTTGCAAGAAAATGAAAAAGACAATCAAGTACGGATCCAAAAAAAGCCTCTGACAACTCAAAAGAAGTATGAATGTGCCTACAAAAATTGCGGTAAAAGGTACAAATTAAAAAAGACTTTAAGGGTACACATAAAATTAAAACACAGTGACAGTGAGTCTTCAAGCGATTTGAACAATGAATCTGACACTCCAAATGTTATCATAGCTCATGTGTTGGAGGACAACAGTAATATCAATGAAAATTCATCGCTAGGTGATGTTATACATGTATCTCTAGAGGATGGCTCTGAGCTATTAACGCCGACTAAAGATTCAGCTAACAAAGGATCGGCTCGAACGGAGCTCACTCGATCCATCATTCAGAATATGAAATCTCGTTCAAACTATGTTACCTCGGGTAAACCGTCAAATATGATTGATATCGAATTTCCTTCTCTACCAAACAGTGAACATGCAGAGAGCAATTCTAGTCCAGTATCATTCGAAGTAGATGCGGATAGTTGAGAAATGTTTCTGATTTAAAATAATCATACACTACCAGAACTTTTTCATCGAAATACTTTATAGTATAAGTGATGTAACTACTAATGTGAAAGAAAATTAAAGTATTACTTATGTTGATCACATCCTCAAGAATATACAAAAAAATAAAATTATTAAAATTTCGTAATTTATTAAAATTCTAATAATTGTATTATTGTGTAAATTTAAATATTTTTATCATTAATATTATGCCAGACATCATAATCATGTAAATATGTAAAAAAATTAAGTATAAGCTGCATTCATGATGGTTTTGGGATTTTTGTATAATAAATGATTGAAAACTTCACTTTAAACCTTAAATTTTATTTTTCAATTATGTGAATGAATGTGTGAGCTTATTTAAACACACATGTAAGTTTATTCAGTTAAATTCATAGCTTACATGCTAAAAACAATCTTTGGAATTACATTTAGGCGAGGAATGTACACCAACATTCTATAAATCTTGGACAGTACAAACTATACATTTATGAAAAATGATTATCTTAGTTCTAATGATATTTTGATTATAAAAGACTTAAAGTTAAGAAGATATAAAAAATTGTTTTAAAGCGATTTATAAATATTTTAATTAGGAGATGGTTCATCTCATCCGTTTTCGTCGGCTTAATTTTTATTCGAAATGGTAAAATACATAATGCTCTTTTCGTATAAAAAAAATTACTAAAAATCCACTCACCCAAATCTTTCTAGAATACTGTACAAGTAATCTCTTTCATTTGGTTACAACTATATCTTTTACAAGGCAAATCTTTCGCTTTTTCCCGTATTTCAAATATTAACGAGAGAAAAAAAATAGATAAAATGCATCGATTGTCAATAATACATAAAAAAAAGCTTATAGCTAAAATCTTGGTAAGTAATGTAAAAAAATACTTTTTTTTTATCGCCAAAAAAACGTACCATAGGATTGTCGTAAAAAATCCATACAAACGGTACGAATCCATTCGACCGTAGATCAAAAAACAAAAGACAAAAATTGAGCAACAAAAGTCTTTTCATCAATCGCGATGAAATAAAAAAAAAAAAAACACAGGATGGCTCCCTGGTCGATCACAGGCAGAAGGATAGTTTCAAACGACGGACTCTCCTTTCTTGGCCTTGACGTCACCGTTGGCAAGCTCGAGCTGCTCGATTTTCTTCAAGTAAGCCCTGTCGCGTAGCCTGGCCAAATAGTGCAGCAGGCAGTGCGTCAGGCAGAGGAAGAGGAGGCCACCGAGACAAACGGCCGAGGTGAGCAGCGGCTTTTGCCAATCGAGGACGTCGTAGATCCTCGGCTTGCCGCGCTTGTCGAGGCCGCCCGCCAAGTAGTAGACGATACTGAAGACGATGTAGCCGCTGACGAAGAGAGGCGCCCACCAGAAGCTGCGCATCTCGAAGGGCACGTTGGCCGCGAAGAAGTCGACGAGCATGAGCAGACTGTTGATCACGTGTATGAGGATGTTGAGCGTGTCCACGTGGTGGATCTTGGGATTGTGCACGAGGCCCCAGTAGCTGACCGTGACGCCGATGGCCAGACTCGAGGTGACGATGTACAGGAACCAGTAGGTCCTCTCGAGCAGGCCGTACTCGAGCTGGGCGGGATCGAAGTCCGGCTTGGAGGTCTGCAGTCGCCAGCGCTTGCAGACGAGGCAGACGCCGAGGAAGGACTGGATAAGGCCCAGGGCCAGGTCCCAGTTGGTCAGGTAGATGAGCCACTTCTCCTTGTAACCGAGCTTCTCGACGCTGCCGATCTCGAAGAAGGAGCAGATGCAGACGGCGAGCCAGAGGCCGAACATGGCCCAGCGGTAGCACAGGTACCAGGGGTGCAGGTACGAGTGGCTGCGGGGCTCGGTGAAGCGACGCACCCTCGGCGGCTCGGCCTTGCCGCCGCGCGACAGGAAGGACTTGCGAGCCAACTCGCGGAACCACAGCTTGTTCACCATCGCTCGACGACCTGCCAACACACAAAGTACACGCGCTCTTGTATACAGTTCGTATAATACAACAATTGGCGCGGCTTGCGCAATTACTGCGCGAATGCGCATCGCCAGCAGCAGCAGCAGCCTATAACGGTCCGTCTTTCGTTGCCGCGCGCGATTATGACCTTGCCTGGCAATTGCTCTACATCAATCTTTTTCGTATCGCGTGCACGAAAAATTTATGTACCCGCTAACGTTTATATAGTCGTTCTCTGTACACCTACATGTGTGTAATGTGTGTAACAGAGTTGAATTAACAAAAGTAATTATCGCTATAAAAACGGAACCAGCGAATAAACATCCATTCGATTTTTACGAACTTGATGAAATTTACACCGGAGGTTTGCGTCAGTTCGGCCTGTTCCCAATGTCGTTTCGCAAAAGGATTTTCCTTTTTTTTTCGCGCAATCTCTCTATTGGCCCACAAGCTTCTCGCTCAAAATATTATATACACATGTGCATATTTCGAAAATTCGATTTACTTTTTTTTTCGAAATTCAATTTTGAATGAAAAATTTATAAAGAGAAAGAGAAAGAGGGAGAGAGGAAAAGAATCGCGTGCAGATTATATACAGCTGCGACGCTGTACTTTCTCGACGTAAATTTCCACTCGATTGAATTACGTTAGCACGCGAGGGGGGCTCACTTATAAAGTCGTAAAAAAAAGGCATAAATATCGCGTCGCGGCTACTCGGATTTTGCGCGAACTCCCATGTGCTAACGAGTCTGTTTTCCTATATCTTTTACGTAGCTGCATGCGCGATCGGTTCCGTAATTTCTCGACTCCGCCTATATCTTTATACGTATAGACACAGCGAGTGGACGTGCGAATACGTCACATAAACAAACATAATCGAGCGTCATCTATGACATAATTTTAACGACAGACGATTTACTGACGAGCTGCACTATTTTTTTCCGTTTCCCGGCGACCCGTTGTTGCCTACGATGGTAGCACAAAATCATAGTATCTTTTTAAAATTCACGCCACGACGAGCAGACTCGCGACGAGAGACAGAGATAAGTTTGTTTACCGATCAAGCCGAAGCGTCTCGATGTTTGAACGACGACAACGACGACGTAGGTGATTCTTAACGCTGGAAAATAATGATTGGTGCGCGATTATAGCTCGATTAGCCTGCGTCATGCATATCATCAGATCGAGACGATAGGTAAAGACTCGGGAAAACTAAAAATACTCTCAAGCGCGAGCGGCCAGCTTTGAGCGAGAGAGAGCCGTGCGACTGCAACACACGGAAAATGCGGAAGCTCGAGTGGTATTGCCAAGAATCAAAAGCATTCGCACGTGGGCCTTTTAACAAGACTTCGATCATATACTTACAGAGGCGTGTATAACATCGCCGCCCGTGAGCGAGTGTATGTGTACGCATTCAGTGATGCAAGAAGAAAACTGTTACGCGACACATCCACGCGCTCCTTATAATTCTTTCTCGTGCCTCTGTTGCGTTGCATAATTAGCTAAAGAGCGCCTGTATATAAAACGATTTGCACGCGCGCGTCTAACTACTTACTTGTATGTTGTATTTAAAAAAAAAAAAAGAATAAAATTACGGGGAAAACTTGTTCACCTTAGCGAGTGCATGCACGTAGTATTACAACGACACAAACAAACAATGGAGCCTTTTACAACAAACAACAACTCACTTTTTGTGTTTACTTTTTGTTCAACAACAGCCGTCGAATCCTGGCTGAGTCACCGCAACACGATGGACTTTTCTTCGTAAAAGATGGAATAATAAAAATATTACCGATGCGAGAATCGAATCTTTGAGAAACGGAGAACGTCGTCGTCACTGCGAGACGATCGCTCACCGACTGCGCGCACTCGGCAACGAGCAATCCGCATGAGTCGGAGTGAACCGCGCGCACGTGCGCTTCTCGCCCGCAGCCGCACATGATTCGTAAGGTGCTACATGTCATTAGCTGCTTCATAGATGCCCCCCTCCCCTCCCTCTCGCTCGCTCAACATTTTTCTATAATGCGGCACATGCATGTATCCCCATATATTCTTATGATGTAAAAGAAAACACGGGCTGGCTCGAGAGGGGGAGAGAGCAGCCGTGCAAGTGACGCGCGTGCAAAAAAATTCGTCGATGCAATTGGTGGTTTCGGGCATCGCACCATATGGGCGAGCATATCGCACCACGCGCGCATTTCTTCGAAAGGCATTGTCGTCAGAGGAACATTTGGTCGTACTTTTTATGACGCCCATATAATTCGCTTACTGCACGACGCATTATTTGTTCTTACAAACAAGTAAATGATTTTTTTAACCATCTTTGCGTTCGAACGGATCGATGTAAATGGCATTGACTCTTATCAGTCATTTCCGAAATAGATCGACATTATCGTAAGCGAACAATAGGAACTTCGAAGCTCGTTAAAAGATTTCGACGATACGATAAAAGCTTTTTTACCGCTGCTATTATTACCAGTTGTATTATCGCGTATATTTGTGAGCCGTTACGAGATCGCCTTCAAACTTATCCGTAGTCGAGTATTACGATCGCTTATTAGTGAAAAATATTCTCAAAGCAAAATTAACTAAAGCTCGCGCGAGTAAAATAGAAAACCAATCTGACGATTTTCGGAGGCAATTTTAAAAAGGACTGCAATCGAAGCATCCGCTGACCCACATTTCAGCGCAAAAGTAAACAAAAATAAGTACATCCATCGGATTGATCAGCGCAAAATAAAAGAATCCGTCGCTTTTAGGGCTTCGTTTCGCAAAACAGGTCTCCCGCGCTCTCTTCTTTCTCTGCCTCTTTCTCTCGCGTGTTAAGTGGGATATCGACTGACGTGCTCACGCACAAGTGTGAGAAAGATTCCTTTGGCTATGATGATACGTAGGTAATGTGCGATCACGGGTGACGATTATTAAAGACGAATCCGGTCTTACGCGCGATCGTATGCTCCAGTGCACCGTACGCAGCTAGGCGAATCCTATTGCCACACCGTCTTATATATATGAGAGATTTTCGTGCCTGTGCATATTTAATTTGTAAAACGCAGGACATTGGCCTAAAAAGTGTCGAGCATTTAAATAGTCATATAAAATCGGAATCAGCGGGGCAGATCGACCGACGCACGTCGCTTTCGTCGATTGCGAAAGCTCCCAGAAAACGGACGAGAAACGTGTTGAGCCAAGTATACGAACAGATGAGAAGAAGACACGAAAGAAAAAAATGCCGACAGTCATCGTGTGCCGGATCACGTTTACTTTGTGCCAATATGTCCAGAGAGACGTTCGATTGTCTCATAGACTTGGGAAACGGTGACGTCTGTCGCACTCGGCAACCGTATGTTTATCCACGAAAAACCGCAGATACGCGAGCTGCGCACGTAATATAAAGTTTTATACAAAATAATATACTCGTTACTCACGCGAGCAAACGTGACCGAAAAGCAGTAAACATGCTTTGGGCGATGGTAACGCCCTGAAGCTGTAGACCTTCATCGCTGGCCGCGGCGTCACTGCATCGATCGGATGGTTGTCAACTTTTATCTTATGTCATCGCGAGGACGAGTTGACGAATCGCGTGGACCAACAAAACTCGGCTAAATTGCGATGCAGACGACGACGTTGACTCGGGCATGCATCGTCGCGGCTCGGCGTGTCCACTTTTACACGTCCGTGAGAGAGAGAGAGAGAGAGAATGTGTACGAAACAGCTGATCGCGCGCATGCGCCCGGCGGCACGGGTTTTAGCGCCAAAAGAAGAATCAGTCGAGGTGAACGAATTATCCGCCAATCAAAGGATTTTTGGGAGTATCTCGTTGGTTCAATTGACAAAAAACGAGTATTATCCCGAGTGTGGGTCGCTCGCGAGACGGTGGACTCTACTACATAGGTGTAGTGGCCGACGCCAATCATCGCTCCAACTCATTCATCTTGTGTCGGAATGTTTTTTCATCCTTCGACTGCATTAAGCCTTGCGGGCTTTGTTATAAACGTGAGTACAATCGCGTCTGCGAGTAAAAAATTCCAAAGTGTCAATGTCAAAAGTAAATATTGAGCCGTAGAATACGTGAATTATATATATACGGCTGCTTGCGAGTTGTCAGTTGCGGCGGCGGATCGCCGATTGTGCAGTAGCACATGTAGCTAATAATCGTGCGTTGCATGCTCGAGTGAAAGTTATGCATTCGCAATCATGCATCGCGTATTATGAAGCTGCTCGTTGCTCATTATATTGCATCTGCGGTAATTAACGTCCGTTTGTATTCAGTTGAAGCAATCAATAGAGCCTCGTTTAGCATCGACATTATGGATCACTTAATGATATACGGGTCTCTCGAGTTATCGCGATCGAACAAAGACGAATTGCCAAAAATCGAGTCGAGCGAAAGTACCAACAAGTAGCGAAATTGCGCCAAATCTAAGTCTGGCTCGTGGCCTTGTCTCTCTCTCTTTTTGATCGGATAGGCATGTGCGCGTTGACGCCTGTGTATGCTTTGTGCACACAATCTTTACCATCTTTTAATATCAAATACACATACTTATGCATTGTACGTATATGGATGCAGGCAGGCAGGCAGGCAGGCTTCAAAAGGTCGCGCACACTTGTGTGTATACGGCTATACGCGTTACGTGTGGCCGCATGTGCGTTTGAGCAGCGCACGCAGTACACACACAGTCAATATTAATTCAGCGAGTAATTTATTATAATCGTGTCCTATTATTGACGCTTGCGTGTTTTACAATACTCCATATATACATGTAGTCGTCGTCGCGTCGTCCATACACATGCACACCGAGAGCCGAGCACGTATCGCAGACACGAGCGAGAGGCATTCATTCAAGCGGTTATTCATCTCTTTGGCCGTCGTGCATGCAAGCCCTAGCTCTCGTACACGCATACATATCTTATGCGAATATAATATCCTTTTATCTTTAATCCGTGACGGCGAATATATTTTGCGCGTTAACGTTTTGTCCCAGCGGACAAATGGACAAACATTACTGAATTCATTTCCATTCATGAGCTTTTTTTTATCGCTTCGCACTATAACTATTTAACGAACCAAAGAATGGAATTAGCCCCGATAATGCCTTTTCGATATTTTATGACTATTCAACAATTTCTCGATAGGCGCTGTGATCCGATCGCCACGTTATTTATCGATTTTTAGTTGATTGATACGAATTAAGTATAGAGCTTGAGCTTCTTAAACGCGAAACACGCGAGGGTTCGAACGAGCCACCGTTTGATGAGGAAGTTATTAACTCGTAATTTCATTTGTCGAGTATGCTTAATTTAAAAGACATTAATACTCGTTAGAATCGGAATATTGCGTTGTAAGCTAAAAGCAGCAGCCCAAGTCTCAATAAAATGACCATAATTCACTGAAAATATAGACACCATCGATTTCAAAAAGTCATCTTTATAATCGAATCGATCGCGCCTCCAAAAAGTATGCATAAACTACGTGCATTAGGATTGTCAAAGAATACATACCCTCTTTGGCGCCGAGCAATATCTAGACCACATTATTATCTCGAGCCGTTTGATCGGCTCCGCGTACACGATGGTGTACGAGCGATTGAAATGAAATTAACATCTCGACACATGCAACACACCACAAATGTAAGTTCCGAGAAAATCACAATCGAATCACTGCGTGTCGTGGTGTGCAGAGAGAAAGAGAGAGAGAGAGAGAGGCGACGTCGGCGAACAAGCCGACACGAGGCTTACTTATTAATGCAATCAGCAAGGCGATGTAACCGAGGCGCGAATGTCGTGCGATGATTGAAAAAATAAAAGAGCTAAAAAGCGAGAGCGAGAGAGAAGGAAAAAAGGAAGAAGAAAAAAGACCCACGTGCTGCCGCAGTGGCCGAGCAACAATTGAAATCATCGCCTATCGTTGTCTCTTGCTGCTGCTGCTGTTGATGCTGCTGCTCGTGTTGTTGTTGATGCTGATGTTGCTGTTGCTGTTGCTGTTGCTGCAGCTGCTGCTGTTGATGTTGCAGACAGCTGCAAGTCTCGGTGAAATTGAGCAGCATCGAGTCCCGAGCCCTTGCGTATTGCGGCAGAGTGCAGATGAAGCAGTCGACTATCTGCCCAGAGCCATTCAAGCTCTCCTCGACTCGCCGAGTCTGTGTTGTACTACACGTACGCGTCTCTTGCAGAGCAGTGGACGATGATGCTTGACGAGCGGTACGACGACAAAAAAAAACGGAGAAAAAAAAACACGCCGCCGTCGCTTTGTATCGCAATCATCGGAGAGGAGAACCTGGGCCGCATGTGCACACAGACTAGCGCACGCATACACGCTCGCGTCCAAAGCTCGAGTGCGCGCATACAACGTATATACGTACGTACGTACATTATATCGATCGGCATCCCGCGACTGTTGCACCTTATGGACTTATATACGTATATTCTTCGCGCTTGTTGTTGTTGTTGTTGTTGCTCGTCTTTTTTTCTTCGCACTTCGTGTACATATCGGGGCTGCCTCTGTGATCGGGTTTCGCAGTGTTTTTTTTTCACGCGATCGCCAGCGTATATTTTTTTAAAAGCCAGCACGACATTGGAATTAGTAAAGCTGACTCTGTATTTGTTCGTGTGGATGTTGTAAGCCACGAATGCAAAGAATCTAATCGTACGATCCACGCTGACCAACGAGTCACCGATAGAGCGAGATTTTTCTTTTCCGTTTCTTTTTTGGGTCGCAAAATTTCAAAGCACAAAAATAAACTTACGTCGCTGATAATCGTATATGCATGGGTATTGTGTGTCGAGCTCGAGGGGGACCTATAAATTTTGGGATATCGAGCTCGACTCATTATATATAGAAGCGTTCAACGGCTTTGGACGTGTTTCCGTCGAGATCGAGCTCGAACTTACTCGCTAAGAAAACAATTTGCGCCTATTCCCTTTTTCCAAGTCACAATCGGCCAGACACCTGCAAGTGCGATGCGCCTGAATGCACTGCGAGTTCCAATAAGCGTATAGTCACCCCCGTTAAGAGAGATATTAAAGCCGCCGGCCTGGACGTTAATTCACACACGATAGCCGTAAGTCGACTCGTTATTGTATATATTATGTGGCTATAGGCCGTATAGGAAAGCCGTTGCTCGGGCGTGTGTGTCTTTTTATTTATAAACTCGAAGCGGCGCGAGCCAAAAATAAAAGCTCTATATACCCGAGGCGGGCCGCCACATGCTGGTAGTGGTTTGCTTCTATGCCTATAGATATACATCCTAGGCGAAATCTCTCGTAGTGCCAGTGGATAGACAACGTCATCCCATAAGAGAAAGGCGGAAAGCAGCCGATGCCTCGGCGCTGGCTCGGCAGTCGTGGAGCTTTCGCGAGCCCGGCCGCGCGCGGATAGGTCCAACGGAATAGTTTTAGTAGTAGCTGGCTCGGGCCGACGAGAGCCGACAGCCACATCGAGGACCGACGACGTTTTGTGTGTGTGTATTATGCGCGGGCGTCGTCGCTGCTCGCGCTGACCCTCTATTATCATGCTCGACGAAACGATGACTATTTCTTGCTGCTGAAAAACGAGTGCGCGAAACTGACCGATCGTGATCCATGTGTACTACGATATAAACAAGTTGTTAGGATAGATCAGCGAAAAAAAAAATTGTCCGCAGTGGCGAAATAATAATGCGTGCGTTGGCCGGTTCTTGGTTTCTGCCGCTCGTACTGTTGTGCTTGTGCACGTGCCAACTACGTGCCGAGAGAAGATCCAAGGAAAGCGTCTTGTGAGTATTTAATGCATCGTATGCGAGGGACTGGACAACGACGACGACGACGAAAAAAAAAATACAATTATTATTGGCGCGTGCTCGATCGCGAGCAAAGACGAGATATTGGCTAGCGTGGCCGAGAGAAACTAGGCTAGCGTAATCGAATATTCGACGTATGCGCCTATTACGGGATTAGCCTACTCGAGGCTCAGCGATCGCTAATTCAACTTGTATCGTGTGTTTGCGCAGGGTCGACCAATGGGCTGAGAGCATCGGTCAAGAAATATGGCGATTAACCAACACCGTCCTCCAGCCTACGGAGCTGCTCCAAGTGCGTATATCGATCCTCGAATCGCGAGCTTAACTCGCTTTAATTGCTATCACTGAATCGATGCTTATTTTCCGTACGTGACTCGATTTCTTAACAGAGGTATAAGAAGATGGGAGCCCGAGTGGCCGACAAATCCGGCGAGGAGATCATCAAGACCATCGGCGAGAACGTCGGCCGTATGCTCAGCCGCAAGATGGACGCGGTGAAATGCCTCTACAAGGAGGCCGAGAGCCTCTCCGAGCAGTGGAACGGCAATTACAGCAACGACTTCACCTACTACTCGGCCAAGTACAGCAACGCCAGCGTCGAGCAGGAGATCGACATACCCCAGGTGCCCTCCAATATGCTCAATCAGTTGGACACGTACGTGTAAGTATCGAGTCCTTTAGAGGATTGATTTAGATAGCTGATTCAATCGTCGTATTTAGACCGATGAGCCTCGAGCCCGACACGCACTTCAACAACATCAGCGTCAACACGAGCTTCTCGTCGATCCACGTGCCCACGAACGTGTTCGACAAGCTGCCCCGGGTCGGCGAGACGATCCTCTGGTCCAAGCAGATGGACCGCATCTTCAAGCACAACTACCGCTCGGATCCCGCGCTGATGTGGCAGTACCTCTGCTCGACCACGGGCATCCTGAGGCAGTACCCGGCCATGCGCTGGCCCGTCGCCCACACGGCCGACGGTCGCGAGCTCTCCGACACCTACGACTGCCGAGTGCGCAGCTGGTTCATCGAGGCGTCCACCTGCAGCAAGGATATGGTCGTCCTCGTCGACAACAGCGGCAGCATGACCGGCATGAGTAACACCATCGGTGAGTCTCCCTCCTTGTACTTGGCATTCGATTCTCGCGAACCCGATACGATTGCGAACGAGCGAAAAATATAACAAAAATTCCGTGTACTATCGCACTCGTGTCATTTGAGACTAGCGCGCTGAAAAAATGTGCCAATCGGCCGACGGCAAATCGTAAATAACGTCGTTTTGCAGCGAAAGCAACGGTCGCCACGATACTCTCGACGTTGTCCAACAACGACTTTGTCGCCGTGTTCAATTTTTCCGACACGACCGATCAGATCGTGCCCTGCTTCCAAGACAAGCTCGTCCAGGCGACACCGGAGAACATCAAGAAGTTCAACCTGGAGATCGACCAGATGAGGCCCGAGGGCGTCGCCAACCTCACCGAGGCTTTCATGACGGCCTTCGACATCCTCGAGGCTTATCGCACCAAAGAGCGCTGCGGCGAGAGCATGTCCTGCAATCAAATGATCATGCTCATCACCGACGGCATCGCTTCCAACATTACCGAGGTCGCTAAATCATCCTCGCATTCGATGCGATCCCCAGTTGTCGCCCTTTGCTAACTTGGTCACTCGTTTGTCGCTCAGGTCTTCGAAGCCTACAACTGGTTCGAGAACGGCACGAGGATACCGGTACGAGTGTTCACCTATCTGCTCGGCCAAGAGGTGCAAAAGGTCCGCGAGATCCAGTGGATGGCCTGCCTTAATCGCGGCTACTACGCCCACATACACAATCAGGCGGAGGTGCCCGAGCAGGTGCTCAAGTACATAAACGTAGTGGCCAGGCCACTGGTGCTCTACGGCAAGGCCCATCCGGTCGTTTGGACTCACGCATACGTCGATATATCGGTGAGTGTGAATAGCGTCGCGTAGCCAGGACGATCAGCATATGCGGAATTCGCGACAAAGGACTCGTATGCATTTATTGGCGGGCGCGCAAAGTCACGCAGCGCACGAGCTGCCACGACTGATTATATTTCGCACCGGCGCGCGCGTGCCGAGTCATTTTCATCAATCAACGCCTCGCGTCGTCGATGCGCTGCTCTCGAGTTCGACAATGTTTTTTTTTCTTTTCATTTCTTAAATTACAGCAGGCGCACGAGTTAAGCGCGCGAGACTCGCAATTATGTCATTAGACGTACGTATACAGGCCGGCCAGCGGCGCTCTCCATAGCCGTTACGAATCGAGAGCGATAAGATTCTAGAGAGACGATGATGACTTCTCCAGTTTCGATGTTTGACGTCAATATATTCTCTCGGTATATATATGTAGCGTATACAGTGCGCCGAGAGCGAGCTTCCATGTGCAGTCCGAGGGTTAATTTACTTAACGCTGTTTTTTTATTACGTGCACGTTAATTCAAGCTCACGGAACACAGGAAGCACGCGCACGCATCTTTTTCTATCATTTCTTCATTTCTTTAAACATGTCTTACTTTTTTGATCACTTTTTCATTTTATCATACCAAGAGCTGAAGAGGAAAATTCTTTTGTTGTTTTTTAAAGCGTGAACAAAACACGTCGCCAATCTCGAAAGATCCAAAATTTGTCGATGACGGCGTCGATATAACCGACGAGAAGGTAAAACAAAACGCCACATGCACGCCCAAGAAAAAAAAGCTCGCATTTTGCATTCAGCCAGAGTTCTTGTTTCTTAGTCATAGTCACTTTTTTTATGGATTTTCTCAACATTTTTTTACTGTTACCTCTGTGTATTGTCAGTGCAATCCCACTATTTAAACTATTGCCACGAATCATCAAACAATTATACGAAAGCATTACAGTACAAGAAGAAGATAATAGCATACAGTTTATACAGAAAACAAAGTTATGGTATACTAATTGGTTTTCAGAAATTTTGCAGAAAATTTGTATACGTAGTTTGTAGCACGTGCATTGTGAAAAGCGTGTGATTTTTTAATTCCCATCTAACAGGAATCTTTGTCTGAGTTCATTTACCTTATCCTGACGTGATCATTTGTGACAGATCACGCGCAAATTTATGATTAATCCACACATACATATTTGTGTGTATTTTTTTAACATTTTCTTTTTTCTCTCCATCTTTCTCTCTTTAGAGTAGGTCAAAATTATAATATAAAAAAAAAACTAAAATATATCTCGATTGGCGAACATGTAATTCTTAGGCAAATCTGAAAAATACGCGATTTTAATCGTTGGTCGAATTGAAAATTCAGGACGCTATCGAAGCCGTGACAGCTCGAAAAAAGACCGAAGGGAAATGGGGCGATCGGCTGCTCATATCCGTCAGCATTCCGGTGTTCGATCGTCGCGGTAACGCCAAAAATCCGAAGAAGCAGGCCGACTTGCTGGGAGTCGTCGGTACCGATGTGCCCCTCAAGGACATTCGAAAGCTCACGTTGCCCTACAAGCTCGGGGTCAATGGCTATGCCTTCATCGTTTCCAACAACGGCTACGTGGTTCTACATCCCGCACTGAAACCCGACTACAATGGAGAACTCAAGCTCAATTACAACAGCATCGATCTGACCGAAGTGGAGATACTGGACGATGGCAAGCCACCGAGGTGATTATTGACGATCTAACTCGATACTCTGTATATAGCGTTGAAAAGTACCCAAACGAGTTGTCGTACGTTGCAGAGAACCAGGCGAGGAGATAACAGAGATTCGTCGGGCTCTGGTCAACCACGAGTGCGGCTCGAAAAAGAGCGTCAGAGTCAAACTGCACTACGACGATTATAGGCGCGTCACGCTCGAGAGTCGCGATTACTTCTATGCCAAGCTGCCGCTTACGCCATTCGGCATCGCCGTCGTGCTGCCCCAGTACGGCAGGTATTACATCAAGGTATTGTGCGATCATCGCAATCGAGCGAATCGATCATTACACTTAATTGAAGGCCCAAAGCCGAGTCGCTGCGTACGCGATTTCGTCGCACGCGAGCGCAACTATTTCAATCGCAATCGTTACGATCGACAGGTGAACAAAAAAATTGAAAAGTATCGCAACATCAACATCTCGGATTACTTCGTGGGCGAGGATTGGGGCGTACATCCCGAGTGGGTCTACTGCCGATACCACTACCTCGAGGGCCACGAGTTCGAGACGCCCGAGGACGAGCTGCGCCACTTCCTCACGATAATCGGCGACTTTTCCAAGAGCGAGGCCGAGCGCTATCCCGAGCAGTACAAGCCCTACTCCAAGGCCAAGGTGCAGACTTGCGCGAATCGCGACGACGTGCCCGTGCAGATCGAGGACGACGATGACGAGGATCTCGACTGCGGCAGCGACGACCTCGAGGAGGAGCTCGAGGACTTTGATCGGCATCGCAACGATCACTACTGCAACAAGGAGCTGGTGGAGCTGCTGCTGATGGACGCCTACGCCACCCACGAATTGTACTCGGGCGAATTTCGCAGTCCTTACTCGAGCGAGCGCGAGCTCATGAGCCGATACGAGGTCTTCCAGCGCTTCGTTTCGACTCAGAGTGGACTGACCAGATGGCAAGGTATCGAGAACGCTCAGGTCGACAGCATGGAGGAGAGGATCGCTCGCTTCAGGGCTCATCGCAGAGGCCCCAATGAGCCTTGGTACAAAGGAGCCATACTTCAAAACGAGGTCGATCCGGACAGTGTGTCCGTCACAGGTGCGTGCTTTTACAATATCTTGATCATTTCAAACGAGTCATAAATATATGCGCTTAAATAAAATGACTCGTAAAAATCGCATAAAAATAAATAATCATAGTTTACGAGCATAAAACGAGCTTTCTACATCGGACTCTTATTTTTTTTACGTAAAAGTTTGAAAAGTCAGCAAAATTAGTTTTAAGTAAAATATTGATGGGTCGATTATTTGCAAATTATTTTATTGAACCTTTAAACTTGGTTGGCGCTGGGAGAATCGTCGCTCGAAGTTGGAAAATCGATTTCGGCGTCGGGATCAGCTTTTTTGACCGTCTCGATGACGCATTTTTCAGCGGCTCTCACGGTGTCCTTTGACAATTTCTTGGCTTGCAATTCAACGTGTCTGAGGAGATTTTTCACGAAACCAGGCGACGATTCGCCGTCGATGAAAAGCTCTAGGCCACTTTTACCCGTATTAAAGAGATCACTGGCTGCCGATGACCATTCTTTCTTTTTCGCATCGCCGTAAGCGTCTCCAACGCCGTTAACGGCTTCGGATGCCTCATCTTTTACGCCTTGGAAATAATCTTTGATTTCGCTTGTGGCATTGTCTAAAATCTGTTGCACTCCCTGATGAAGATCGGTTTCAGATTTATTTTGACATTGGCTCACATCGATATTGTTTTTTGCAGCAAAGTCAAAAGCTGGGGATAATTTTTTTTCGGCCTGGAAGAAAAGATTTACGTGAATAATTGAGTCTCATTGGTTATACTTTCCGTTTACACTAATTGAAGTCTTACCGCGTAAAGATACTCATCGAGCTTTTTGCTGATACGATCGACACCCGCAGCCTCCCAGTCGTTAACCTTCTGCTGGAGTTGTAAACCTTTCTCGTGTCCCCATGACAAGACCTCGTTGTATGCGTTTGCCAATTTGGTTGTGGTAGCCTCGTAGGCCGAGCTAACTGCTCCCTTGGTCGAGTTCCAGGCGCTGCCGAAGATGCTACTAAACTCCCATGCATGAGTGGACTGCAAAATTTACAAATCGTTCGTCACATACAGCACAAATTAAATAGTTGTTAACATATTGCATCTAAACGTACATAGCTTAGAGCGAGGAGAAAGAAGATGCAGAGAAGCTTCATAGTGAACCTGAAATTTAAAAAGAAAGAATGAATGAGCGAATAACAAAATAGGCCCACCGAGATTAATACTAACCTAGTACCCAATGATCAGTTGTTCCAAAGCAATCGAGGAAAATGTGCGAAATTTTTCTGAATATATACTCGCAAATAGACAATGTTTTTATTGGAAACGTGCCAAAGTTCTATCACGATTTCTCGTTATTCCAATGTACGTCAAACCCGTTGAAATTGCGCATTTTCAAATAGAAAAAACGAAGGAAAAGAAGAGGCGTAAAAATGATGCACGTGTCTGTTTTGTTACTCACACAGTGCCACCGATCAAAGAGCCCGAGTCCGGCCTGAACGCCACCGTGACCATATCCATGGGCGTGTACCCGCGCGACGCCGGCAAGCGAGCGGCCGCCGGCGTGACGGGCTTCCTGCTGCCCATGACGGCCCTCTACAAGCAGTTCATGAGCATCGTCACGGACAAGGTGCCCATACCGAGCCTCAACTGCAACAGCAGCACCGTCGACTGCTACCTCATCGATCAGAACGGCTACATCGTCATCAGCGAGGCGCACAACCACGACGCCGGCAAGTTCTTCGGTACTCTCGACGAGACGGCCCCGGTCTTTCGGTCCCTCGTCGAGCAGGGCCTCTTCGACGCCGTCGACATTTACGACTACTTGGCCGTTTGCTACGACATCGTGAGTATTATTACCCTTACCGACATTGCGCTGCATTGCCAACAGATCGTTTATTCTTTGCCTTTTCCGCAGAAACTCGAAAGCGGAGCCTCGACCATTACCAATCCATTCGAAGCAGTTTGGGATTTCATCAAACGACCCGTGACCATGGCTATGGCGCCGCTTCAGCGAATGTCTGGCGCCTTCAACTTGCCACTGGCTTACGCCCAAGACATGGACAAGGAGCCGGACTTTACGAAGCCACCGAAGAAGCACAAAGTCCGTTACAGCAGGCCTTGCGATATGAAGATGACCCTCTACATCGTTAACTCGACCAATTATCACAAGAGCTTCACGAATCGAGAGGACGATTGCGCCCTGCAGTTTTACGCTCAGCGAGTTAGTATAACCGATAAGCTAGAAAATTACGCTGTACCTTGAGTAGAAATGATTAATTTTTGTGCCTCGAATCCTAGGTGCCACACACGAACCTCATCTTCGTGATCGTGAAGACCGACCAGCAGAGCTGCTACGACAAAATGGACGTGTCGCCTCACGAAATATTTCCCTACACCGTCAACGGCAACATCACGGAATTTCCCTGCCACAAGATTCCGTTGAATAATTTGTACAGACGCAGATTGGAGCACTGCCATACGCAGCACGAGGACGAGGACCTGATCGAGGCTTGCGGAGGGGCTGCAAATCTCCAAATCTCCTACATTTTCCTTGTCATTTTCATCTTGGCTAATGTTGCGTTACACCTCCGGTACAGGCAGTAGTTTTATTATACAAAGGCTTGATGCGATATTATATTAGTCAATTGACCAAAAATACATACTACATATTGTTTAATAAGTTGAATTTTCTAAAGGTTTTGTAAGCGCAAATCACGTGGCATTTGATATGAACATACGTATATTTATCAATTGTGTTTTCTAGTCTAATTACAGCTGTAAGTTGGAATTTTTCTTCCTGTGCTACTACAAACCAAATTCATTTACCAATGCATTTGTTGATTAGTTTTAAGTAAAAAAATTTATATGTCATATTTATAACAAAAAACCTAAGTGTAAAATCGAGTAAGAAATAAAAGAATTAAATAATGTTAAAAAGCGCGTTGAATTTTTGAAACAAGCACATTCCATGCGAGAGCGAAGGCGCGCGCAGGTATAATCGCGTAGCAGCTGCCATCGAACCCATCGAAAGGTGTAATCAGCTGCTCACACACAGCCATCATCATAGTGTCAGCAGCGGCAGCTAAGGCAGAGAGTAGGGCAGCGCGTCGGACGGTGTGCTGTCCGCTGTGGGAGCCCACTCAGGGTGTGCTTGCGCGCGCAAGCTCCCGAGTTGACGCAACGCAACGCTCGTGTTTATATAGGTTTCACATAGAGGGGGACAAGAGAGACAGAGAGAGAGAGAGAGAGAGTACAACACAGGCGAGCTTTCGTACAGCATGGAGGTAGCGATCAATAAAGGGGCAGCTGCAGAACGGGTGGCTACATCTCGCGCGCGCGCTCAACTGCGTGCCTCGACTGCTGCTACTGCCTTTCGCGCACAAGTAGTTGCGCTAGCACGGCAAAGACCTGCTGAGATTCCGTCTCTCTGCCTACGTGGGTAGTTTTTCCTCGAGCAAGCCGAAAAACAAGTGCATTCATAAGGGAGGAAAGTGAAGCCCGAATGCACGAGCAACGTCATTCTGACCCGGAGCAGCAGCAGCAGCGACAACAGCAGCAGCAACGATGAGTCAGACTTGGTCGCCGTCGTCGAGTGTCGACCTAAGGCCGCGTTATCGGCCTGCAACTCTGCTCTTCGTATTCATCGTTTTTCAACGTTTCCGTTGCGTCGTCCCACAGGAAATATCGCTCAGCGAGTAAGTTTCAAAGTCAAAACGCGCAAAAAGGGGATGATTGAAATTGTCTCCGACTTCGAGGCGCTATCAAAGCTCGCTAAAACGTAATTATGCATCGATGCAAGCCCAAGGTGTGCGTGGAACACGTCGTCTATTTATTTGCTCATTAATTTTCACGAAAGGACATTTCATCGTACACAATTGGTTTTTTTTTTTCAACTTTTGTCCCTCGTTTGGAATTGATCCGGTCGTTAATTTGATTAAATTTAGCGTTTCGTCAGCGGCAAAATAATAACGAGACAAATAATAACAATAAAAGAAATAGCTGGTCGAGTCGCGCTCATTGAAACGTGTGTATATTAAATAGCGAGGGTCACGCGAGAGATAAAGCGATAGAATGTAGGTCTTTATGTTACCGGGACTTTTCCTTTGCGCTGCTCGTTCGTAGGCGCCTACATATGTACATATATATGCTACACAAGCTCACGCAGGCACACACACACACACACACGCATAGCTACACATATAGATGATACGACGGCAAGGATAGTTATTGTACCGTTCGCACACCCTACACAGTCTGCACTCATAGAGATGCGCACTCAACCCTCTGCGTATATTGTTCGCGATATTATTCTCAATCTATCGAAGTCGAGCACTTGGCCGCGTTTTTTTTCTCATTGTCCGAGTTATATAGATTTTCCAGTGTGTCGCAGGCGACGCACGTAACGCACGACAGATTCCAAATGTGAAATATCGACTCGAAAAGCCTATGAGTGCATAATGTATAAGGCTGCACAGATGCCGAGAGATCGAGCCACTCCGGCGGTTTATTATTCAAAGCCTATTTAACTTCCATACAAACTCGCGAGTGCATTCTTATTATAGAACTTTATGATCATGGTGACACATTGGCTTTTCATCTCGCGTCCAAGCAGTCGTGATATTCGCGTTCGCGGCCACGTGTTTTTATAGCGAAAATCGTCCATTGTTGAGAAACGGAGAGGAAAAAATAAAAAAGACTCGACGATGGGTCAATGACAGTCGTACAGGTAATAATTGTCTCGTTGTTGTCAGTGTCAAAGCCTGGTCGGACAAGCTCAGCTTCGAGCTGCTCCAGCTCGGCAATTACGTGACGAACATCGAAAAGTTCCAAGAGGTCTACGATCCGGTGGAGATCAAGATCAACGACGGCAAGGGCTTGGTCGAGTCGATGGCGAAAAACATCGAGAACATGCTCAGTTCCAAAGTCGACGCGATACAGGTTCGTATACGAGTAATTGCTTAAGAAAGTCGATGCCTCTCTCGGCTCAGCTGACGGAATAATAATAATGATCGATCAGCGCATAATGGACGTGGCCGAGTCGACGGCCCTAGCCGCGTCGACGACGGACGCGATGCCCGAGCCGCCGGACGAGGAGTACGAGTACAAGGACGCCAAGAACCACAGCCACATCCCGACGAGCTACAGCGAGCACTTTGGCGGCAAGGTGAACCTCAACTTCTCGGCGGTGCACGTGCCCACGACGGTCTACGGCCGGGCCAAGGAGGTGCTCAAGGCCATCCGCTGGTCCGAGGAGCTCGACAGCACCTTCAAGAACAACTACCGGACGGACGCCTCGCTCTCCTGGCAGTACTTCGGCAGCTCGACCGGCTTCATGCGCCAGTACCCGGCGCTCAACTGGAAGCCCAACGGCAGCGACGTGCACAACCCCGACCTCTTCGACTGCCGCACCCGCAGCTGGTACATCGAGGCTGCCACCAGCCCCAAGGACGTTCTCATACTGGTCGATACTTCCGGAAGTATGACGGGCATGAGGAAGGAGATCGCACGGCACGTCGTCAATAACATACTCGACACTCTCGGCAACAACGACTACGTCAACATCTTCAAGTTTTCCAACGTCACCGAGATGGTCAGTCATTCGACAACAATTTTGTTATTAGTGGCATATTAAAGTGTTTATTTGTGTTGCAGGCCGTGCCGTGCTTTGGCGATGGTCTAGTTCAGGCGAATTTGGCTAACATTCGGGAGTTGAAGAACGGAATGGCCGAAATGAACACCGAACGAATAGCCAACTTCTCCATGATCCTGACCTACGCCTTCGATCTCCTGGAGGAGTACCGGGCCGAGCGCAAGGGCGCCTGCTGCAATCAGGCCATCATGCTCATAACCGACGGCGTGCCCGACAATTACAAGGAGATATTCCAGAGGTACAACTGGGCCAACAATCCCGACAATCCCGACCAGGCGGACATGCCGGTGCGCATATTCACCTACATAATCGGCCGCGAGGTCGCCGACGTGAGGGACTCGCGCTGGATGGCCTGCGCCAATCGCGGCTACTTCGTCCACCTGTCCACTTTGGCCGAGGTCCGCGAGCAGGTCCTCAATTACATCTCGGTCATGGCCAGGCCGCTCGTCCTCAATCTCACCATGCACCCGACCATCTGGACGCCCGTTTACGCCGACATCGCCGATCCCAAGATCACCGACTGGCTCTGGGACAAGAAGGAGCGCAACGACCAGAAGGAGAGATACTGGATCTATCGCAGGAACAAAAAGTCCATGTACCTCGAGGACGAGCTGGCCCAGTACGTCAAGAGGATCAGAAAGCATCCCAATTTGGCCGGTGACATGTACAAGTATCGTCTCATGACCTCGGTCAGTATGCCCGTCTTTGATCGCAGGGAGAATGCGGTAAGTTTCGCTCCTACTTTTTACATTCTTCATTTTCGAGTCTTTACTTGTTACGCGGCAAAAGTACCCTCATTTTTTCAAAGCCAAAGTTTATCGATTCTGCCCACGGGATGCGACAAAAACTGCTGCAAATTATCATCTACCTTATAAACTATTAACTTAAATCATACTCCGAAAGTATTGACTACTAAGGAAATATCTCGGCCATTTTATTAATGTCCCAGAGACTACTGCTGAATATGATTTTCTATTGCGTAAAAAAATTAAGCTGGTTTCGCAGCAGTGATGATTTTATAACTGTGCTTCTATCAAGTCTGCGTTATTTTTTCTCACAGAACATCACAGAGCAAGTGCTGGTGAAAAACGCCTACTGGGTTACTCAAACTAGAGAGGTTGGCAGTAAATAAGAAACAAATTGAGAGAGAAAAAACGGAACGAGTTTTTCATGATCCATTTAGTACCTAATATACTTTATACCCCCGTAAAATTATCTTTGTTACGAAATGCTCGTAAATATTCTTAGTCTCATTTACTTCGCATTTATTTCATTTTTTGATAACAAAAAAGCCTGCCAATTTCTTTTATTAAATGCCAAGTAAAACATAGTCGATTATAATTAGGCTCAAATTTACATTCATATATTTGTCTTTTATTAAACCCTTTACGAAGCAATTATAATTATCCAGTTACAATTAATCATTCAAGTCTAGGAAAGAAAAGCTCTTAGATTTCAGCCGAGTATTAGACTAGTCAATTTTTATACTTATGTTCATTTATATGAATATAATGTAGAAAGCAGTTGTAATTTATTTATTAAAAATCAGTTGTACTAATATTATGTTAATTCCTCAATGTATTATAAATAATAACATCCTCACACTTATTCGATTAAGAAATAGTTAGTGAAAATTAACATAGCAACATCGACTCACTAATGTGCTTCTCTAATTTGATAAATTTTATCTTGATAATATCTTCACTTAGTGAGTTGATAAAATTTAACGATTATAATACGAACCATATTTTAGACGAAAGAGATATTTAAAAGCTATAAATATTCTTTTTTACAATAGTAAATGTCGTTATCGTTATTTAAACAAAACCAAATTTCAGATATTATAATGCTGTAGTCTATTGGAATAGTCAGAAAAATGTTAGATTTGGAAATCAAACGCTTAAACGAAGCGTCGTATTTTATATACTAGTTGATACATACCATTCAAATAATTTTAGTCAGCTACATATTATTATACTATTATACAACCGTTATAATATTATCATAGCTTAACTAAATTAGAAGTCGTAATATTTTACATTAGAACAGAGATGTACGTAAAAATAATTGATCTGATATTCACATGTAGATTAAATGCTTTTTTCTTCACCCAATCCAGTGCCTTCATGACGACAAGTGAACTTTTTATTCGCTTGAGCATGATGCGCTGATTGGAACGGCGATATTTGATTTTCCTAATTCTTTGATGAAAATTTTGCAGACGAGAATAGCTAATTTATTGGGAGTTGCTGGAACCGACGTCCCCGTCGACGATATCAAGCAGCTTATGGCTCCGCACTTGGTATGCCTTTTTATAATGTGCTTGATCAAGGTTTACTTAAATAAAATATGATGTTCTCGTTGCAGTTGGGAGTGCACGGCTATGCATTCATTGTGACCAACAACGGCTTTATTCTCACGCATCCCGATTTACGGCCAGTGGTAATTTTTCATTGCAATCATTTCATTCGAATTTTTTAACGCTTAATAACTTTTACAACGATCAATTTTGAATTACAGTTTCAAGGGATTTTGAAGCCAGCCTATAACAGCGTGGATATGGCGGAAGTTGAGTTGACCGAAGGTGACGAAGAGCCGAGGCTCTTTAACGAGCTGCTTTTGAAGGTTCCTGCTCGTTATTTTTTCTCTTACGCGTTTCTCTATACAAATTTTGATATGTACAACTGTTGCAGTTCCGAGAGGATGTGATCTACCAAAAAGATCACAGCGATGCCCACATGCATACAAAGTATCATTACGACGGAGTGGTACGTTAATTAAAATCATATATGCGATTGGCTGAAAAAAATTCAACTTTTTCATGTTTTCTTTTGCAGAAACGAGTCGGAAAAATGAAAAGAAAATACGATTCGGCGCGCATAGGCAATACTCCGTTCACCGTAGTTGTGAGTCTGCCATTGCACGGCGCGTATGACACTACCTACAGCATACACGCCTCTCAAGACATAAGGCGCATGAAAACAGACAGTAAGTTGAGAATTTCAAGTCGAGCAACTTCCTTTATATTATTGGATGAAGAATTAAATTTGCCATCCTTTTTTGCAGCTGGTAAAGAAGCCAAAGATTACTTTAAAGGTAAAAATTGGAGGATACATCCGGATTGGTTGTACTGCAAGTGAGTATGCACTGAGCGATTCAATTTTCGAAAATTCGCAGCAAGCCTGATTCATAAACTCTATTAATTTATCCTTTCCTTCTCTTATTCAAAAATTTTAAATCAATGTAGATACAGCAAATGTACAACAACCTCGCCACGAATAATCTGTAGCTTGCTAATTTATTTTATTATAATTTAATTGGGCGTTGCCAACAATTTATAAAATAACGAGGGAAAGAAAAGAGAACGAACATTTTTTGCAGATTTTATCGACGGAATCCACACAAATTAAGCTCACGGATGAAACAGCTCAAACACAACATTAACAAACATCACAAGACGCCCCAGAAAAACTCGTAAACACACGTTCTCTCTCAATACATTTTACTCTTTTTTTTTCTGCGCATCATTATTATTTTACTTAACTCATTTTTTACTCTTTACACCAAATATTTTGCCATTTCATCCATTTAGAAAACGTATCATTCCAATTGAACCTAAATAAACTTTTCGAAGAGAATCCAATAATGTATTTAATGTACGTTTTCCAGATATTACTTTGAAAATTCTCATACATTTCCAACGCCCGAAGACAGCCTGAGGCACTTTTTGGAAAGAGCTTCACAGCCTGGGTGGAACTGGGGTAAAATGCCGTACGAGTCCTCGTCTCGTGAGTATTATCTCTATCTTTTGACATGGATATCCTTAAAGAATCCTGAAAATTGGGAATTTAAAACTGTTTTTATTACGTTTGCAGAGAATGTGAAAAAATCTGAGGAGAGCACCGAGGGCCAATATTGCGATAAAAAGTTATTTGATAGTTTGATATTCGATGGAGCTAAAACTGAATGGTTTGCCGATCCAAAAACAAGCCGAAACGAAAAAGGGTATGAATGTGAATTTTTTACACTTCCATGAAAAAATATTTGAGATGTTTTCTCATTGGCAATTAGAGTAATAAAAATTTGACAAAAGTCAGCTCAGAGTGTCAGCGAGGATTGACAGTGTCTCATAAAGGAAAATTCGTTTATTACCACGTACCAAATGGATAATCCATGCACCTTGAAAAATAATACAATTTTCATAGCAAAAAGATTGTCATCCGTCGAGAATCGGTCTTCACAAAAAGAAGCCATGAAATGAATTTTATTTTCCAAGATGTAGTTGAAATCTATATTTGCCTTATCTGTTTTGCATACAAAATCACGAGTGTGTTTACAAACTATATGATATCGTCACGTTTTTTTATGTGCACCAAAAAAGTTTATATGAAAAATCTGCACGATTGCACCTATTTTTGTTACTATATAACGCACTTGTATAATCATACGTCGACACTCTTTATATTTTCATTCATTCTTTGGGTTGATCAAAATTGTAGAATTTTTTTATTTGATGAGAAAAATTAACGTCACAATTATTTCAAATTAATATCAAGAATCATAATTTATTAAGTGCACCTTTTTCTTTGTGTGAACTGATCGAATTAACTAACAATGTTGACGCCACGCAGATCTTTAGCTAGACTGATGAAGCTTCTGTCAAGGTAACGTCTCATCAATCGCACCTTTACATTTTTCTTATTATCTTATAATTCATCTAAAATCAAAATCGTATTTTTCTTTCTCTTTTTGGCATTTAGTGTCATATTATTTTTCCAAAGTGTATGCTGCACTCCATGATTTTTGTTTCAAGCTCTGCATTTGTTATTTGTACTTGCACGCTTTGCACCTGCATTTTTTACGATTTTTCAGAATTTTTGGTAGCAGTACCGAAGGAAAGAAGTATGCGCTGAGAGCTGAACTTTTTAAAGAATTTTTGATACTTTATTTTTACTAAGTGATATATTTTGCTTTAATCTTTCATTTGATTTTTAATTGAGAGATCTTTTTTCAGACGTTTTACAAAGATTTTCGTAAAAAAATACTCGCAACAAAATTTTCACATTTTATGGTATTGAATAATTATGAAAAAGATGCATGAATTTAAAAACAATGAATGCAATTGAAGTCTTTTTCAATGTAAATATGTTTCACTGAGAAGCCATGAAAATTATTGTCCACTTTCGATATTTTGCTACTTTTATGTAAGAAAGACGACTTTTTTTTGGTTTTCCATTGGTTTTTCAAATAAAATGAATAAAGGGTTAATTTTATGATTATAAAAAGGACTGAGGAAATTTTAATCGTTGGCAAAATAACGCAAGAAATGAAAAAAGCCGGTTAAGAAAAAACGTTTGTAATTGGAAATAAGTCGGTTAATTTGGCTAAAAATTCGTCGAAAAAGTCGTGGATGAGGTGTAAAATTAATGCATTGTATCGATATGCTAAAAATAGGCAAGAGTTCCATCAACGCTTCGGATTCACGCTGTCGTTCGTGGCGACGCGGAGCGGCCTCACCCGTTGGCAGGACTTTCTGCTGAACGACGAGGAGGAGCCGCCCAGCGAGCCGGGCCCCGACCACTTCAGCCGACTCTACCCCCGGGCCATCGACGAGATCTGGTACAAACGGGCCGTCGAGCAGTACTACGTGCAGGCGGGCAGCTTCGTCTTCTCCATACCGATAGACGACGACGGGGCCGAGAACACGACCCTGGTGACGGCCAGCCGGGCCGTCTTCGTGGGCAACTCGTCGATGAAGGCCCCGGCGGCGGTGGTGGGCTTCCAGATGACCCACACGGCGTTCCAGGGCCTCTTCCAGAACATCACGTTCGCCTGCAACGGGGGCGGCAAGCAGTGCGAGAGGCACTGCGGCGACAACGACACCGACTGCTTCCTCGTGGACAATCACGGCTACATAGTGGCGGCGAAGGATGCCTCGGACGCCGGACGATTCCTCGGCGACGTCCACGGCCTCGTCATGCGAAGCCTCATCGAGCGCGACGTCTTCGAGAAGATCACCGTGTTCGATTACCAGGCGGTCTGCTTCAGGGACATGGCCGAGACGAGCGACGGCAATATTTTGCTTACCGTCAGTCAACTACGACTTATTTCTCCGGAAAAATGTCGATAGACTCGCGTCCTCACTTGCTCTCTTCTCTCTTTTAGCCGTTGAAAAGCCTGGCCATCGCCGCGTCGTGGCTGTACGGGCAAATGGCGATAGCTATGGCCCGAGCTGGTTTCTGGTCGTGGGACTACGCCGAGGCCGTTGCCTACCCGAACGAGCCCGAAATGGAGCTGGAAAAGTTCGAGACGCAGGCGCCACCGCTGGATATGGAAAAACTCAAGGAATTCAAGAGGAAGCCCGCGGCCGAGATCAAAGACGATCAGATATACGACAAACTGATCAGAATCAAGAGGACGAGGCCCGAGCCCTGCGATCAGAAGGTAAGAACGAAAATTGAAACCTGCATGAATAAGAGAGAGAGAGAGAGATTCGATCATTTGCTAATCGTGCAATTTGCGTGGGAAGGTGGATCTGTACCTGTTGCGAAACATCACACCTGCGAACCAAGTACTGGACGACCCGAACACAGACATCACCGGCTGCGAGTACCTCAAGTACATGGTCCAGCCGGTCAACTCGACCAATATGATTCTGCTGGTGATCGACAATCGAGCCTGCCAGAACGTCATCTTCCGGATGTCGGTGGAGCCGCGCGAGGTAACCAGCATCAACGGCTCGCTGGCCTGCCAAAAGACCCTCTCGGACCTGCCGCGTCTCAAGCCCAGCAGCTGCATCCGCAGCCACCCCAAGGAGAGCGAAATCAAGGACCTGTGCGGCGGTGCCTCGTCGTTGCTCGATCGGGGCCATTTGCTCTGGGCCCGATTGCTAGCCTGCGGCGTACTCGTGCCGACTCTCGTCGTCAAATTCCTCCTCTCTTAATCGTCCACGTGCTTGTCTGACCTACCCCCATCCTATTAGTGTGATGATTCACTTGGAACTTTTGCAAATGTTGTGTACGCGACGCCGGACGTCCTTCTATGTGCTATTGTCGAGGCATCGTGCGCTGCTCGGGATTCTGAGCGAGTATGAATTTGTTGCAACGAACTTTGCCGACTCGTGTCTCGTCCTTTATGCTCGAATCTCATCTTATGCAAACGAAAAGCTCTCAACGCATATTCAAATATCGAAATAAGACTGTTGAAGAAAATCAGAATTTTTCTATATACATTAGACTGTCCGTTATTTCCCGAATGGCTCCAATCCTCGATCTCACCCCTTGAAAGCTAATCATAGTGACATACGCGCCAGCTTTTTCCCCATTTAAATAACATGGAAAAATTAAAACAATGTAAATTTGAATTTTAAACAACTTAAAGGCGCCAAACTTTGAGTTTAGCGACGGTTTTCATTTCCTGTTAGACCCATTATAAGTAACCAATACTTGTGGTAACCCTTCGAACGGAATTTCGATTGTGCCCACATTTTATACTAAAAAAATCGAGAAAAACAGTATATTAGCGTTGTTTTTCGTTATTTTACAGCAAAAATAAGCGCAAACGATCATATTAAATATGTTCACGTGAAAGTAGAAATCAAGACCTTTAATTTGATAGTAGTAAAACCTATCTACCCTCATTAGAACCAAATTTACAGGTGTTCAAAGGTTCTCTGAAGATTCAACTATGATTATATCTATCATTCGATCTGAACGGTTCACAGATTCGATACCTGAATTTTCAATCAAACTTCAAACACCTGTAACTTTGATTCTAATGAGCGTAAACAGGTTTTACTACTATTAAATTAAAGGTATATTACAGGTTTAAATAAAATTTCTACTTTGACGTGAACATATCTAAGATGATCGTTCACGCTTATTTTTGCTGTAAAATAACGAAAAACAACACTAATATACTGTTTTTCTCAATTTTTTGAGTATAAAATGTGTGCACAATCGAAATTCCGTTCGAAGGGTTATCACAAGTATTGGTTACTTATAATGGGTCTACTTGGAAGTGAAAATCGTCGCTAAACCCAAGGTTTGACACTTTTAAGTTGTTTACAACTCGAAATTACATTTTTTTTAATTTTCCCGTGTTATTTAAATGGGGAAAAAGCTGACGCGTATGGCACCATCTATAGTAAAATTATCGCAATCGAACAGTGATTTTCTTTCATTTTAAGCCAAATGATAAGTTTTCAAGGGGTGAGAGAGAGGATTGGAGCAATTCGGGAAATAACGGACTGTCTAATATACATCCAAGGCTAGAATCCTTGAACGTACATTAAATACTGATATATCATATAGCAAACGTTTTTCTATATAAATAATTTATCTATTCTCTGTACATTTTGCTCTCGGTCTTTCAGTTTGTACATTCAATTTTGGCTCGTTTAATACATTACATTTACAAATAAAAACATATAGTATATTATAAAAGTATATAATATAATAAATAAATGTATCGTGCTCCGGTAAGTACATGCAGACAAATGCCACTTCTATAAGAATTTTTCGCGTTACAATCATTCATCCCTTTAGAGATGATATAATAATATGAATCGTATACTGCCTCGACGACAAAGTTGCAAGCAATTGAGAAAACCAACACAGCTCCTTTTTTCACCTTGTATAAACATAATAAGAAGCAACAAATAACAGATAAGGTTTTTTCATGAGACCAATTTAAGTGTGAAAAGTTAAAGCGACCCGTGACATGTACACCCCGCTTAAAGTATACAATAAGTTATCGTGCGAATTCTTGATAACTAACGCAATTCTCATGTGCGATCTTACGTATAAAAGTATAACGTAAAGCTCGACGTAGCTCGAGTGAGTTCTTGCGTAAAAACTAAAGTAATAACTTATAGACAAATTAATGTAAAAGTCTTAGATAAGATCTTGACCAAGAAAATCAATTTTAACCAAAAGTTCTAATGTAAATTTTCGGACTTTGAATCAGTTCTTACAGAAGAACTTTTAAATCATACGTAAGATTTTACGTGAGATAGAACGATATGCGATCATATGCGAGTTGGTGTAAAGAACTTGCACGAGAACTTGTTCAAAATTTTTATTGGGGTTACACGTGTTCTAACGCTTTAATAACGATACGTGGGTATCTGCATTGCCACGAGCGTCGGCTGGCACGGAGTAAACAAAGAGAGGAGCAACTAAGTTTTGCGAGTGGACGCGCATGTGCTTATGTATGTGCGCGCGTGTGTGTGTTTACGTGTGTCTTGTGTGCGTGTGTAAGCCATTATACGAATAAAAGCGAGTGCTCGAACATGCGCCATGTGTAGAACTGCAGGGGAACTTGGGGGACTGATGCTTCCCCACGACTCGTTTTGGCTCTGCGGATTTAATAAAATTTATCGAGGGAAATGGAAGAAAAAAAATCACCACTGCTAAATGAAAAAATTACTATTAATGTACTATTGTTAATATATTCGTATATAAATTTATGTAAAACATAAGTCAGCGCTTTGTACATTTGGATGAGATATAACGATTTACTATTTATAGAGATTATAATGATGTACAAGTATATATAAGTATATAATTAATTTTTGTAAAATAAATGTACGATGTATATAAGGAAAGCTAAAGAAAAAGATTGTAAAATTTGTGTGCCTTTAGTCACGCGTTTAAAACTAGCATCTTGTTGTATGTTTTTCAAATAAACCATTCAAAGTCTTGAAGAAAATACAGTGTGGATTTTTCTGGAATTTTCCAAAATCATATAGTGCGCCAATGGTATAACTTTCACTTTTCAGTCTAGCGCCCTGTATGCCTTGCATTTTCGAGTGGATCATAAGTCTTTGACCACGAGTTTTTAACTCTGGCTCGTCCGTTCAAGTCATTGCGCGCGTCTCCGTGTCACCTCACACCTGGCGCAAGCCGCATATCGTATCGGCCACGCTCGAAAGCAAGTCCAAGCTCAGCTTACTTATTCGTTTCCGTGAGTACTCGTTGAACATCGTCATTTTCCGACTCAATAGGAAACAACTGATCCTACGGCTGGACTTTCACTTCGGTTCCATCAGATGCGTAGCAGTATTTCTCTGGTGGCTTCCAGTTCGAATTTAACCTTGCTCAAAGCAAGTTACATAGCGCGCCAAAGTTTTTCTCGCTGAATACTCAATCATATATATTGCATGTGTATATATTGTATCTATATATATTATACATATACATATTAGACAATTGTCGCTGTGCAACGTACGATATTGTTAATGGTTACTTGGGGAAAAAAATCGTATTCGATCTTTCTCCTCGCGAATGATTTTACAAATTCGTATGCGCTCGCTGTAACAACGATAAGATTAGGAATATTATAAAATCTCTCTGTTGCTCCACTTGCAATCATGGATATTGAAAATATGAGTAAGTAACAATGTTTTTATTACAAATTTCATCACTTAATTTATTTCCCAAAAATAATCTTCATTATTTTCTGCTGACTAATGACTTTTTAAGCACATTACATAATTTTCTCTTTTTCTTTTCATCAATCAGCGTTCACTCAAAGTTTATTAAATTAATTTAAACATTTTTAGATGCATTTTGCTGGCCAAATTACCTAGAAAATACAAACACTGAAGAAGTTCCTCAAATTGTATTTAATCATGTAGAAGAGACATTAAAGGTTTGCATTGAAGTAGGCATGTCTTTGGAAATTCCTGTAAAAACTTCTGAGCCTGAACCAAACCATCTGGCTGAAGAATGCTTTTGGCCAGCTACAATTTCAATGGTTTGTGGACCCTTATTGAGACTACGTTATTTTGGTGGCGAAGAAAGAGCGTTAGAAGTTTGGTTGGATCTCACCAAAGAGAATGCTCATGAATTAGGTTGGGCAACAAAAAATAATAAGAAATTAAAACCACCAGAAATTGTTCTACAACGTACACCTGACTGTCTTGAAAAACTGGATCAATTTATGCAAACAGCGATATCTGTTCCATATGATATGTTATTTGGGGTAATAATAAAATTTTTTCAACTTAATTTTCTAAATAATATTTTCAATGATCAATATTGGTTACTAAATTTAACTTTTCTATTTTAGGATCAATTAAGTATTGTTGATAAATTAAAACCAGGGATGAAAATCGAAATTAGTGACCATTTAGATCCATATAGATTATGGAGAGCAATCGTAAGTATATGAAATATAATTTAAAAACATGTTACCAAATAATTAAAACAAATGTTAATTTAGAAAAATACTTTAATTTTTCAGATTAAAGAAAATGTTGGTGGGCGCTTATCGTTAAGTTATGTTACTCCAAAAGAAAATAATGTTCATTTCTGGAGATTCTGTACTGATGAATTTTTATTTTCACTATCGCCCAAAACTGAGCCTTACTATTTTAAGCCACCACATTCTTTAAAGGATACTTACAAATGGGATAATTGTGAAACAGATTTGCTTAATGAAAAGCCTATTGATAGTGAAATTGATAATACTTTACAAAATAATCGAGTAGAGCATCCAGATCATGAGTTTAAAGTTGGCATGAAATTAGAAACCCTGTACCCAAAGAATAGAAAAGATTTCTGTCCAGGAACAGTGATTAAAGTATTTTGTAATAAATTCTTTTTAGTCAGAATAGATGATCACATGGATGATACAAAACTAGATTGTGATAGCTTGTATTATAAGTACACAAACAGAGAAAATTCATGGATATGTTCTGCTGACCATCCTTATATATTTCCTGCTGGATGGGCCGCAAAAAATGGATTCAATTTAAAAGCACCGGACGATTGGAGCTCAACCAGTAATGGACTTGATTTCAATTGGGAATCATACAGCAAATTTTGTGATTTTACAGTGGCCGATGAAAAATTATTCTCTGAGCATGAGAGTGCAGCAGATGCTGGTTTCGAATGCAAAATGCGATTGGAAGCAGTGGATCCACGTAATCAGAATATTATCTGCGCTGCTCATATTACAAAAATTGTTGAAAATCTTGTATGGATTAAAATTGATGCATATTCAGATGATTATGGAGAACACATAGTAGATATGCATTCTCAAGAAATATTTCCTATTGGCTGGTGCGAAACTAATCATTATCCACTCAAACCTCCCAGAGATTATCAACCAATGCAAAATGCACTTGTCAATAAAAGTGCAGATCCTTTTATTGATGTGCCATTAGCTGGGAATGAAAGTATGTGGTGTCCTAAAATATACTTTAATTATCGATGCTCCACAGGACCATTACTATCAAAATCAAGAATAGCTAAATTACCACAATCAGTTGGTCCAGGACCTACTACTTTGGTGTTGAAAGAAGTGTTGACTATGATTATATCTATAGGTTACAAAAATTCTAGAATCATAAAAATTCTACAAACTGAAACTTATCCAGCTGAAATGGAATTCTCTATGGAAACATTGAAGGTCAAAAATGTAGATGGTACAAATAATCATATTAGAGCATCAATTCCAATTATTACGTCTGGCGAGATGGTTGCACAATTCTGCCAACAGATTTGCAAACGTTTATCCACTTGTCCGTACCTTATGGGGCCATTTTGTGTAGAGGATGTTATGTGTCCTCTGCAATGTAATCCACCAAGATATAAGGCTGGAGGTAAGTTTTTTCATTGCTTAAAATATTAAAAATACCATTTTTTACATTGAAAAATAACTTTTTTTCATTTATAGCGAAAAATGGTGAGAATGGTGAAAAACAAAGGCCTTGGGGCAAACGTGGACGCAGAAGAGGCAGGAAGCCTTATAAACTTAAGGCACAAGCTGCTGCTAAAGTTGAAACTGATGAAATTAAAACAGAAATAGTAGATCCACAGATAAATGAAAATGCAGAAACGCAAAATAAAGAATTAGTTCAAAGTTATATTTCTGACAATTCTTGTTCCACTGATGATAATACTGGAAGTAACAGTAGCTTGGCAAATTCTTCATTGTCTGCAAATTCAAGTAAAGGTTCTAGTAAGAAACGGAAAAACGAAGAAATGGAAGCAGACCCCGAAGATTACAAATGTCCAGAAAAAATAATAAAATTAGATTCAAATCCATTGTATTGGTCCTTCGAAGAATTGGCTCAGTATTTGAGTACAACTCAATGTTCTGACTTAGCAGCAACTTTCATTGAAGAGGTAAATATAAATATGTTCAAATAAAATATCTCATAGTAATAAATAAATTTTTATTTTAATGTTTGTTTTTAGGAAGTTGATGGTTTTGCCTTTATAATGTTGAATTATCCAACACTAATTGAGCACATGAAATTAAACACAGAAACAGCTCATGAAGTATGTAAACATATAAAATCAGTAAGAGAGTCGTGGTATATGTATTACAAAGATGTATCTAATCCAGATTTTGTTAGAGTAATTGAAGGTTGTTGATCTCTTGTGTGAACTATGCAAGATTTACAAAGATGTATATATTTAAAAAATATTTAAATTAATAGAAATTTATTGTTACCGTTAACAAATCAATACTATTATGCAAAAAATGACTTGTTTTCTGCTGAGAAAATGTACATTAGAAGTATGTATGGAATGAAAAGAATAAGAAATAATTGGTTGATTTTTGTAAAATGACTTGTAGTAAATTTTACTATTGTGCAGTGAGTATTCAGCTAAATTTATTCTACTGTATAAAAGCAATTTTGAAGTAATTGCTCTGAACCTTTTTATGTAACATTGATAGAAAAGAATATAGTTTACAAAATTACATACATTTTTATTACATACAAAGTTTTATCATTTAACAACAAAAATTCCCTTTCAACACCTTTAAAATAATTAAAAATCACAATAATAAGTTTCAATTAAATTTATTTATTTTTGGACTCTTAAAATATAAATTGATATATTATTTACATTGTTACATATTATTTAATATTTTCTGGAGGTTTGATCTGATTCAAATGATAAAGGAGCTTTCCTTGAACCCATGAAGCTGCATCTTCTGTCAATACTAGAGTATTATGTTTCAATATACTGTGAACATTTAAACCATAGCCAGGCATGCAATTGATGTGCTTGATAGAGTCTGTAGCAGTTATAAGATTCAATGGCATAATATCAGATACATCAATGAATAGAACACTGGGACCCCAATTTCTTTCCTTAACAAGTTGAGTCACATATTCTGGATCATCAGTGGGAATATCGAGACTTTTAACTATGTGTAAGTCATCTTGAGCAAGTTTGGTTGAAAAGGCACTAACAAGACCCCATACTCGTATATGATGGGGAAGCATGTAGAAATAAGGTTTTGGGCCTCGTGGGCCATGTGCTCTACCTCCTTTACGCCAGAGTACAGATCTTATGCTGCCATGACGAGCTTTGCCCATGCCTTTTTGTGGCCAGGGTTTGCGACCACCTCCTCGGACTTCGGATGTAACTTTAGTACAAGCGTAATTGATATACCTGAAAAGTCGTTGCCAGGTGATGTTTTGATGAATGATGTCGACCCTTGGTTTGGTAGCAAAAATTTCTGGATGCAAGGATATGATACCGAGCTTTTTCTCCTGCGTTGTATCCAAATTTTCTAACCAAACTTGGCGAAATTTTTGGTAATGGTTGTCAGGATCTAAGAATTTGTAGTCGCCTTTGATATCGGCTTTTAACAAGTTATCGTCCAGCGACAGGCTGCGAAGCTTCTGTACCAGACCACATTGTGCACAAGGTGAGATGGGAGAATAAGTAGCTAACAACTTTTTACTTATCAAACGTAACATTTTCAAATTATCTTAAAAAATATGATGTTGTTAAAAAAGTGATGGTTGGCTGCTTGTCTGCTTGAAGCATCGCCAGTTGCAGAATCAGATTGCACTACAATCGCCGGCACGTGAATTGACTTGCGCCATCTACCAATTTTGAAAAGTACTTGACTATGTTTCACTAACTCAATCAGTAATTTACAAATCAACCATTGAAAAATCACTTATGATTGTTTTGGTATCAAAATGATTGAAGTTTTGAGTGTTCCTTATCACTTTTGATTTGGAATTGCTAGGATAACAATTTATTATTTCAATTTAGTTTTACTATTTGGAGATTTGGGTAACAAAGATGTAGCAACATTGATCGCAATAAAAGATATAAATACTATAAAGATATCCTTTTTGATTAATTTGTTGTTGGGTGGAGTATGCGTCGATTGATTAATAATTCTTACAAAATGACTATTATTACATAACTTCCATATAAGCACAAAAGTTAATTAGAAGCTCAAATTATGTAAATCGTGACAGTCTAAAAAATATTCCACGTGAAGGGGTATTGTTGAAGTCCTACAATATTTTAGTATATAAATGTTTTATCATTTAAAATAATGCGTGGCAGTGAAAATTGGATACTTTTTTCAAGTCACATATTTGAGTTACGCACTCATTCTTTTATCATTTAGTATTCAGAAACGTAGAATGTAGATAAATTGTTAACATCAAAAACCCGATAAAAAACAATTGTCAAGTAATTTTTCCCGAATCTAATAATTTATGATAAAAAAAACTGACTTGAATTAAAAAAAAAAGAAGGTTTTGAACACGTGGTTGGCTCAGAATAACTAACTTCCGTCATTGATGCAGTTGAGTAAAATAAACATCGAGGGTCGTCGAATTGTATGTTTAATCGTACAATTAGCCAAGTGGATACGTTTAGGACTGCTTGCGATTGTTTACGTTCAAACTAGCTTTGCTCATAAAAGAGGTTGATATGTACGCTTTATAGAGCTTGGCGTCTAACGAGAGAAATGCACGGAGCAGATCGCGTCAGCTTTAAAAATAAACCCATCGGAAAAAGCCATGCTAATATATACGGATCATCGGTCTTTTGAGACTGAAGTGCATCGTTGCGTATACACACACATTCGCGTTTCCTCTCTCTTTCGTTCTGAATTGTGGCTGGGGTAGAATCCACTGCCTCTATACATACGTGTGTAGGTAGGAAATGATGCTGATATGTGCTTGCGCCTCGTTAATATAAATCACTGTTCAACTGTATCGTTCTGTGAGACGTACATATTCAATTACGTTTTGTATGCCACACTTTACACGCAGCAACACTATATGCATCGAGACAAATTATTAAGTATCGTATCTTACGTAAAAACATTGTTACCATTGACATTGTGTCGAATTTCGACATTGACACGCTTACTCATTGACGATTATTTTTTCCGAGTTTTATTTGCATTTTTTCGAGTGCTGGTATTGCGAATTAAGAAAAAATCCTTTCTATTCGTGTTAATCAATTTTTAGGGGTCCTCCCTCCTCCAAATTAAAAAGGAAAAATGTCTTTTCAAAGATTTGTTTGCAATAGAATAAAACGACATATCTTAATGAAACTTTTTATAAATACTTTATTGACCTTCTATTTCTATAATTTTTTTTGCCACCCACTATCGTCTGCTTCAAGTGCTTTAAAAGAACACGAAAAAAAACCGTGACGGTAAAGATTAAGAAAAAACCATTAATTTTATCACCCTGAATATAATACAATAATTTGCCCAAGTTACTGCTCAGAATGAACTAGAATGAAAAAAATTGGCATAATATTTTTGGAGATATGAACAATTTTCGAAAAAAATAAAGTTCGTTTTTCCGTAACGAAGACGCCGTAATTTCTTCATTTTTTAACCAATGATTTTCATTCTAATTCATTCTGAGCAGTAACGTGGACAAATTATTGTGTTAAAATTTCAGGGTGATCAAATTAATGGTATTTTCTTAACGTTCCCGCCACGGGTTTTTCGTGTTTTTTGAAATAATTTTCGAAAAAATCAAAAATTCGAAGAATCAAAATCTTTGAAAAAACATTTTTTTTCAATCTGAAGGAGGAAGGTGCCCTTAAGAGAACAAAGAATTACACAAAATCGACTCTTATTGCCTCTCAAGTCTCAGTGAAAACGCACTTGCACTAGGTATGAGACTTGCAAAAGTAGAATATATCAGATGAACGTTTAGGAAGTTCAAGTACTTGAAGTAGGTCATGGTTATATCCATCTTCGATTTGTTGCTGTTCAATCATATTTTTGGATTCAAATTTGATTAGAATTCACAAGTCTCATCGCTATCACGAGCCACTGAAATTGGATTCGTGACTTAACTGCTTCTATTCTAGTTGATCGCATCCTCGCCACAATTTCTCAATTATTCAAAAGGATTGATATTTCACCTCTCTAGAAACTAAAAGTACCAAATGCATGTTTTGCATGATTGTTTTTAAAAATCATCGCTTTGATTACTTTATTTTTAATCGTGCGAGTAGTAAAAATATTTAAACACTAAAATCTAGAGCTATTTTACTGATTCCCTTTACTATAGGCATAAAAGAAGATACCGAAATCTAAGATGATTATTTTCAAACACCTTTTTTGAGATTCTTATTAAATTGTTTTTTTTTTCAACTACATAGCTAGATGTCTTTATTTTGTTGTTTGTAAAATCTATGCTTATCTGGCTTCGGTACGACAACCTAAAACTAATTGCGCAGATACTAGTAAAAAGTTGAATTTACACAAGAATTTTATGTAAATAGCTTGGAAAATTTACAGAATATTTTAATAGTTTGGTGACGTAGAATAATATGTAAGTAAGGGGACGTACGATTACACGCTCTATTGGTCGCAACTTTGAGTTTCGAGAGGAAAAAAAAGAGGAATCGATAGAGGCTCGTATTGCTATGTAATAATGTGACTCGAGCCGCTGTATGCGGGGAGATTATTAATGTCACGCGCACACATGGAGGTGTTAACATATATTATATGTATAGAGAGAGAGAGAGAGAGAGTAATAATAATTGCATAAAAAGTGTCGTGAGTTGTGCAGGTGGACTCGGCTAGCCGCTAGAGTAATAATAAATGGACGCGCTGGCGAGGATCTGGCATTATAGGCCATAACACAGTACGGCATTTGTGACGAATGTAAAAGTGCCGGTGGGCGTTCTTATCGTTAGATTTCCGACTTGGCAGCGAGAAGTGCAGCCGCGCTATATATGTGCTTACTATATATGTGCATGGGCATGTGCGGCGAAGAAGCTCGCGCCGTTATAGAGCCCGTCGTGCTTTGGCCTACTTTGTATATAAACTCGCGCATTAAAAGAGAGAGAGAGAGAGAGACGAGCCTACGTATAGGCTGCACAGCTTACGTAATCGAGCGAGAGAAGAGCAAAAGGGATTAAAGTTATTTCGAATGAAATTCCATCGAGGCCTAGCCGATGCACTGCGGGCTGCATTGCGCTGCACTGCTTTGCTGTCGCTGCACTTCGGGAGCCTTCGCGAGAACACGTGTGCTTCGAGCGAACTAGCGCGTCAGCGTCGAGCTTATTTTTTATTTTCTCTTGTTTATTTTATCTTTTCGAGTGACTCATTAAGCCGTCATTTAAACGATTCCCTATTATATTATATGCAGCAATGCCTACTAGAGTCTAGGCCAAACATGGAATTTTTGCCAGCGACAAAGAGGCACGTTTAGATTCGCCTTCCATTATACACGAGCTCGATGCTGCGCATTTATTTTTATGTCTTTTGGCTAACGATTTTCTCGGACTCGACTTGGTATTTGTACAAGTCCGATGACTGGGGTGCGTGACAGCCTAGGCTTTTTCCCCTCGGACCAGCGCATAATGAGGTATTTTAATTTTGGCACGCGATGCCGTCCCTTGGTTCAAGTAAAAATTCTGCCTCGCCATTTATTAGATTTTCTCAAAGCAACGATCCTTTTACAAAATAAAGCAGACGAGAGCGTGACTTTGGCTCTGTACGTGACTGAATACGAAAATCATTGGTCCCTCCTATACAAGCTACTGGTCCGCGACTCGAACGATCGATCCATATTACGAGCGCGTGAGTAAGATAATTGAATAATTCGCCATAGGTTTTAGAATAGTCGCTCGCGATGCCATGCAGATTTCCTTCTGAAAATGTCTATTCTCTCTGATAAAAAGCATAGATGATGGAGTAGCTTGAAAAAGGCGGTCCACCGATGAGGCGAGATTAGGGTCTTATCAGCGTTCGCGCTCGTTGGTCGTCGCGAATTCGTATCGTTCGTAATGTCGCGCGTCACCGCCAACTGAAGAGCTGCAGCGAGTAAGTCGCTCGCTCCAACATACAATATAGAGCTACCACGCCTCGACTCGGTGACTCGCGCTAGGCGAGAGCTTGGCTTAGCCGGCGCCGCGGCGGAAGGAGAGCGCGCGCACGAAATCGCAATATTAATTCGCGATCCATGGGATGCCCCTACCTCTTGCATTTATATACCTATGTGCAGCAGCGAGCGCGAGGAGGGGTTCGGAAAGCGGCTGCACAAACTTTCGGTCCTCCGTCTCTTTTCAACTCCTCTGAGACTGTATATGCGGGAACAATATTACGTGTCGACGACACGCCGGTAACTCCCAAGTGCGCTCGCGCCGCGACTTGCCTATATACTGTCTATGTTGTACACTGTATGTATAATAGTGTATAGTGCGTGTATGTAAAAGGTGCGCACGACTGCGAACTGCTACGGCGGCGGCACGAATAACGGTGATACGAATACACCTTCGTGCTTCACACATACAAGCGCAGGACAAACATATAGGATACGTCGTATATCTATAGGAGCTGGCAGGCATCAGCGCGACGACCAAAGAGACAAGAGCCTCGCGCGCACTTCTCTGCACGTTATACACATAGTACGTCCGATGGTGCGGCACTCGGTGGTTGTGCAGAATATCGTCGTGAGTCGTCGGTGCGCGCGCTCGATACCACTCGCTGAGCTTCGGAGCAGTGGTCATGCCGTTCGTCTAACTATAGTGAATAAATACGCCAAGCGTATGTAACTCGACGTGCAGTGCAAGTGCAGCGATAACACATTGATACAGGTACTACATTTATGTAGCTACTTTATACGTAACATAAATATAGTGCATGAGGCATCGTTTGGACAGTGCGTCGACTCCTCCGTATACATGTGCCTTGCAACGTACCCGCGACGCCAACTGCATTCCCGATAATTATACTCGCGAGCCAAACATGAGCCGCGGCGTAGCGTCCGATCGACACGTTCAACTGGCCAAATTATTACCTATAATCGCTCGGACTCTCGCGGAGGCTTGAAATATCCCCGAGTCCCCAAGAGTTGTATGTGTGCAGTGCGACAACAACAAAACGTCACGCTCGATACGATATAAGAACTCGAACGAGAGAAAGCCGAACCCTTTCGTGATCCCAGCCTATTCGTTACGATAAGGGTGAGTGTTCTTACGACTGCTCGACCGAATCCGCACGTACCTGTAGTAAATGGGCATTGTATAAGTGAACTACTGTGCGTGCCTCATCATAACCCATACGGATACATTATCGATTTCTCTCTTTCTCTCTCCTCGCTCTCTCTCTCTCTCTCTCTCTCTCTCTTTCTCTTGTCCATCCGACCCTTTTCGCTAAAACTTCTCTCGATAACACACGTACGCGAGCATAGGCATAGACGCGTACAAATGGTTTTCTTATCGCGCAGGTACGAGTGTACGTGCTTTGCGTAAACGCGCAAGGAATATCGGAAAAACGCACGCCGAGATTCCGGGTGTTGGCCGCCGCCGTCGTCGTAACGCGTGAAAAAAAAACACGCAGCTGGACGCGCGTTCGCTCGCCAAGGAGAGAGAGAGAGGGACACGAGCTTGTACGTGTGTGCGTGTTGTATCGTAATACATGTATGTGCCGACGCCTATTGTGCACAACAGCACAGCGGCACATCGTTTCGCCTTCTTCTGTTATTGTCCAACGAGGACGCGATCTATGTGCGCGTCGTTCCTTTTTCACCTGCTTATTACACGCCTCGTCCAGATAACGCTCATCGTTTTGTCCCAAGTAATTAGTCTTCCAAATTTCTGTAATGGAATCGATGAAAGAGGGAAGCTCGAGAGATGCGCAAGACAAGTACACCATCGCAGGTTGTTGTTGATGCAGCACTCGGTGCCTGCGAGAATGACTCCTTTCGTGTATAAGATTATCCATGTATACGACTTTTCGGAGTATTCGCGCCTATATAGCGTGCAGAGATGAGATCATCGCTTGCGCTGCGCCGCGCCGTTCTTATACATACACTGCAAAAATATAGATATATTCACTGTCCTCTTTTTAGTCGATTTGGTTTGGTCGATATATTATCTTCGTTGAAAAAATAGTTTTTTTTTCTTTTACACTGAAAGAACTAGTTTTCTTCAATTCCGATCGAAAAAAAAGTAAAAAAAAAAAAGTTAACTGATGACGGTCGCCCATAGGTATGCATAATAATTACGTTAGATTATAGGAGAGAAACCTTGCGTATTACACAGAGCCGCGAGAATCTCGTACGGGGGGTTTCTCTTTTTGTATTGATGTTTTTTCAATTAAAACCTCGCCATCGTAAGCTTTATCGTTTTCACATGATCTCCCAACACACCTATACACACACATGTGCGTAAATGTATTACCCTATACATACGCGTCCGCAGCAGAGGACATTGACATTTAATGCATTGCACCCGCGGTTCGCGAGTGCGCGCGGACGAGTTGATTTTGCACTTGCCTGTGAAGAGAGTCTAGTAGCCTTATCCCAACGAGATTGTGCGCCTCTATTATGTGCATACTGAAATCCATAAATGCTCTGCTCTGTGTACGACCTTAACAGGTAGTTTCTTTTTTCGCGATATTACGGAAATTCTGACGAAAAGGTCTTGGGTATCAGCTTTGAGAAGAGTGTCACACGGATAAGCTTCTTATACGAGCGCCGGGTAGATTACCGAGCTTTTGACTCGACAAAAAGAGAGATAAAGAGAAACGAATATCCACGCCGTTTTATCTCCGGATCATTGATTAACAAAAGTGCACGGCGGTTTATTAAAAAAAGGGATTTAAATTTTATAAAGTAAATATTGACAATGGAATAGGCTAGTTGACAAATGAAAGTCACTTATCTGTCACTATGTGATAAGGATAATTTGTGTACTTGTGTACACAAGTGAATGGGCTTTTATAATTGAAAATAAACATATCATTTTTTCAGGAGCTAAATCTGTTACATGACAAATGTATTTTTAATACAGTTTGATATTTCTGTAATTTTCTTGACCTTGTAACATGTATTAAAATGAATTAGGGGTATTACAGTAATGGCTATGGCTTGCCATCTATCAGAATGGAATTAAGCAATTTTTAGTCTTTAATTCAATCATTTATATGTTCTTATGCATTGATTTTTATTTATTTTTTTCTTACAGGTACAGAGAAAAGATGTTTAAAATGAAGATCACACAGTGCAGTGTCATCGTTTTAGTCACACTTGTGCTACATACTACAGCTTTAAGTAAGTTAAATCATTATTGATTATGTCCATGTAAATCTGCCAAATAATTATAAATTATAAGACTGTATATTTTTCTGAATCTTAACAGACTTGAAAATAATATGAGAAATTTTAATATGCTTTAAATTCTTATTCATAGATCAATCTCCACCAAGGATATCCAAACAACCACCAACAGATGAATTATTGTTCCAAGTAGCACAAGCCAATATAAATGAAAATGAGAAACCATTTTTGATTGAATGTGAAGCAGAAGGAGAACCAGCACCTACGTAAGTGTTTTGCCTTATTATTTAACTCAATGAAGCTGATTAAGTTAAGCAGAGAAACACTGTAAACTATCAATTAGCATCTTTATCAATTAAAAAGTAAACTAGTCAATGCTAAAATTCACACTAAAATAATCATTGATAATGGTAGCATAGTATATCAAATTAAAAATGATGCATTCATTTGTGAAAGTCTTTTATTCAGGAAGATTCTCCTGTCTGTAGTGCACACAAAGAAACCTACAGCTATGTTACATTGTATTCAGAGTAACTGGTCTTAATTACTTGGATGACCTCAGCTCCCAGAGTTTAAACTTGCCACTACCACTGTTAAATATACTTTAAACACAGTATATACATTTACTGGGAGTGGTCATTTCTGTGAATGATATCTTTGTTGAAAATGATTTTCTATGAATTCTTTTATTGAAATAGGCTTAGCTTTCTGAAAACGTATAAATTGTAAATAACTCCAATATTAGACAATTTATTTATAGATTCTAATAAAATATTCATCAAATCTGAATGAAAAAAGCGCAGTGTTTAAACACTCACGCAACGCACTATATTAAATAAATTGTGTAACTCGCAATTAAGAGCATATCGCTATGTGTAAATGTACAGTAGAATCGTGGTAACTTGAATCGCTACAAAACAAAATATATCATAAATTTTTTTTCGAGTATGTGTTTTCCAGTTAAATTAATTTAATGCTTTACATAATTATCGCGCATAATGCACTGTAGTCAAATAAAAAATTATTAATATTATTTTTCATTGCAGATATGAATGGATAAAGAACGGCAAAGAATTCAAATGGCAGGCATATGATGACCGTATGTCTCAACAGCCAGGTCGTGGTACTCTGGTAATTTCTAAACCTCGCGACGAGGATCTTGGGCAATACCAGTGCTTCGCTACCAATGAATGGGGTACTGCTACCTCGAATTCAGTTTTTGTGCGCAAAGCCGAGCTGAATTCTTTCAAGGATCAGACCCCGTTAGCCATGGATGCCAACGAAGGTGACCCCTTCAAATTGACTTGTCAACCTCCGGATGGTTGGCCAAAACCCAACGTTTATTGGCTTTTGCAAGACGTCAATGGAGTCATCAAATCGATCAATAATTCTAGAATGACTCTGGATCCGGAGGGTAATCTATGGTTCAGCAACGTTACCAAACTTGACCGTTCAGAGGATAATTATTATGCCTGTGCCGCCACGTCTATGTTCCGTAACGAATACAAAGTAGGTAACCGAGTTATTCTGCATGTCACCTCAACTGGTTCTACTGCAGCTTCCAACAAACGTGAGCCCGTAAAACAGTATGTCAGTCGTAAAAACGAAGTGGCTTACAGAGGCAAAAAGATTGAGCTGTTTTGTATTTTTGGTGGTACCCCCTTACCACAAACGGTTTGGAGCAAAGATGGCCAGAGAATATCACCTAATGGGCGAATAGTCGAAGGCAATTATGGAAAGTCACTCGTCATCAAGAGCGTTAATTTTGAAGACGAAGGTACTTACACTTGCGACGTATCCAACGGTGTGGGCCAGTCGCAGTCGTACTCGATAAACCTCGAGGTACTTTCTAAACCCTATTTCACGGTCGAGCCAGAAATAGTTAATGCCGCCGAAGATGAAAGAATCGAATTCAAGTGCGAGGCCAGCGGTGTGCCCAAGCCACAAATCAAATGGATCCACAATGGTCGACCCATTGACGAGTCAAATTACAACGATCGTCGTAAAGTCACCCCAAATTCCATTATAATTGAAAGGTTGCACAAAAACGATACAGGAAATTACGGTTGTAACGCTACCAATTCTATTGGTTACGTGTACAAAGATGTGTACGTTAACGTCTTGGCTTTACCACCAGAAATTCTGCAACCCCCAATAGACGAAGCTACAGTTGACGGAAAAACCATTAGACTCACTTGTCGTGTGTTTGGTGCGCCTAAACCAGAAGTCAAGTGGTTGAGAAATGGCCAAGAATTGACGGGTGGTCGTTACAAAATCCTTGAGAGTGGTGATTTAGAAATTGAAAACGTCATCTACTCCGATGGTGGTGATTATGAGTGTCATGCGAGCAACAAATTTGGAAAGGTCAACGCTACTGGCGCATTAGCCGTGAAAGAACATACGAAGATCAACGATGCACCGGAAGATTACGAAGTAGCCGCAGGTGCCACTGCCACCTTCAGATGTAATGCCGTGTCTGACTCAACTCTAAATCTTCAAATCGATTGGTTAAGCAAGGGCGAGTCGATTGATTTTGAGGCTGAACCTCGTTTCATTCTCAGCACTGACTTTTCCCTCATGATTACCAAAACAACAGAATTGGACTCTGGTACTTATACGTGCGTCGCCCGTACCGATCTCGATGAAGCTCGCGCTTCTGCCACGCTGATCGTACAAGACGTGCCAAATTCGCCCACGCTTACTGGTATCAGTTGTGGCTCGAACGAAGCCTATGTCAGCTGGATACCTATGGGTGACAATCGATCGCCCATTCTGCGTTATGCCATTCAGTATAATACGTCTTTCACTCCGGATACATGGGAATTTGCCAAAGATCACGTCCCAGCTACTGAACAGAGATACTCGATACAAATGAGCCCATGGGCTAATTACACTTTCCGCGTAATTGCTTTCAACAAAATCGGTAAGTACTACTCATTTTCGTCATTCGATTTATGATATTAAAAATTACTTGTTTCTCAAAAGGACCATCGCAACCTTCGGCTCACAGTCAAGTGTGTACAACGTTACCAGATGTACCATACAAAAACCCTGACAATGTTGCTGGTCGAGGCGACGATCCGCAGAATCTCATTATTTCTTGGACGGTTATGCCACAAATTGAGCACAATGCGCCTAAATTCATGTACAGAGTATACTACAAACGAGATATACCTGGTGAAAAATGGACCATTGAGGATATTCACGAATGGAGAAGAAACTCGTTGAGAATCAACAATCAACCAACTTACCAAAGGTATAAAATCAAAGTGGGTGCGATTAACGAAAAAGGAGAGTGCAGAGAACAACCTACGGAAATAATAGGATATTCTGGAGAAGCCGGTAAGTTGATTACTAATTTCGATGTTTATAACTTTTGACGTTTCATCGTTAATAATGGTATTAATAATTATAATAGAACCAACCATGGCCCCAACTAATTTTACTTTGGTCGAGGTGAGATCAAGTACAAGTGCTCTACTGTCTTGGAGTCCGGTTACATTGGAATCCGTTCGAGGAGAGCTGCGTGGATATAAAATCGAAACTTGGACTGAACGAGATGGCGAAGAATCTCTCAGAGAATATGATGTCAAGGGCGGCAATAAGACATACGCATTGGTCAATAAATTCATACCATTTAGCAAAAATTCCGTTAGAATAAAGGCTTACAATGGACGGTAAGTCTCATTAAATAGAGAGCCATTTTGTGTGCATTTTTATTCTAATATTTTATGATGTAATCATTAGGTACCACGGGCCGCCTTCGGAAACTTTAACTTTTGACACGCCTGAGGGAGTTCCTGGCACTGTAATGGGTTTGGAGGCTTACCCAGTCGGTTCAAACACTATTCTTTTGAAATGGAACAAACCCATTGAGATCAACGGCATCTTGACCGGATATAAAATAACTTATCAAATCGTCAACGGTTCTAAAATCGGCAATGAAATTGAGAGACGACCACCGATCACTGATCCGGAAGCTACCAATGCTAAGTTGTCTGGTTTAATGCCAGAAACCAAATACAGAATCAGTATACGAGGCACTACACGTGCTGGATCCGGTGAAGCTTTCTTCGTGGAAAAAAGAACACCCGCTTCAAGGAAACCCGATGTGCCGACCTTTTCATGGTACAATATTCCTAAAGAGAGTGGTCTGACAAATGTCAGGATAATTTGGGAGCAAAGATACGATGGTTTTCCAGGCAGCTACTTTTTTGCTAAATATCGATTGAAAGGAGAAACCATTGAAATTCCAACAGATCCGGAAAAATTAAATAATGAAATTGAGATCCGTGGTTTGGAAAGCGGTCGCGTGTACCTTGTTTCCATCGTCGCTGTTGATGGAGATTATTTCTCCGAAAGTCGTACGCAAGAAGTAGAAACGAGTAATGAAGGTCCAATTATTCAAGCACAAGAGAATGTCGCAACAGCTGGATGGTTCATTGGTAAATTTCACTAGCTAAATTTTCTTTATGGAATAAATATTGAGAAAAAAAATTATCAACTTTTCATTCTTAGGTATGATGTTGGCTATCGCATTCCTCTTGTTCATTCTTGTCATTGTATGTGTGATTAAACGCAATCGGGGGGGCAAGTATGCCGTGCACGAACGTGAACTTGCTGCTGGTCGAGCCGATTACCCAGAAGAAGGTTTCCATGAGTACTCACAGCCATTAGAAAGTAAATCAGGTGCGAGGTCGTCCATGGCGTCATCCCATCAAGATAAACATGCCGAATCTGACACTGATTCCATGGCAGAATATGGAGAGGGCGATACTGGTAAGCGAAACAATTGTCATCTGATAGCTTGAAAATACCTCGTTGTTATTTAATTAATCCTTTTAGATAAATTTACATCTAGACGTTTATGTAATTTTTTGTCTATTATACCCGATAAATTCCATACTTAACAAATTCAAGCTAATTCATACAAACGTTCGGTTTCCAAATGTCACACTTCTCGTGGATTATCATGACATAATTTTTTAATTTTAATTCTGTGACAACATAACATCTTTCATCAAATATCCATTTCTTTATTTTGTCGCTTGATTTTTTTTCTCTCACGTTACATAGAAGGTATGAACGAAGATGGTTCATTCATTGGTCAGTATGGCCGGCATCGAAAACATCCACCGGCTTCCCAAGCGTTTGCCACGCTTGTGTAAGGTAAGTTAGTGACACACAACCTAATTTTTTCACTCAAACTGAATCATGTCACTTTTGTCATTGTCATTCGAGTCACGTGTACAGCCTTCACATTATGCTATATTGTTATTATAAATCTGCAATTGTAACAAACTTGTACTTGTATTTTTTAATTTGTAAACATTTTTGTAGTTTGATGTTTACTGTTTTATTTTTGCTTGTTAACTTTTCTATACAAATAATGAGTCATATTTTGGTACTTCTCGAAGGTCCAAGATCAACAGTCAGTCTAAGTATAAAATTTTAATGGAATGCTACTTTGAATTTAGTACAGTACAGTGTACTTGTTTCTATGTAAACATTCATTTTTTCTTTTGAAGTCTTTGCAAAATTTTAATACTTTAGTCCTTTCGATTTTTGCAACGACTTGCGAAATGAACAATTGTTTGATCATTAAAATGGTATAATGTTCAATTTTCGTTAATAGGTCGCTTCACAGAAGATGGATCATTCATCGGTCAGTACGGACCAAAAGGCAGACCAGACATTCCACCGCCTATACTAGCAGGAGGACTGGCGACATACGTTTAACCTTCAGATAACATCACCATCATTCAACAACTGCGAAATATAAGATGGATCGATGAAAATGATGATGAATTCGGCGTGCGCCGAGTTTACGTTGATTCAAGTAAAAATTCACCTTGCCACTTGTGCAGAAGCTAAAAAAATGCTGATATTAACGTATGATACTAAATATTAATACGTAATAACCGTTGCATCTTGCGCTGAGCGCAACGTCCAAGAAACTCTTTACTGCCAATTAAGAATCTCGTCTTTAGGGTTTTATAAAAATACAAATGATTCATGCGACAGAATTGCACCCAACTATTCTCAAGCAAAAAAATAGTATCGTTATATGCACGCGTGCATTTATTTGGAGCTTTTTAATATGATTGCGTGGAAATTGAAGTAATCGATTTCTTCGTTCAGCACAAAGTAAGAAATGAAACTTTATGAACCCCAACGACTTGAAGTTTTTAAGTGTTCTTTTAGCGTGCGAAATATAAATGAAGACGGCATTTTTACTTTTTTTAGTGAATCTTGTTCGCTTTTTGAAAGTAAATTTTCAGCGTCGACGAGAAATCACATGAGTGTAAAAATAAGTAATACATCACGTCGATGATAATGAATAATAGACGCCTGCTAATCACAGGGTACCCACGTTATGTTTGAATTGTTTCTAATATGTATTGACAGGTTTTGAGACTGCATTGATTCTATTATCCTTGGTAGGCTATTAAATGAAAAAATAAAAGGAAATTAGGTATGTTGTTCGAAAATTTTGCTTCTTAAAGTTTATGCTATTTACAAGAAAGAAATTAATAATTGGTTGATAGTAAAGAAAGAGAGTCGATCGATTTTTTATAAAAATAAACATACTTAATGTTTTTCTTAGCGAGAGCCCGTCAAACTAGAAAATAAACTCTGTAGTTTTGAAAGAAAAGACTTTACACGATTGTTGCGCGCTTATGATATAATCTTTAGCGTCCAATTTCAATGTCTGAAAAGTGATTTTAAAAAAGCTGCTATGCAACTCCAATTGAAAACTGTAATCTAATAAATATACTTTAAAATGTGGTATTAAATATTGAATAAAATGAAACATAGTGGGCCAGAAGAAACACATTTCAACACGCAAAACAAACTAAAGAAACACGAACAAAGTAAAAACGAAAATATATCATCGAGTTTAAGAGATAATAGAAATAAAAAACGACCGTACTCTCAGACTTTGCACTCTTGCAAGGTGTGAAAGTGCTTTAAGTATAGTATAATATTGTACATGTAAATGCTGGTAAATTATTATTTATAATATTTAAAAAATAAAATTATTGTAAATGCACTGTAGTAGTTAATCAGATCACAGGGCCTCTAATTGTTGCTTTCCGTGAATAAAACGCGCTTCTAGTTGACAAAGAGCAGACGTATATACATATTTTTTTCCTTAAAGAATTTTCTTTATTTTCTTTATTTTTATGAGTTTTAATGTAAACTTTCTCTCTCTGTAGTTTGTTTTATTTTTCGCTGAGGTGAATTGTAAAAATATGATAGGTATAATATCGTATGAAACAAACGAAAGTCAAATACAAATACCCACAGAAGCTATTTATTAATATGTTATGGATGTTAATTTAATTTTTCGAATTATTCTATTATACAGAGTAGTTCATTGCCTTCCTATTCATACATCTATCGCTTGTTTTTACAGTTTCATCTGAGAACAATTTGGCGCCAAAAAATATTTGCGCAAATAATGTCGAATACATGTATTCGAAAATCTTGTTGTTTTTTCTAATTTTCATAAACATAATTTATGTTTTATTCCTTTTTATTATTTCAAGAACGTCTAAATTGTTCATAACAATAAAAAATGTACTAAGATTACTCTGTTATAATTATATGAGCGTCGAATCTGTGTTCGAATTCTAGCGTATGTTTAGGCATCACGCAGTTAGTTGACTTTCCTTAAAAACTTCCAGTATTTTCATAAAAGGGATTCATAGTCAATCTCTAACATCTATTTTTAAAAGGCTTTGAATTCTTCAAACTAATCTCTTGTCAATCTTTTTTTTACATTTTCATCTGAGTGCTTGTAGCTCTCAATTATTTTTAGATAAAATGCTTCATGAATTTTACAGTACAAATCGATAAACAAAGGAGAAGAAACAATAACTATAAATATTAAAAATAGAGATGAAAATTTAAAATATCGATAATGTTTCAACGTAACAAACAATAGTATAATAAGCGATTAAGTGCGAAGAAATATAGAGTGTAATATGATGAAATAAAAAAATTTACCTTCAAAAGCAGCTAATACTAAATGTAAGTTCTTAAAGTTCTTGTGAATCGAATCTCATATAACTAATAATTTAGAAAAATAACGTGGTGATCGTCACTTGCATTTCAGAATTGTTAAAAAAGAATCTCATCAGTAAATTGCATTAATTATTTAACAAAGATTTTGACATTAAACATGATCCGATTTGTAATATGAGTTTTAGGCTGTAAAAATGGTAAGGAAAGAAAAATGTTAAAAACAACATTTTCCGACGATCGTGCTGTATGTTCGAATGTTTTTTTCAAAGTATTACATTTTGTAATGTTGCAATTCGTAATTTTTGTCATATTTGTACATTAAAAATGCAACAAATTGAATATATAAAATTAACGTATTATTTAAAGCTACAATATGATATATGGTCAGTTATCCTTTCTTTCACTGCATCTCTCGTAATTGTGCGAACGATGAAGTGATCGTTGAGCGTATAGGCATACAATTACACATTTAAGACAGTCATTTTTTACTATGCAATAGAAAAAATGAATATCTTAGGACACATGCGAATCAAGTTGAATACCGTTTGTGTTATTTCTTTGCTACTATGTTTCGCTGATAAAAGGGTGTATCATATATCTGTGTTCACTCAATAAAAAGCTTCAGATAAAACGTAACTTTTATATGAATTTAGAATATATATAAATCTCAAAGTCTTTAAATGATTTTATTGTAATTTAACCTACATCGTATTAAGTTTTTACTAGTAAACTTTTTTATTGTAAGATTTACCTTTTTTTTAAGTAATTTATAAAAATATACATAAATATATTAATTTATTATTAAAATGCGAATTGTAATAAATACCATCTCTCTTCCTTGTGCTGATATATTGTACGTACGAAAAAAAACAAAGGGAAGTTGTTTTTCTGCACGTCTAGACATAGTTCAAAAACCGTAAATATCGTCGAAATCAGGTCGTATTATGTTGTAGTGTGTTTGGAATTTATTGTGTATACAATGAACAGGAAATGAAAAAATCAAATGTTTATATAAATGTAAATTATATAAGTGTATGTGTAATTAGAGAGTTTCATCGATGTAACGATTATATATAAACGGTGAGGAAAAAATGTTTTATGACCTGTATGGTAACGCTAATCGAGGTTTTTGAACTCGTTTGATCGAACAGATGGACGAAAGACATAAAGATAAATACATTTTTTTAAAACGCTCGCAAAAAGCTGTGTAAAACATCTATACACGCTCACTCACGTCAATAAAAGAAGGAGAAGGAAAAAATAAAGTCTGTTGGGATTTTTATTATTATGTGTACATCCCTCAATTTGATATTCGATACTATGTCAGAAAAAGTCGTCGGTCGTGCACGTGAAACGTTATCTCGTGAACGTGACGTCTTTCGATTTTCGACGAAGGGAGCGCGAGGGCAATTTAATAACTGCATCGTTAGCAAATATTGAAAAATCAATTTTCTTCATTCACCATGTGCAGAAATAGCCGGCAATACCTAGCATGTAAACAACAACAAGCTGAGCCATGCCAAGCACGAACGTAAAAGTTGATTATAATTCCATAAAATACACATTCTTGGAGCCTGGCACATTCCAATACGGCTATAAAATATTCATATTTAATGACAGGAATTAGGGGCGCTCGCAGAGCCGCTAACAACTGTACATGCGAGTGCGAATAGAATCATTTGACCATTATGAGAGTACGTATGCGAGAGAAAGAGAAGAAATAATAGGACTACACATGCGTTGCACGAATGCGGGAAGCTTTCGCGTGGGCACGCGTGAAACAAGATATATACAGCATGCGAGTAAAAAAAGCAACGATTATAGCTCGTTTATAGGCCGAGGCTCCAATTAGCTGCAGTTGGAGGGTAAGAGGCAGAAAAATAAGCGGAGAAACTTTGGACTTTTGGCCGTCGCGCCCCAATCAGGCGCTCGTTGCGACGATATTTTCTTCAATCATTGTATACACACACGTGCTTTGTGGCGTGGGCAGAGGCTTTAAATAATTCGCGCATAAATGAATTAATTATGGCGCGCGATCGAAGATCGAGCTTTCAATTTCAATGCGGCGTATTCATGCGCGTTTGCTGGAGACGGAAAAATATCGCTCGAAAACGCATAATTGCAACGAGTACTTGGAAATCTATTTATACCATATTTTTGTTCGTTGAAATCTAAAATTAGATAGAGATCGGTTAAAATTAGTTTATAATCGATTTTCTCTCTCTCTCTCTCTCTTACTTGGCGGAATATTTCTTTCTCATTTTGCTTTAGCTTCATTTGGTCGCGCTTCGTCGACTCCTCTCACCACTGCATGAACGTGCGCGCGATATCTTAATTTTTGCACGCACACGCAGTTTGTGAAGGCGTGTGTGCGTTTAAATGTGTACGTAGCAAGTCTGCGAGTGTGTGCGTAGACCCCTTAGGCCCCTCAAAAAAAAAAAAAAAGAGAGAGAAAAAAGGAGAGCATCACAATAACAGGTTCTCTCTCTCTCTGCAAAGGAGCAAAACCGCGTTTAATATGTATATACACGAAAGAAGAAGCAGCAGCTCCGCAACAAACGATGAACGTCCGATAATACTGTCCATTGTATGTGTGCGCGTGTGTGTTTTTACGCTTTCGGCTGTTGTGGCGAGTGTGAGAGAGTGAGACTAACAAATGGCCTATTGTTAAAATACCCACGCGGCAACGGCCTTGTCCACGTCCTCCGCCTCCTTCGCAATTTCTCACCCTTACTTACACCGCCGCTGCTTTCAACTCCTTTTTTCGCAGCTCTTATTTGCTTTATTTTTGCTTCGTGACTTTTCGGGTGGAGAGTGATTTTTATTAAGTACCTCGATTTTGTATTTAATCGTCAAGTGTTTCGGAGCATCCGAGCCTTGGCCACGAGAATGTATACTTTTTTTCGGGGCTATTTCATAGGAAGATTTCTCATGTCAATCAAGCACTACTCGACTGCTTGGCTTATTAAAGCAGTTTTTTTACTTTTTTTAATTTTTATACATCACGTTGTATTTTAATAAAAACTACGAAGCTACTTTTTGCGCACGTATGAGTGCGCGTCCAGTTGAAAAAGTCCAAGAGTTGAATTCTTCTCGATACACACATGGACACGCAGGGTCCAAGTGTCAGTTTTAAAATAAAGCGTAAAATATACGTGAGAATCGCTGCTTTTCTCATCGCAAGTGTACTCAAATACGTTTATACAGATAGGCGCGCAGAAAGAAAAAAGACGTATAATTTTGTGGTCGTTTTCATTTATATACTAATGTTGTGTCCAAGCAGTGCTAATTGGACGATTTTCTTTTTTGTCATAGCTCGTATGGTACACGTTTCTTTCTTTCTTTCTCTCTTTCTCGTGTGCGGCTTTTAATTAAGTGATGATTGCGGTTTGTCGCGTGTGCATCTCTCGAGGAGCCGTCCTCGGAGCGAGGATTTATGCCAAACGGCCTCTTCTCTCTGCGTTAATTGAATTCCCTGCATATAGCCCGCGCTCTGATTTATGACCTGTTACACGTACGACTCTCGAAACTTGAAATTCGATTTATTTTTACCATAGGTTGCTGCAGTGCCGGATGGGAAATTCTAAAATGGCTATGTATAGGTTCGACGCTCGTCTTGTTTGAACAAGCCGGAGCAAACATTTGCTGCTGCTGCTGCTGCTTGCACGAGAGAGCGGGGAAACATCCCGTTCGCTGCTGAATTGCAACGACGCCAGTAATATTCAATAATAAGAGACGAAAAATACCCCGAGAGCAACTGCTCGTGCTTCTTTTTGTTTCTCTTTCAGTCGAGCAGCAACGAGCCATCGTGGAGTTTCGAGTTAGATAACGAACGAAGCGTGAAAACGACGCGTGCAAAAAACCAAGCCGTGTGCACGTTCGCATACTCGCACACACACACACACACACACACACACACACATACTTAATAAAGAATTACGTGGTGTAGAATGTAATCATACGTAGGAGGAAATCAAGATCAAAGAGAAAGAAGAAGTCGCTGAGAAAGAGAGAGAGAGAGAGAGAGAAAAAAAGAGAAAAAAAAGGACTCGTTTTCGCGCAGCCTCAAGTCAGTATTCGCTGACAAGCTGATCGCGGAATGATATACGGCTCAGGACGCGCGTATAAAAGAAATCAATTCCGCGTAACTAACGATGCCTCGATGCTGTTGCTGCTACTGCCACTGCTGCGCTTGACGATTTTTTGTGTATCTTATAGTCCCTCTGAAAGTCTCCCGATTTTACCCGCGGGCCCGCTCGACAGCTATAAACCCTATATGTATACATAATTGGACTTTTACGTGGATTTTTTATCCAGCAAAGTCGACTTTTTCTCACTGCGTTTAATTCAATTAAAATGAATTTGTGTCAGTCGCGCGAGCTTTTGCTTTTATGCGGTCGAGTAGGCTGCGATTTTTCGATTTGGCGATCGCAACCGATCGACCGGTGAAAATACCTACGTAGAGTACGTACATGTAAAAAGGCGAAGCTTATATTCGCGGGTAAAACCTCGCTTAATAACGACTCACGCTCTCGAGTGTTGAAATATTAAACATATCTCAAATCGGTATTATGTCGGTTTGGCTTTTTTGGTTGCACGCGTACTAGGTAGACTCGCAGCACGAGCGGCTCATTCACGCCATCGCCTGAGAGAGGAGCCCGCGACGAGTTAATAGTTATTTGCAGCTCGTTTTTTCTCCGATGCTTATACACCCTTTTCTCGCGCATAATATCTCTCTTTTTTCACCTTGCATCCTGTCCGTATGTTAAATTTATATCTCTCCACTCTAGCTTATATAAGTGTGCGTGTGTATATGTGCTAGCAAGAGGGCCCTCCTTTCTCTCTCTCTCTCTCTCTCTCTCTCTCTCTCTCTGTTTTTTTGTTATATTTGAATTAAAAGAGTTTATGCGCCGTTGTTTTTTCTCATTAATCCGTCACGCTTGCAAATAAGACGGGCTGTTGCCGATGGCATGTATAAAATGACTTTATCGAGACATTACTATATAATAAAGTGGTTTTATTTTATCATCATTCCTTAAAATGCATAAATCATTTCTAAATTTGGTTTAAAAAAATATTTTTCTTACTACATATAGATTAAATAAAACAAAAACTTCAAAGGAAGAAATTATATGGCAAGACAAAGATAAAGAGAAAGAGTGATCGGTAAGAAATCGATAGTATAATCTGATTGAACGATGGGATATATGTTTTATTTACAGGAGCGCATCTGGTTTTTCTCTCTTTCTTTCTCTCTCTTTCGTTTTGCACGCGTATATAAGCATATACTTATGGGTATGTGTGAAGAATATAAGAAGAGAGAATATACATCAGCAGGCGGGGGCAGTCATGTAGTTCTTCGTCCGCGCGCTCTCTCTCTCTCTCTCTCTCTCTCTCTCTCTGCTCCGGCAAAACCTTTTTCCTTTTCTCTCTTTTGCTCGGCTCTTTCTTGGGCCGATCTCGTCTGTTACTCACTTACTGGTAGTCGCAGTCTCGTTTGGTTCTTTGCCGTGAGCGTTACTCACGCGTACGCGTTACACGGACGTATAGACTCACACGCACGCATTTGGCTGCAGCCTGCCCCGCGCGCACGCTTCGAAAAGCACAGCCCGAGACCTTCCGTATGCAAACGCCTAAATCTCCTCGATACCTTTGCCATTTACTCGCTAGTCCGAAGACGAGCATGACGGAGCCTCGCGCCTTGGATGACGATGCGTAGTTGATCGACCTCGAGGGCAGGAACGTCGATTTTCCGACATCGACACACACGCGAACCGTGCGGAAGAATTATCAGTGAGTGCGACCTACGCCCCAGGAACGACTGCAGTGCGACGAGAGATCAAGAATGACGACGGCCTGCAAGTGGCTCGACCAGCTGCTCCTCTTGTCGATCATCGTTTTTCAGGCCTTTCACGAGACTTGCCAAGCTAGACACAGGTCGGGCAGGAAACCGGATGGAGATATGACACTCTGGATCGATCGACAACAGATCAAAATGTTCAGTGGTACGTGATTATAGGCTTTTTCTTTATCGCTTCCCATCGGTGCTGTGCTCCTGTAATCGGTACAGCGTATATATGACGGATACTGCAGATTCCCTGCTTTTATTTTATATACTTTCGTTGCAGTCGAAATTTTTTTAATTAATTTAAAATCACTTTGAAAAAACATTAATATCTAATTCATTTAGTTTATTACTACATTACTGTACCAAAAAAAAAGTTTATTATCTTTAAGCAGTTGAACCTTTTCCCATCCTTGCAATGAAGTTTTGGTGTACGTATTGAAATAGTAGATTTATTTTAACAGAATGAAAAACCTTGACTTTACTGTTTGATAATTTGTGAAAAAAGTATTCAACGAATAAGCAAATATTGTTTTGTACAGTTTCATCCTCGAGATAAATTATCTTGAATAATGATTCAATTTTATTTTGCTATTACAGGTGTGGAGATGGAAATATATGCGATTGACGAGGGTCGAGTTGTACCGTATCTGTTGGATCCGGAATTCGAGAACAAATTACCGATCATACCGAACGAGGTATCGTACGTTAACTTCACCTGGAAGTCCGGCGTCAAGAAGTACTATTACGATTTTTTCTTGCTCAAGTCGTTCGACGAGTCGATACTCAAGACACCATCGATCACGATAAAAAAGCAAGGCAGAGTACCGAAGCGCCAAAAGGGTAGGGTTCAAAGGACTCGTGCGCGAGTCGCAGAGGTAGTCGGCAGAAAAATACGAAAAATATGCGCTTGTGTTTCAGAGTTCAGCGTGTTGCTACCGTGCTCGGGCAACAATTCCGGAGTCGCGCAATTCGGGATCGGTTTGATGATCGAGACGCGCAAAAACAAGCCACTCAACGGGACACCCTTACAGCTCAGCCTGAGAAAAGAATGCGCCGTGCGCGGTGAGTGCGTCAGTCGCGCCCACGATCACCATTTCTCCGCTTCTCACACTGACAGTTCTGTATCATACCAGTTTACATCTCTCATCAATCTCTTTCTCTTTTTCTCAACAAATTTTTTTTCTGTTTTTTTTTTTCTTGATTAAACAACAACAAAAAAGAGCAAAAAACTGTATATTATAGAGCGAAAGCTGCAACCACGACAAAGGAAAAGAAGAAATGAAAACAAATATTTGCGGAAAAAGAAATGCAACGCGCGCGCGCGAGGGAAGCCCGCATGTGCGAAGCTGTATTATACCGGACGACTTCCGCTGCACGATTAATAAATCTGATATACGTATACATGTATACATACAGTGTAATTTTAATTCGGACTCTCGCCATGCGAGCTGCCTCTTTTTTCGTCATATATACGTAATATCGCAGCACAAGTGCTACGTGCATATTGTGCGAAATAGTAGTTGTGCGCGCGCGAGCCCTATACAAACATACAATTGACCGAAATTAGGATTAATTCGAGCTAATTGCAAAACCGGACAAAAATATTCTCCAGCGTTTCGCTCGCTCTATCGCTCTCACTCTTCCCGCACTGCGTAATAATGTCCGTGTGCACGTCTAGATGCTGACGTTTTCAAGTTCAACGCCTTTAAATATTTTCTTCTCTTTTTTTGTTTCAATTTTTTTTTCTCCCACACTGTGCCGCTGCGGCTGTTTTTACCGTATTTTTTTATCAGCGTCAATGAGCGATTTTACGTCCGTGTAATGACTTTTTACGCTCAATGGAAGATCAAGTTGACGGAAAATTATAATTCGAATTCGACTTAAATCACAATTTATATCCAGTAGTTTTGGTCTTATTGTTTCATTTCAAAAAATCTAAATTCACGTAAGCCAAATGGAAAGTAGCCTCTGTTATAATTCATCGATTTTAATATAGAAAATATCTTAGGAGTTTTCAACAAAATTGTATATATTTTTTAAAAAGCAGCACGATCAAAGCAATAACTTTTTATGCTAATGTGTATTGTAGAGCCAAATCCAGGACCGTGTCCGGATGGTTATTTGGGACCGCCGCATTGTAAGAAAGCTCTGTGCTACCCCAATTGCATGAATGGTGGTAATTGTACGGCACCCGGAGTTTGTTCGTGTCCAGCAGGATTTCAGGGACCTTACTGCGAAGGAGGTAAAAATGATTTTTTCCTTTTAAATACGCAAAATTTCTTTTTATTTACAATAAATAACAAATACTAATACGTGGAATCACTAAAAAGTACAAAAAAGCTCTAATAGTATCAACGCAAATGAACGTAATATTATTATCTACTCTATCGATATATTTAGATAACTTTGGATATCGCTATGGCTGTTTTACAGCCAACTTTGATGACGTTTGTAAGAGCTTGATAAAACGGCGCTTGTTCGGCTCCATGCTCTAGACCTGTGTCGTGATGCTCTTGCTCTTCGTCACGGAACTTTTTGATAGTTTCGAGAATTTCACGATCGCTTTCGTCACTGACTTCCATAAGCGATCTCAGCTGATCGTTGTAATGCTCGACGATTGAATCCTCGACTGCGACTGTACAGGCCATTGCTGCCTTCTCACCCATAAGAGCAGTACCGGCGCCTAACGCCCAGCCAGCAATATTCCATATCGGTAGCAGGGCCGTCGGTCTGACTCCATGCTTTTTGATCAGTTCTTCAAATTTTTCCTTGTGTACTTTTTCTTGATCCCACATGTGTTGAATAGTTGGACCAGAAGCTGTATTACCTAAAATTATTTGCTAAGGTCAGATAAAATTCTACTTTCAATCAAATTATTATTACTTTTATGTACCTAATATTGCCATTTGACCCGCATATATTCTATCAGCTCCAAATTCTCCTGCATGATCTACTCTGATGATAGAATCTAGCATGCGTCCTTTTTTTGTTCTCAAAGGTGCTGCAGAATTACTTGAAATGCTACGAATAGCTCCTCTTCCTGCACCCAACATGATTTAAATTTAAATTCTGAAAAAAAGATTAAATCAATTATTAATGTTTCAGGTATTTGTTCAGAAAAATGCTTGAATGGGGGAAAATGTGTACAAAAAGATACATGTGAATGCCCCAAAGGTTTTTTCGGCGAGAGATGTGAATTTTGTGAGTTTTTTTTATATTTGCAGATTAGAAATTTTAAAAATAAAAATATATATTATTATTTTGATTGATTTATAGCAAAATGTGTAGTTCCATGTGTAAATGGAGGCAAATGTAAGGGAAACAATATATGCCGCTGTCCAACAGGCTATAAAGGTAATCACTGTGAAATTGGAAGACGGATGCCGTTTCATCAAACTTGCACCAGACAATGTAGGAATGGTACTTGTCAACCTGACAACACTTGTCATTGCGATCCTGGATGGTATGGCAAATTGTGTAGTAAAAACAAACCCTGGGCTAAATGAATTCAGTACATGTTGCGGTACTGTTATTTATAATTTTGATATTTATTGGGAAATAAATAGGTCATCATTCCAAATTGTAGCAAAATATTACATTCAGTATTATTTAATTTTCAAAAATGTATATAATTACAAGTATTTAGAGATGTAAAATATTTCAATCCTAAAGTCCAGAAAACAAAATTGGAAAAATATTTAGCACCGCAACATTAACAAAGAAACATACAAGTTGTGAATATGTGGTCTATACACCACCAGAGATGTGATATGTAAAGCTATTTTACACATACTGTTAGGTATTAATTTTTAATAAACTATATTGTTAAATGTATTGCAATGACTGTTAGATACATAATAACGATTTTTATTTTATCATTTAGCAAAGTTTGTTTGATTAATATACAATTTTATATTTTCTAAGAAGGTTTGTTTTTTATTATAATTATTAAAAAAACTTAAATATTTTATATGATTTTCAGAAAAAAATTTTTAATAAATATTTCATAGAATCTACAAGGTCTTGTTCTTCAAATATGATACACAATGTTTCATAAAATTGCGTTATTTTTACAATCTCACTATATTCATCAAATTTAATCTAAGAATTGCATAACAAATGATAATGAATGTATATTTATTCTATAAATTTTAAGGAAAAATTATATCAAATATCTAAAGAAATAAATGATTAAGAATGAAAGGTTGGTAAAAGGAAAAGTAAAAAATAAACATAAACAAACATCGTTAGTACAGGTTAAACACGCTGTTGTAGATCATGAACTGAGACACTTCACGCAATATTTAATGACAATGACAGGAATTTAGAAATGATTTAGTTGCATTTGAAAAAATGTGAAAAAAAGCAATTAGAAACCTTAGGAATATCGAATCTATACAGAATCTGTCAACATAAAACGTCACTCGCACAAAATAAGTCTTATGTGCCGGAATAAAGCAGACGCAAAACTATGAAGGTAAGGCAGATTTTTACTCTTGCACACTGTCGCTGCAGTTTGCGAATACTCAACTCGAATCAGATTAGAGAAAATTTTGAAATTTTTTTTAATCCAATATGCCAGATGATATATCATTAGTGCGATAAAATCATCGATATGATTATAGGAATTTGTCGAAATAAGTGATTAAGAAGAAAATTGAAACTCGCGGGGTTTTTAAGGTGTTGAAGTACGTGCATAGTGCTGCGACCTGGTAAGAGTTCTCCGCCCGATACGTCATAAGTGCGAGCATCGTGACCGTCTTCTTTACTTTCAGTTGGTACAGCTTCCATCCTTGTCTAACTCGCAGGTGTTATAGCGTACAACATAATATTCTATATAGAGAAAGAGGCAAAGACAGAAGTTTAAGCGGTCGCAGTAATTTTTGGTTGGCTTATAAGTAGTGCTGGTCGATATACGAAGTAGCAATAAAGTTCAGTGAGATCGAGAAGCTCGCACATGTTGGCTTGGCGTACAAAAGGTTCTGCAAGAGTCTCGTAGTGCTCGGTGCAGTGTGTGTCGATCGACTCTGAGCTCGATCAACAGAGGCACGAGCAGTGGATCTGCTCTTATATATCTTAGACCAAGTTGTTCCCCCGGAGTGTGCTCATGTGTTGGACGTAACGTCGGCGCAGTAGAACGAATTCGCGAGTTGCGACTGCCCGCTCTACATACTCACCGATTGGGTAAGTACATAAAAGCCTGACTTTAAAGATACTCCTCTCGAGCCTGCGCGCATTATTTCATGCGTGAGCGACTATTTTCCTTCGCGCGGTATTTACGCACGGTGTCTGTGTCGGTGGCCAAGGCTCCTAACACGCAGGTCACACTTGTTAATAACAATGAGCGCGCGCAGCATTGACGTATAAACGCACGCGGACGGCGGTCCCGTCCCGTCCCGCGACTCCGACTTGCCATTTACGAATTTCTCACGCGCAATTTACACACGCAACTATACATGTATATGTGCACGCTAATCGGCTCAATCGTTACATAGCCATGCTGACACCGCTGCCGCTGTCGGCGATTCCTTTCCATTCTGCCTAGGGCTACTCCGACTACTCCGACAGTTTCTGCTTAATTAATTGAAATTACCTTGAAATCTCGTGGACAGGTTTTTTTCGTCCGAATAGTCAAAATAACCTCGATTTTGACTCGAAGTCTTGTAACTACGAGGCTCGGCGCACCGGGATAATTATACATTCGATCGTCTGCTGGGCCTCATCTCAACGGCGCAGGCCTCAATATGGCCGGTGTATTGTGCAATGTGCATCTTACAGTGCGCAATGCACATCTCGAATCGCCGCTCATCTATAGGTATATAAGACCATGTGCTGCGTGTTTATTCGGAGCAGGCCCTGTTCTATCGGGACTTGGTGCATTTGAAATCCAAAAGGCAGCGACGAATCACATGGGCGTTTGTAGGTTATGAACGTTTTAAGTGATGCATTTCATTTGAATTTGAAAGTGAAAAAATTAGGAGCCGACGAAACACGAGGTAGCAACTCGATGTACCGTCGTGTTACGCTATTACGTGCTCCGAGAACGGAAATACAAAATGGCGCTGGCGCAGCTACGGCCGACGACGCTCGTTAGTCGCTACGCCTGTACGCTATGAGGGGGCCCCACACCAAATCGTATGTGCTTATGCGTGACTGTCTCATGGTTGTATTAGCTATAAGATTAGAAATGTCAGCATCGAGCAAAGAACATGTGATGCTCTGACGACGATGCGCAATGGACTCCTAGCAGAAGCTGCTGCAGCTACGTTTTCGACAGTTGCAACGCAGGCGCGCGCGAACGCTGTATTATTGTTTTGCTTCTGCCAGATAGAGATACTTTCTGCGTGTGCATGCGCTCGTTGATACACGGGGGCAGACGTCGTTGTTGCGCACGGAGAGGCTGTCCGCGGAGCCGCGCGCGCACCGCGTGGTCTCGCGATCATGTAACAACGCTGGTTACGCCAGACTCGAGTAAGACTCGCTCGCCGGTATATACACAAACGCGCACGCAGTCTTACTACATAGGTACAGTCCGCGGCTATGCTGTTGCATCGCGAGGCGCTGCATACGAAACGTTATAGCTGCTCGTTACGGGCGTTACAAACGCCGCGGACAAAAAAACAAGGCTAACTGGCGGCGACGAAGGCAAAGAGGCGGCCTGCGGTTCGTATGCGTACGTACGCGATCGACACCTCGGAATCGGGCTCGTCGACCGACTCGGGCCTCTCTCATTATTATATGTAGCCAGGAGTTATAAAGTATTGATCGTTCGTCCAAGCGCGCCGCGGCTCTATGCTTGTATGTATGTCGATATCTATATGTAGGATGTATGTGACACACGGCATCTGTCGTACGCTACATTATATACGCCCGATCCTACAGTTACGCACGTAGACGCGTGCTGCGTGTTAGACAATTGACGGCCGTAAAAAAATGACAAACAAACAAAAATCATCAAATTCATTCGGCAATTGTTAGGCTTTCGTATTTTGCATCAGTTATTACCCTCCCGAATTTCGCCATAAACCACGATTATACATCTTTCTCAACATGACAGCAGGCAAACGTATTTGCCTTGTTAAATTAATTAATCGATCGAATTAATGTGATTCGAATTTCGTCTTCGATGTAACTCAGGGATATGAAATATGTACTTTATCAACATCATATAGGCAAAGTCGAACGTGTAAAGCATCGGACTCGTACTCTTCCCATGGATAAGGAAAAAAGAGGCAAGACAGACGCGCAAGTTGGCGTGTTTTTGTGTATATATATTGGGCGAACTTCGCACAGGCAGAGCAAGCTCAAAGCTGGGCTACTGGCCGCGATCGATACCGCACGTACACTTACGCACACGCACAAACTCCCATACATGTACTCACACACACATACGAGGAAGCAACTGTATACACATAGGTATGTATGTGTGGTGGATGAAGTATATATCTGCTGCTGTGTACGCGCGCGAAAGAGAGAAAGAGAGAGAGAGAGACAAGAGGGGGTACAGTACCGCGTTATGCACGTACACAAGCGGGAATATAGTCGTGTGCTTATGTGTACGTATAGAGATATCACTGCTGCGGCTGCTGCCTGCTCGCTGCTGCTGCTGACTACTATGCCGAGTTTTGCTCTGTGTATATGTGAGTGATTCCGCTCCGCGATCTGCATTGTGTATTGTGTTTGCGCGATTATACTGCATATCGAGTCTCGTGCTCCTTACACCACTCATTTTATAAATCCATCATGTGCGAGTTTTAATTTTTTCTCTCCCACCTGCTGTTCCTCCTCCACCTCAGCGACTATTTGCTCGCGCGATGAAGCCCCGATTTTGACCAAGTGCTGTCGCGCAGCAAGAACGAATGCATAACTCTACGAGGCAAGTTGTCAAGTGTTCGCATCATGACCACAAGAATGAAGCACAAGAAAGGCTCGACGAGAAATTACTTGGTTTCGCAGGCGAATCCTTGGCCAGAGAGATAACCGGTGCGTAAATGTGTGATAACGTGCCGTGTACGTATACATAAACACATAACTCGTATCTATACAAATGTGTATCCTCGTATCTCTGCCGAGTCTAAAGAAAAATCTATAATTCAGCGCGAGTCTCGAGCTTATGTCTGTCTGTGCTCTGTATTCGTTGCTCTCTTATGTTGGCCGATAGCTTGTGTATAACCTCATTCCTCATTTCGGAGCAAGCTTTTATACATGTATACATCGACGAGTCTAGTGATATAAATAAGGCCGAAGGTGCGAGGAATGCGAGCTCAGGGCAAAGATCAGCAGTCACAGCTCGTAACTATAATTTATTCACGCTCTAGTCTCTGCCGTGCCATCGATAAAGTCATCGCCAAAGCAACGTAATAACCGTGCGTGCAGTGCAGCCCTAATCAACTGCAGCTCGTAGGTACGTCAACGGAACGAGACGACGTTCAGTCGCTTTCGAACGTCAACCGGATCGGTGTTGCGCGCCAACGAGCAACGCGCTCAAATTTTCGCGGCCCGCGGGATTCGTCGGTGTACGACGAGTTATACACAGAAAGAGAGAAGACGCGCGCGCGCGCATACACACACTTGCGAGTGAGTGTATGTACTCGCGTATTCTCGCGCGAGGGTTGATGTGCACAGCAGAGAGAGAGAGAGAGCATGCAGTGTGTACATTAAGCGCGACGACCTGTACTAGCAATAACAATAATATGAGACGCGCTAGAAGCTCGGGCTGCTGCTGCATGGCTATAAAGGCTCGAGTCACTAAAAAGAGAGAGAGAGAGAAAACGACGCGCCGAGCTGCGCGCCACGATCATGGGGCGTGGTAAGTGCGCGCGAACTACATTTTCTATATACCTATGTGCATAACATCCTGCAAAAATAAGGCACACACTTACATGTATGCGCAAACTACGCGAGCTCGATAATTGTACTGTGAGAAGAGATGCAAAAAAAGACAATTAAAATCATGACGTCTCGCAGGACCGGAGTAGCTCGTATAACTCGGTTGCAATCGCTGTAAAAGTCATTGGGCGTAGTCGAATGAGCGAGAGAGAGAGAGAGAGAGAGAGAGACAGACGGTGCATGTAGGCAGGCAGGGGTGGCGAAGCTACATGGCTGAGGGTGGCGTCGGTGTGTAGCTCTGTCTCGCTCCCCTGTGCGGCCTGAATCCATATAGACTCGGCAGGGAAGCGCTCGCCGAGTATCACAGCCCCGCCGGAGCAACGACTCGCTCCAAGCTTGCGAGTAGTTGTACCGCGTGCGATGACATTTTCGACGGATCCTCGTTGTTGTTGTTATCATTGTTGTTGTTATTGTTGTTATGTGCGCTACTAATGTGACAGATGCGTGCGCGCGCCCAGCCGACATCACGCAGCACGTGCTTTTCTGCGCGGCGCATTCGTTTTCTGTCGACTCTTCCTTGCGCGCCTTTCTCACCTCCGACTCCGAGCGACGCGTGTGTATGTCTGTGTGACCGTGTGAGTATATAATGTGCATATATACGTGTTTCTGCTCGGCGAAACTGTCTCGGCGCGCGGATTCTATCGTCGTCGTCGTCGTAATCGCCGGTGTCATGCGCCGTTTTTGCTCTTAATGCGCCTGTACTCGACTCGCTTCTGCGTCTATCCTCCACGTGTCCACGAGAGACGAGCTGGTTTGTTTATACACATATCGAGGGAAATGTAGCCGCGGACGCACACACGCACGCAACTGCCTGCACTTTTACTTTTTTCGCGCCAAACCTGATATGATCCCAACTGTAAATTACGCACTGCGTGTGCTCTTCGAGTCTCGCCATGAATTCCCATAAACTTTGCATATTACGACCGCCGCTGTTGCTGCTGCTTTGAGTAACTTGTGACACTTGTTTTATGCCAACGAAAGTAAATTACCGTGTGAATCATCATCGAGACTCTGCTTCTCTTTTCTTCTTATTTTTTACCAGGAAAAATCGTATTAGTTAACGTACGCGTGACCTAAATTCGTTAGCCTCTCTGAAACAATTTAAAAATTAGACTTGGGCTCGTTTTTACTCAATTTTCATAATAAATAAATCGCATCGACTTCTTATAAATTATATTCTTAGAGTTATATACTGTATACACATGCATGGGTTTACACACACACACACACACACACACACACACACACACACACACATACATACAATGTAATAAAATGTATTAGATGCAGCATATTTTCAAATTGTAAGGGTCAAATTGGGAATCTCGTGCATACATGTATGAGTCGTCCGATGCTTCGCTTAGCCACCCTTGCTTACCTCGAGCCAGGGAATCGACGCACTCTTGCAAGGGGATCTTTGCGTGTATGCTGCATGTACGCGTAAAAAGGGTCGCTCTTCAGAAAACGAGTCAGCAATTTTTTCTACTTGCGTAGTTTCTCTTACTCAACATTGTGTCCCCCCTCCATCCCTTTGAAATCGCTCGTGTAGCTTCACGTACTTTGAACATTCCCGAGGACATCTGTATATGAGAGTTCCAATTCTAGAGTTCCAATTCTCATGTGTGTGTCTGTGTGTATGTGCGTCTGTGTATGACTCAGCTTGCGATGCAATACTTGTAAAGCTTACGCGACTATCTGTTCTTCGTATCGATATAAATACCCACCCACACTTATATACCCTCGTGCAAGTTTAGATTATAATACCAACAACATTGTCTATCTTTCTCTCTCTTTCTCTCTGTTGCCCTTTCCCCTCAGCAAAACACCAACCTCCTTTCTGTATGATTAAATCGATATTTTTACTTGACGAATGGAGTGTGTGGTCATTCGATTATGTCGGGAAATCGATACGCAATGCCGGTTTAGTAGTATTATACCGATTTTTGGTGGGAAGATAATTGGCTCGCTCTTATTAATCGACCACGCGATTAATTTAAAATCGTTTACCAGATTCACATTTTATCTTCTAAATTATGTTATTGATTCAAGTGTTTAATAACTAATCGTTGTTACTTATTTTGTTTTCTTATAGATGGTTGTGATGTAAACTAGATTGAAGAAACCCCGAATCGAGTGAAATAAAACCTGAAGAAAAACAGGTTGGCGAAGGCCGAAGATTTATTCTATTTGAAGAAGTTTTAAACTAACAAAATAGGGTCGAAAAATCAAGAAACGTCAACGACCGAGAAGAGGAAGTACTCGGACAATCAGAGCGAAGTAATTGATAAAGTTGCAAAGCTGTCTGAGACGGAGGTTGACGCGGGAGCCAGCGAGGCTCTCAGCACCATTGCAATAAAGACCGAGGACGGCCACCACATGGTTGACGGGGACGGAGAGGAGTTCCACGTGGTTACGGGACAGATGGTCGACGGATCGCCACTAGGCGTGGTCACGGTCGTCCCTGGCGTCGTTGACGACAACAGCATGGCGTCCCTGACCAACGTCGAATCCGACGCCAATGATCGGATGAGCGAAGACGACGACGACGACAATAGCAGTGAATCCGAAGCCTACGAGGATGGCGATCTCTTGAGCTCGGCTATGGACGACGACGTCACGGCCCAGCTCGCTGCAGCAGGTTGGCATGAATACAATGATCACGCATCTAATGGTGATTTCCGTTTTTTCGCTTTTCACTCTCATTTATTAATCAATTCCTTATCTCTTTTAGAGCAACTAACTTGTTGAGATAACAATAACAAATCCATCTATCCTTTGTACCTTTTCAATTCTTCACTATCCTTAATATCACCATTACGCCAACTTTATTTATTTATTATAGAACTAGATAGAAAGAAAGCTTGATTGAAAAAGAAACATTTTTCAACGCATTTGGTATGGGGTGATTTTATTAAATCTACATTATATTCGTCTAGAATTTTTTGCTGAAAAAATTTGTCAATTTAATACGTAATTAAAATTAAATAATTTATTACAAACAAACGTTCTATACGAATATTAAAATAAGCATGAGTACCCATAATTTTTTACATACTATTGCTTAGTAAACTTATCTATACCGGAGAAATTTTATTTTATTAATTTGTTATTCGTTTTTAGTTTTGTGGTGTTTAAAACTTAACAATCATACATTATTAATTGTTTTCTCATTTCATATATTATTAATTGTTATTCTCTTCATTAATAACAGCTTAATTATCTTAATCAGACACTAATAGATGATTAAAATTTTAAAATGCAACTTTTGATAATAATCATATTGATTTGTACCTTAGTGTGCACTTTAAAATTAGTGTGTAGTTCTTTCTTCATATTTTCACACGTCATTGAAGCATACCTATCCTATCATTTCTTTAACACTACTAAGCTTAATTATTTTCAACTAGTCACAACGCAACAACCATTTTGAAGAATTTATCAACTAATTTATAATAATTTTCATTAAGTATAATATTTCAGAAAGTGCCTATTCGGCGTCTAAAACAACACATCTCTATAACTTTTCATACATACAGATTTCATACTCGAGACAGTATTATTAAGGGACGCCGAATAGACGCTCTCAATAAATCAAAGCAATATTTTAATTTTAAAACGAACATAAAACAATAAATAATACAGCTTATTAAATGGTAAATACTCTAAAGATTTACACGTTTTTAAAAATTAGTTAATGATGATTGTGTTGAATATTTTACGAAAAAAAATTTTGTGTTACTGCAGCTTTACATGAGCGTCAACCAAAAATTGCGACCGTCAAATATTAATATAAAAAAAATAACGACTTTCTTTACAATTATTTATCGTTAATCAGCAATAAATAGAATTTAAAAAGTATCAAACAGCAATCCCAAAAATTATTTTCCGTAAAAACATCTTGTTTTTGTTGATGCTGCTCTACGCTACTATTTTCTAAATATATTTGTGATTGAAAATGTTTCGTAGATACTGTTGCCCGCATGCTTTAAAAATGATGCGTTTTCTTTCTTCCCTCTAAATTTGTCAGAGAGACAGAGAGAAAATGTCATGAAAAAATTGATTTATTAAAACTATTTGCCATTTACGTAGGACCCATTGGAGTTGCGGCGGCTGCAGCTATCGTATCTGCCAAGAAAAGAAAACGACCTCACAGTTTTGAAACTAATCCTAGTATTCGCAAGCGCCAACAAAACAGGCTATTAAGGAAATTGAGAGTAAGTATTTTTTTCATCATTTGAGTTATTTAAAAGAAAAATAAAAACTAATTATTTTTACTTTCAACAGCAAACAATAGATGAGTTTGCTACAAGAGTTGGCCAGCAAGCTGTTGTATTAGTTGCTACCCCTGGAAAACCAAGTAGTAGTTACAAAGTATTCGGTGCAAAGCCGTTAGAAGATGTTCTTAAAAACATGAAAACTTCAATTATGGAAGATTTAGAAAATGCGTTGGCTCAACAGGCTCCTCCACCGGTTCAGGATGATCCATCATTATACGAACTTCCTCCGCTCATAATCGATGGCATACCAACTCCAGTTGAAAAAATGACTCAAGCGCAATTGAGAGCATTCATCCCATTAATGTTGAAATATTCAACTGGTAGAGGAAAGCCTGGATGGGGAAGAGAAAGCACCAGGCCTCCATGGTGGCCCAAGGAATTGCCTTGGGCAAACGTTAGGATGGACGCAAGATCAGAGGATGAAAAACAAAAGGTTCGGAAAAATTCGATTGATACTTTATCATTGTCGCATGAGTATAAAACATGATCGTTTCTTTTAAAAAATGTGTTTGCATTTCTAGTTAATTAATTAACTATATCTAAAAATGTTTCGCTTGCTCTTTGCGGCATATTATAACGTATTTGCTTGCATGTATATATTATTGATGTGAATTTATCAATCTAACTAATACCATTCCTGTGTGAAATCTTTAAAATCAAGCAGATTTCCTGGACGCATGCGTTGAGACAGATCGTTATCAACTGTTACAAATATCATGGTCGTGAAGATCTATTACCAGCCTTCAGCGAAGAAGACGACAAATCAAACATCGTTCTACAACAAGCTTCTGTTTCGACGGAACAATCGACAGGCAGTCAAGGCAGTCAACAAACGGTGGGCATCGTTCGAATCAACAGCTTAAGTCCTTCATCTAAGGGAAATTCATCGCCAACGCATCAAATCATTGCCACGTCGCCTACGGCTCTCGGTACCGCCCAGGTTACAGTGGGCGATGCCGATCGAACCACATGGGCAAGTCGATGATACGAATAACAATTTCGTTGTTGTTCAATATATTGCTCTCGATATGTTGTTTTATTTTGTTTTTTTTTTTTTTTCGTAGAAAGCTTTTGTTATTTAAACCAGACAAGGTCATTCACTCATGATAATGTCAGCAATTTGAATTTTTTTATTATTTTGGAAACAAGTTAATGTGGCGTTTAATTTCCCTTTTTTGATAATACTTGGCAAATTTTATTTTTTTAATTTACATGGCTGTTTCAATTTTATTTTGTAATTCAAGACTAATTTTTATCAATTGAACTTTTCAGATGACACAATACCCTACTGTACTACAAACTATAACGAATTCAGATGGATCTGTTTCTTTGATCCAAGTGGATCCTACTAATCCTATTATTACGTTACCTGATGGTACTACTGCGCAAGTTCAAGGAGTCGCCACTGTGAGTCTTATCAATGTTTGAATTTCTCAAATAAATGAAATAAAATGATCGAGTTTTTATGTTTAAATTGAATTCATTGTTTCAGATACACACAGGTCAAGGAGATGTTCAAACTCTATCTGACCCAAATGACGGCCAAAGTGTTTCCGTTGATCTCAACAGTGTTACCGAAGCAACTCTCGGGCAAGATGGTCAAATTATTCTTACTGGCGAAGATGGTCACGGTAAACCTATTTTCTATAGGCTGTGCGCCGTCGCCGGTCAAGAACTACTCGAGCAGTGAAACGTGCTTATTCTATGATTATTTATTTCGACTTCTTTAATTTTTGCATGTTATATATGCATTACAATTTTAGTGAGCAGGAACAAATTGACGTTTCAAAATTTTTTAATTTGTAGTTAGATTTTAGGGACCCCATCTCGTAATTAGTTGGAAACTTGTACATAAAATGAAACTAAACTGATATAGGTGACTTAAACGTGAGTTTATTGAGTGAAAATTCAAAATATTGAAGATGATTTAATATTTAATGTTAACACATTCAACTGTGTTTCAATAATTTGATTGAGTAATCACTCATAAAGCTAGAATACTTTTTCAAATCTGAATTTGTCAAAACTCATTTTCACTACTACATAAAACAAGGCATTTATGTAAAAGTATGTACATATAGTGTAGATGATGATGTATCTAATGATATAATTTAAAAATCGCAGTTATATAGTACAAATAATAATTTAATTGTATGCGCGAGAGATTTTTTGAAATTATCTAACAATATTTAGATTTTTTTTTTCAATTTTAAATTAAATTGAATCATGAATTTTTCAAAAAACTAAAGTTGGAAATGATTTTGTTGTACTAAAAGATGCATTACAGTGAGGTAAAATGACAAAAATGATATACTTTTATAAGTTACCTCAAATCAATTATTATGAAATAACTAATTTTAATTGAGCACGAATAAAAATTGTGTAAATAGATTATTTTTTGTTCATTTTTATTATCATTTTCAATCTTATTTTTTAGTTTAAGATGCCTATTTATACTTCGGATTACTACATGTATAAAATAAGGACCTTTGCTTTTTATTTTAGTTCGAAGTAGTTGAAGCTTACTTTATGTTTCTGAAAGCGTGTAAAAGAAAAAACTACTATAGTTAAATGGCTTTTGTATCCATCGAAAGAAATAGTAAGTATTAGTGTTTCATAAGTGTCACCCTTGCACAGTGCATTACTTTTCAGTTTTATTGACTGTATCTGCGTCCTCAATTATTTTATGATAAAATTTATGAATAGAAAATAGAAAAATATGCACGACTTGAATTTTTTTACTTTCAGCATTACAATTAGTAGCAATAATGTTTGTTTTGTTTATTAATGTTCAAGGCACTGTAAAGAACTCTAATTTCCTTCATTCCTGTTGCAATTACGAAATTTTGAAAATTACAAAAGTAGCTCGACCTTCCTACCAGAGCGTTGTTTGTGTGTAGACTTTCTGAAAGCAGTTCGCCGCTCGATGTAGCCAACGAAACTCGATTAAAACTTTCAATGCCGCCTTTTTAAAGCCTCACGGCAAGAAAACGAATCTGTAAGCAACGTCGACGTTGACATTTAAAATGTTACAGGCTATCCGGTATCGGTATCAGGAGTTATAACAGTCCCAGTACCGGCGAGTATGTATCAAACGATGGTGGCCAACATTCAAAATGATGGCACAATGCAGGTGATGGGCCCAATGGTCCAAGTACCGAAAGTCGAGCCTGGCAATGGTGAGGCAAGTATTGAGACTGTAACGATTCAGGGGCACCCAACCATGACAATGATCAATGCTGCTGGTGAACACCAAGTTCTTCAGGTCATATCACTTAAAGATGCCAATGTACTCACCAAAGCTATTCAGCAGGTAGAAAATATCAAGGATGAAGATCAACAAGACGAAACTCAGCAGTTAACAGTACAAGCAGAATCCAGTCCTGAGTAAATAAAAACTCAGTGATACGGATACGCTTTTCATGTTGACTACTATAATCGTAAATTTAAACACGATGATGTGTTTTAATGAGAGAAATAATCAAAGACTGTAACTTAACAAATTTTTTCTCATCATTTTTCATCGCAAATGTTATTTACAATTATAGCGCATTTCAACTTTCATATAGCTTTTAACAAGCTGGAACTAATCAGATGAGTACTGTTGAGGGCAGTAGATGAATATATGAGTACTGATTAATCATATTAAGTACTTTTGTATTTGTTACCAATTTTTATTTAGCGAAATTTGTAGGAAAATTAAAAGAGAGATTTGAATCATTGATATATTTGGGATATTGACAGAAACTAAATTATCAATGAAAATCAAATTTTGAACATAAATGTTACAAATGTCTAGATTAAATTGAATTACAAAGAAATGATTTTTCCAAAACGTTTCAAATTTTGATCAATTTTTTGACAGCAAATGTTAATATGCTTCATGCCAAATATTTTTAAAGTCATTCACTTAAAAATTAAACTTTAAAAGAAAAGTTGAATGAACAATAAAATTGTAAATAAAACATTGTCTTAATATCAATAAAAATAATGCATAAATATTTGCATTAAGAATTTCATGTGTTTTGACAAAGGTTGCAGATGAATTTAGACTTAGTGTATTTGTTTTGAAGTCACTAACAAATAACTTATTTAATGTTAAAAAACGGCTCTGGACTAAATCAATCACGAGTACTGTTTCAGTAACAAATTAAAAAGTTTCTTGCAATGATGTATAGTTAAATTCTAGATGATATTCTTAATATATAATTTATTTTATTTTTATAGATTGAAAAATATCAATGAAAGATATAGCTTCTCTTTAAATATTAGATTTGTATGGACAACGTTAAATAAACAAAGAATTACATGTGATTTAATTATATTTACACATAATTTTAGTATGAGAATCGATCCTACGAAAAAATTTGTTATGATTTCTGTTTGTAATCAATTTATTGAAAACAAATATTATCTAATAATTTTCAAAAATACTTTTTTTATGTACTAAAATTTTTCGAAATTTCTGAATGATAAAAAGAGGTATGAATGACAATTTTGTACTTTAGACTATTAAAATATAGGCACAACTTTTACAAATGAGGCAAAACTTATTTCAAGAAAACAAATTCTAACATTGTCCAGAATCAGTCACTTACAAAGAGATTCAATATTTGTTGTGGTAATCTCTGGAAAAAATAGGCATATCTTATATCTTTAAAAATGATTAACTATTGACTTTTTAACTTTATTTTTAAGAGAGGATTTATGATTTGTCAGTTTAGAACTTTAAAACACGGGTTTTAATATCAATGTATCTGAATTGACAAAGTTTAGCGTATATAATTGTTTCAGAAAACAAACATAAATTAGCAATGTATAATGTGCAATTTGCTTAGTTAATGTATTATTTACCAAAAATTATTGTGTTCACATACTTACTTTTTTTTCACTACAAATAAAAACATAACTACTTCTGAAAATTCTATTTGAAGACATAAGAAAATATAAAGATTCAATCGACATTATCCAAACTTATGTATATTTTTCAATTAATGTGCATTATTTATATATACAATATACATTAGAAACTGTAAATATGTGATTTTTGTGTATTAAATTAATTCTATAAATATTTGAACTGTAAAAATGTTTGTTCTTGATTTGTTTGGAAAAGTAAGTTAGTAGAAGAACAAACAAAAAATAAATTAAAATGTAAGACAAAAAAGAGACAATTTTTTTTACATAAAAATCATTTTTGACAATCTTATATGAAAGGTCAGCAAAAGTCATACAGTTATTTAAGAACAAAATTTATTTATTTATTATTATCATTGATAACAAGTGTAATGTACATTTTAAATAAGCAGTTTTTTAAACTAGTTTTGAAATGTAAGGCTTGTTTCTATAATTTAGACTAGTTCTTTTTCAGAAACTGACCTTATTAATTTAATGTATATTTTCTGGGGATTCTAACCATAATTCTGGTTGATCATATCCTAATTCTTCAGGTGTGCTGATGCCAAGCTCATCCAATGTTGGTCTAATTTCTTGCAAAATATATGGATAAATTTTGTCTACTTCTGGACCACATTTATCTTTGACTGATTCTAAAAATCTTGTAGTCAAAGCATAATCGTTGAGTCGCCTGCAGGCTTTGAGTGCAGCACAGATGATCTTTGGTTCGGGTACAAGATCCATACCTAAAATTTATTGATATAAACTGTAATAGTGCTGTATATTTCAAGACCATATATTTTATTTAGTGACATTGAATATAAATTTTCTCATGCAAAATATGTTTTCAATAAAATTGCATTGCCATTTTCAAATTATATAAAAGTTTTACATTAAAATCTTCTTAGAAATGAAAGGTTAATATGTGTTGAAAGTCTTAATGCTTTTGGGAATATGTTCAAGTGTTTAAACTAACAAATGATTGAGTGAATTTTATTATTGAAAATTCTTTCCATCATGACATCAACATTGGTATTAAATAATATAATACAACCACCTATAAATTTTCTACATCAGAGGGTCTAGCGGACAATCAAGATACTGCAAGGTCTTCAGATTATATGTTTTGAAGCTCAATCGAGGAATCAACGACGAAACAATAAGGACTCAAGAAAAAACCACTCACCAGCAAGATCATTCATGGCCTTTCGGATTTCCCAATGATCTATGTCGGGTCTGTTGAAGAATTTTTCATATCTGTCGTCGAACTCTTCATCGGTCTCGTGGTGGCCGTGGGATGCCCGAGCTTGCACGAGTGCGACGGCACCGGTAGCCTGTCTTGGCTGCACAGCCTGACGAAGGCTCGAGGTCAGTCGACCAGCTGCGATTCTCAACATGATGTTTTTTTGTCGGTTTCGTTGGACAAACTATTCTGCAGAGAGAAGAAGAGCTGTGCACCGAGTAGCTGTTGCGTAAACGCAGTAACTGTGTGTTCTGGGATCGGAGCGAAGTTAGGTACAGGCGCAGGCGCGATGAGTAGTATCGATTCGTGAGTGACCTCATCTCACTGGCTGCAGTGTGACAGCTCTCGAGTCGAACGACGATACGTTGACAAGTTCAAGACGGTCTACGAGCAGAATAATATGCGCGGAAAATAGCAACAACAAAAAAGCGCATAATCACACGCGGCCCTCTTGACAATATCACACATTCTTTCAAGCCTCCCGGTCTCGAAAAATTATAAATTCAAAATTTTCTAGTGTGTTAACGACAGTCAAGTAATTTCGAAAAACCTTCACGCGTCTCAAATCGTTCCAGTGTTTTCGAGAAATTGAACAATTATAGCGACATCTCGATCATTTCTCGTCGTTGGGATTACATTAGTGGAGCTTTTAATTGTGCCGTAAATCGTGGAAACGCCGTCAAGCCCGAGCATTGCATCACAAGGCGACAGTCAGCGAGTCTGCATCGGAGAGCTTACAGGCCTGCAGTGAGCAGTCTGCAAACACGGTATTCGCGCATAGAGCTAACGAAGACGGTAGACGACTGCGAATGCGCCATTGCGTCGCGGCGCAATAACACAGAGCTGCTGCTGCTGCTTGAGCCTGTAATTCAGCGGAGAGTGAGCGCGCGCGAGACTGCGAGACGATTCGGCGCTATTGCCCACCCATCGCTGTGCCCGTTTCGTCATCTATGGTCTCGGGTTCGACTGGCTGCTAATATAGCCGTGTATAACAAATCGCGCAGTAGCAGCAACCACAGAGACGAGCAGAAGAAGCTCTTGCACCACGTAAAGTCGTATCCAGCGGAACTTTTGGCAGTGTAGTACAATCGGAACCAGCTGAATCCAATTCCGTGCTCGTGGCCTCAGCAACTCTCTCTCTGTGCATTTAATTTTGTACTGTTTATGCGCACGATAAAAGTGAATGTGTCGTGTGTACATATCCGATTAGTGCCTGCTGTGCGCGCGTGATTGATACGTTCTTGTATTAGTGCATGCATTCAAGACTTTAGGCAGACAAAAAGTGATTCGGCTGCAAACAGCAAAGACAAGCAAAACCTCGTGCCATCGCTCGACTCTGCTTCCAGAGGAATAACAAGTGGCAGAGTTTAGCTTTCACTCTGCATTTATTGCTGCACAATTAGACAAATAATAAAGCTAATACAGCGTAAAGATGGCCGAAGCCGTGGTAGACGGTTCGTCGATCAGTCGTTTCTTTTGTCACCGATGCAATACCGAAATAGAGCATCTGCTACCGGTAAGCATGGGTTTTAGTCTTGTTTAGTAGGAACGTTTTTGCATATTGCAACGTATTCCTATTACCATTTGCATGCACGAGTATACATGTAAACTCTCTTTTTACTCCTTTCTCTCTCTCTCTCTCTCTCTCTCTCTTCATATACCTATATATATTTCCAATACCTAAGTTGGTCCGCCAACTACTTACTATAACGACGACGACTAGAAGAATCTCGCACGGGTACGCGTAACGTTTATAATGAGCAACAGAAAGCATGTCCATGTGTGAACGAGTGTGACAAAGATGGACAATTTCGAGAAAATTTCTATGTGCCTGTTTTCTCGCATGCATATTCTGTCCAGCCTTCAGCGCGCGATCTCGATGATTCAGAGCACGACGAATGTTTCGTGACCTCTTCTCAATTGCTTTTTTTCGTCCTTTTGCTTTGAAAAAAGCTGTTTCGCTGACCAGTCTGATTCTCGAACTTTCAAGTACTGTGCGAGCTCTCTCGTTTCATTGCTTATGCCCATAAAAAGGCGTACACATGTTCGCGATTAAGGTATAATCAAGATTATTGACCAGGCCACCACGACTGCGTCGACCGTCGTCGTCGTCGTCGCCCGCGCGGTCATATGACCTTCGATTCGGTCGCCGATGTATATATATTTACCACACATGCACACATTTATGTTATATATTTGAATATACTAATATATCTTAACGTTATGAATATGTGTACCCTCTCGCATATCATGTGTTAGAACGACTCACATGCAATGTAATAACTACCTATAAACTCACACAAGAAGATGTAACTATTGTTGATTCTTTTCCTCCTCGCGTTACCCGACTATTCAACTGTTCCAGAACAACAAACTTGTAATATACGCTTTTTTTATTCCCTCATATGTATGCAGATTTACGCTCAATTTTTTTATTCATGCACATGTCATACATGACGTCTAACGTTTAAACGATGACAATGACGAAAACTATACTCACTTACCTATAAGTTATTAATTCGATGCCGCCTTCCGTTTTTTCTTGTAGGACTTTACATGCCCAAGATGTTCATCTGGATTTATCGAGGAACTTGATGGCGATGGTCCGGACGATGTTGCTGACATGGACGTAGCTAACGACCTTGAAGTCAGTACATTTTCAAGTTTTATATGTATTAATTTTTAACAATATGAAAATCTATACATTCACTTATTTTTTTTTTTTTTTTTATAATAGTTCTCCGCAGAAGCAATGGGATTACCATCGTTTATTATAAGAACTGCTACACAAAATTCTACTAGAGGAAATTCATCTAGTTCCCAACCCAATTCCCAAAGTAACAGGTATATTTTCATCCATATATAATTAAAACTATTATATCATGTTTAAAAATAAAACCTAATTATATTGACTTTAATTTAGAAATGTACCACCTGGAGTGTCACCTCACATAGATAGTTTAATTCATGAATTGTTTTTCAATCGTGTCTTTGGCTTTGCTCAAAATAATCAAGCTCCAGTGTAAGTAGTTAGTTGTAAAATATATATTAAAAAAAACTAGACTCTAGCAATATTCAAAGAAATCATTTTGTGTAAAAAAGCTTTATGAGGATGATGATGGATTGACTTATGTCACTGTCTGTCCAAACTCAAAATACTTTAGGAAGTAATTCCTATTCTCATTAATCAATGTAGATTCGATGTTAGACTGTTCTTGGGCAATCCAGGAGATTATGTATGGGGTCAAAATGGCTTAGATACAATAGTTACACAATTACTAAACCAAATGGATGGAACTGGACCACCGCCATTACCCAAACATTTGATTGAAGAAATACCTACTTCAAAAATTACGCAAGAACAAGTTGGTCAGTGAATAATTTTTCTAAAGTTATTTATAATAGAACTATAAAAAAATGCAGAATGTGTTACCACTTTTACAGATAGCAAATTACAATGTTCAGTGTGTTGGGATGATTTTGTAGTAAATGAATCTGTTAGACAGCTTCCATGCCAACATCATTTTCATGAACCTTGCATTGTTCCTTGGCTTGAGCTGGTAAGTTGAATATATATTCAAAGTAAAAAATGCTTAATAAAGTCATTTTAATTTTATGTATTATTATTTCTGTCTAGCATGGAACTTGCCCTATTTGTAGACAAAGTTTAGGAGAGCAATCAACCAGTGAAGCAAATCAAGATTCTGTTGGTCCCAATTTATTGGCTGCTTTGTTTCAGTAAGTTGTTTTACCTGCATCCAATATTTTTCAACTTCTTTACCTTTTTTTGTTTTTTATATTTCAATTTTACTTTTATCATTTTTTATTTCTTGCTATTTTAATTTTGAATTTATTGTTAATTTAATATATTTTTTTCAGAGCTGCTGGTGAAATGAATAGTAGTTCTAGTAATGGTAGAACACCTCCACAAAATGACACATCAAATGACATTTGAAATTAATTGATATTTTCATACTAACTTTATGTAGTTTAACAAAATTTTTCACTTGTTCATATGCATTTTTCGATTTTCTCTCAACTGAAAAGAACGAGTTTTAGCAATTTATGAAACTCATTCTACTCACAGAATTTGCCATAAACAAAGTATGGTACTTTCAAAAATCAAAGAACAATCTACAGTGATCTTTATAACTATTTTCGAGTTGAATAAGTTGCAATGTATAAGACCAATTGAAGAATTTATCACCAGATTTGTGGTTTTCAATCTTATAGAAAATTAAAGCAGCTATGTATTCACCAAAAGGTTAACTTATATAGCCAGTATTCAATACTCTTAATTGTATTTTTAGAAAATTTTGTATACCATTACAAACAAACCTGGTTGATTGATATTGGAAATTGTTACAAGATTTATTTTTGACAAAATAAAAAACGTTCAAATAATTAAAACAACATAAAAAAATGCAGTGAAGTGTGAAAAAAGGTGCGATTTGTGTACATTCTATATGTTATAAAATAATGTTAATAATTTTTGCGGAAACGTAAAAACTCCTGTACATATTTTTATTTTACTTTAATTTACCATTTAAATAAATATTAAAAAAATAATTTAAATATTAGAACAGTAAAGAAATGCGTCAAGGTTTTCAATAGGCAGAACTACTTGGAAAACCTCGTTAAGGTTTGAGAATAAACCATGAATGCTTTGATACTTGTTTGTTAAAGACTATAAATATAAATCAGAGTGATTCGCCATTTTTCAATAAGATGTAAAACATGTCGATGAAGTAGCGTTTTTCAAAAAACTTTGAATCGTTACTATTAAGAACGTATAAACGATATCGTAAAAAATTCATCAATGAAAGAAGTTATAAGGAAGAGTGCAGTGAAAATTTTCATCGCCTTGTTTTTGAATAAATGCGAGATTATAATTATAAAAAGTATAAAATGTTAATCGCGTCAGTGTAAGAACATTGACTGGCAGCCAAATAATAAAACTCATTTGAAAAAACTCAGTACATGAAAAATAAAAAAGTAAATGTTCAAAAAATATAAAAGCGTTTAATTTTTCGTAGTTGAATTCTTTTAGTATAAAAGTGATTAAATGTAATAATTTGAAGAGTGATCAAGAGGAATTATTTTATTAACGATTTATCCATTTACACTGTTATCAAAACTTGACATCACAACCTGCTTTATAAATCTCTTAATGTATGAATTAGTACAATTGAATAAAAATATTGACTTCAAATTTCATTATTAACTGCTTTCTACATGTTCATTCATGCATATTTATTGCGCCGCAGGTGGGTAATTAAAGTGAAATCCTAATTTTCCAGGTGGCAGCACACGTCGCTATCAGCTGTTGCGCTTTTACAACTTTGCCGATAGTTTACTTTAGACCTTTCAATTTTGATGTACATGCCATTTTTATTTTTTTATTAAAAGTATGAATAAAATGAACAAGTGCCTCAAAATATCTTTTTGTAACTGTATTCGTAGCTAACAAGTTTTACATGCAAAGAATAATAAAATAAATAAGCAACCGATTGAATTTTGTTATGACGAAAACAAGATTACAGCTTCTTAATAAATCCACATTTTTTTGACATCGATCTCTTTGTGGGTTGAAAATGATGAATAAAAGTAAAGCAGATATTGTGAAGGAAGCATGTCCGATACAAGCCAGAAAAATTGGCCCCCAGAATATAGTTTTAAGATTACGACGCAGGGAGACGTTAGGATGTTTACATCCCGGCACACATGTACACACGGCCAGACAATTTTATCAGAACATTTTTCCGAACTACACGGTGGTCAACGTAGAGAAGCCGCCTTGTTTTCTCAGAAAATTTAGTCCTGATGGAAAGTATTTGGTGGCTTTTAGTGCAGACCAGTCCTCACTCGAAATATACGAATATCAAGGTGCAGGTGCTGCTGGTGATATGCTTGTTGGATGTAAAGATGATTATATTGGTAACAAGAATGATCCAAAGTCATTTGATTTGAGAAACTTTATTTTTAGAAAATTCTTCAAGGTACTATTTCTATTAATTTTAATTACAATCGAAAAAACATCAAAAATTGAATATTTTTCTTTTTACAGATTAAGTGGGTTGTTAATATTGTTCAAAGTAATGAGCAACTTAATCGAGAATGCAGTTTATTTACTGACGATAGTCGTTATGTGATAGTTGGTTCTGCAGCATTCATTGCAGATGAAGTACGACCTCATTTTTATCAGGTAAATGGATTATCATTTATACCTTATAATAATTGGAAAGTTGAATGATTATTTAAATGAAATTTTAATCTTTAGATTTATACTAACAATGAAGCACTTTGTCCAAATCCTAGAGCTCCATTAGAAGATATAAGTATACATTTGGTTGATATTAAAAATGGTAAATTATGTGATACAAAACAATTTAAAATAGATAAAATTTACCTTTCTCAAAATCAAGGTGAGTGTAACAAATAATTAATGACATAGTCATGCTATAATACTTACATAATAATAATATTTAAAATAATTTATTAATTTCTGAATAGGCGTATACTTGTACAAAGATACTTTAGCAGTTTTGTCAGTGCAGCACCAGACTATTCATATGTTTCAATTGATAGATGGAATGTTTATAAACATTCGAAAAATTGGGAGGTAAGTTGTGAAATTTGATATATTCAATATGTATTACTATAATATGTAACGCTGATTATTTTGAAGGTTTTGCTTAGAAGATGATGCATTTATATTAAGTCTTGGTTGGCCTAGACATAACACAAGACCTGTTCGAGATGCGACTATAAGCAGTTTGAAACATAAACTTCTTGTATTTTTATATAACAGAGCTAGTTATTTAAGTCATGTTTCTCATAATCCGTATGAGTTAAGAAAGTTTTATCAACATTTTGACCAAGTGAGAAGTAGTTGATACATGAATTTAATTGAGATTTTTAACAATTCTTTCTTCTACACATCATAAAATTACAGTTGAAATCATTGAAAATGTGGAAAATGCAGTTACTAGACACAGATCATATTTTGATACGATATGCTAGTGAAGATGTTGCAACTTTGCAAGCAACTGAACCCAATTCTCAGCCAGCTCTCATAGTTATTTACAATATGTCCTCTGCAAAAATTATAGCAGTTCATGATAATGCATCACGGGACCTTTTGATGCATTTTGAAAATTTTACAGATTGTTTTAGAAATACAAGAGTAGGTAATGCAGATGGACAATATGTGTGCTCTCCATCCAATAATATTTATGCCAGGTACAAGAAATTATTTTTAATTACTTAACTGAATTTTATCTAATGTTTTGTAAATGTGAATAATTTTTTGACATCACCAAAAATATTTTTTAGATTAATACAGCAAAGATTGAAGCAAACATTTATAAGTGCACGTTATGGTGGAATCACAGAAGCTACAAAACGATTACTTGCCCAGTTACCTATTTGTGCACAATCATATTCTACTTCTCCGTACCTTGATTTATCATTGTTTTCTTATGATGATAAGTGGATTTCTATGTTAGAAAGACCAAAAACATGTAGTGAACATCCTATTAGGTAGAGTATAATCAAAATAAATTATCTCAAATTTTATACATTTTTTATAGAAAAATGTATTAATGCAAGTCATTATGTTTAGATTTTATGCCAGAGATTCTGGTATTTTGAAATTTAAATTGCATGCAACAGTTCCCTCAAGAGCAAACAATGGAACACATGCCAGAAAACTAGTTGCCTTTACATTTCATCCAACTGATCCATTTGCAATATCTGTGCAACGAACTAGTGCAGAATATATTGTGAGTTTTCATGTGCGACATGACCATACATGAACTGTAATTCGTTTCCAAAAAGTACTTGAATTGGCTGTAATAATTTAAATGTTATTCATTATATCTGTAAAAATGTTGTATATTATTTGTACAGTATCTAAGTAGTATTTAAAACAACAAACAAAATCAGTTTTTATGTTATTAAATAAGAAATATTTTATCAAATATTTTGTGTCTGCATTAACTTATTTATATGATCATTTATAACTTAAATTAATGATTCTTTTCTTAAAATTAAAATTTTCCAATTTCACTTGTATTTTACGATCGCAAATTCATATGTATCTAGTCTTGGCTACCGAAAATGCAATCTTAAATATTTCGATATTTCGATCGGTCTTTCAAAAAGGATAAGAATCCGCCAGAGGTCATTGATGCATAATATTCCCTCGCGTTCTTTATATTAGCTGTGTTAGCATAACAACATTTGATTGGAAACTTCAAAAATGCTGTATCGCCCATCGTAATTTATTTAGCATTAATATTGCTCAACCAATAGATATATAATAAAGAATTGGGTAATCATCAATCAAAATTTTTTGAAATCACACTTCATTTAAAATGGTTGACAAGTTGAGAAGATACGAAAAAATTGACTTTCTTGGAGAGGGTCAGGTTAGACTTTTTACACTTTATTTTTATTTACGTCATAGAATTTTATTAAAAAATTTAAGCAAACATATTATACTTTGTGTAAATCAGCTTTTGAGTTTTCTTAATTATATTTTAGTTTGCCACAGTTTATAAAGCTAAGGATTCACTAAATGGAAAAATTGTAGCTGTAAAAAAGGTAGTAAACATTTATTTTAGGTATTCGACTTTCAAATATTCATATTTTTTTTTAAGATCTTAAGTAATAATTTTTTTAGATAAAAGTAGGAAGTAGAGCTGAAGCTAAGGACGGTATAAACAGAACAGCTCTTCGAGAAATTAAATTATTGCAAGAAATTAGACATGAGAATATTATAGGTTTATTAGGTAAGTTTTAAAAAAAGCCACTGTTCAAATTTTTCTAATTAATAAACATAAACATTAATTATTTTACAGACGTTTTTGGTTATAAATCAAATGTATCATTAGTTTTTGATTTTATGGACACCGATTTGGAAGTTATCATTAAAGATATAAATATAGTTTTGACTTCTGCCAACATAAAATGTTATATGATTCAAACATTGCAAGGATTGGAATTTTTACATTGTAATTGGATACTTCATAGAGATTTAAAACCCAACAATTTATTAATTAGTAGTGAGGGAGTTTTAAAAATTGGTGATTTTGGTTTGGCCAAATTTTTTGGCTCTCCCAATAGAATAAATACAAATCAAGTTGTAACAAGATGGTATCGAGCTCCAGAATTATTGTTTGGAGCTAGATTATATGGTACTGGAATTGATATGTGGGCCGTTGGTTGTATATTAGCTGAATTATTACTTCGTGTCCCATTCTTACCTGGAGAATCTGACTTGGATCAATTGACTAAAATTTTTCAGGTAAATAAACTTACATGAAGTTAAAATAAAGTTGAAGGTTCATTTTTTTTATACAAATTAAATAAATTTAATTTTTAGACGTTAGGTACACCTACTGAAGAAACTTGGCCAGGTTTGTCTCAATTGCCAGATTATATTGCATTTAAATCATTTCCTGCCATACCTCTAAAAGATATATTTACTGCTGCTGGTGACGATCTTCTTGACCTTCTTGCTAGTCTATTAAATATAAATCCTCTAGAGAGGTGTACTTGTGATGAGGCATTACAAATGCCATATTTTAGTAATAATCCTCCACCAACTGTCAAAAGTAAATTACCAGTGCCAAATGCAATAAAAAAACAACCTGAAGAAAAACCTAGTTTAAAACGCAAACTGTTAGAAAGTTCAGATGGGGCATCATTAGCAAAAAGATTACAATTTTGATAATCACAAGAGTATTGTTAAAATGTTTATTCAATATTTTTGAGATAGCGACATGTTGGGATCTTATTGTAAATAATTATTGAATAAGACTTATGGAGATTTTTAATTTAAAATTAATCTTCTCAATACTTACTTTTTAACACGTTATTTTTGTACATCATTAGCTTCAAACAAAACAAGAAGTAATAAATTGTTCTATAGGATGATATTACTAAGGATTAATAAAAAAAATACCAGTTCAATATTTTCCTGCATTTATTTTGTTATAACATTTTTGCTGGTGTCTTTTTGATAATTGCGTGACATTAATGTACAAAATTCCAACAGTGAAAGCATAATATTTATTAATCTCTCAGTAGAAATGGAACAGACATAAAAAAAAACTGTTGAATTACGTTACAAAAATAACAAAATCGTTACTACTGCTCTTGTATGCAATGGGAAAGTGATTTAAATTACTTTGCTAGAAAACATTCTAGCATTAAGAGTTGTATAATGTTAAGAAAAAGTGACAGGTAAACAAAATTCAATTGATTCTCTATTTAAAAATTATTTTGAATCAACGAGAAAAACCTCTGGAAATTGTTTCATATTATTATAGCTATTTTATAAAAATGATCTATTTTCAATTTTGATATTAAAGTCTAACTTAATAGTAAAGTAGTTTATTATTATTATCATTATTATTTTCTACTATTTGCTTCGAAATTGAAAGCCCTAATCTACCATGACAGGACGGGCAAATGAAGGGTGTTTATGTTTCAATTTTCATGAGTTAAAAAAAAGTGCCCTGTGCTAACCATCCTTATGTTCAGAAAATCGCTGATTGCAAAAGTTATTGTTCATACCTTGAACTTAATATTCGGCCTACATATATTGCCTAACTATAATTTTTTCAAATAGAAAAGTTATTAGTTAAATTTTATTTTTTATATAAAATATGGATCAATGAAATAATTATATTCTATTACTGAGTTGAAGGCCATTCGCTCTATATTTTTTATTAATTCTCTATGTATTTCTTGTCCTTTGTTAAGTGAAAAATGAAAATTATTGGCGGCTTTATTACACAAGAGTCAGCAGTAGTACTATGTTATATAGCATATGTAAGATGAATGCATATACATCAATTAAAATTCCATTTAATTGTATACAATGGTCCCTTCCATTTCAAACTGAATGTAAAAAAATTGTAATAAAATTTTAATTTTTTAAAATCTTTTTTACGCCTATTTATAGTAAATTTATAGTAAACATTTGACAATCATTTATACGCACTGGACACTGGCTAATTACAAGCAAATTTGCCGGGTAAAGTAGTATTGATTGAGATCGGCTTCTTATTTATGGATATAATATAGTATATCGATTTAATGATCATATGTGTAAATTTCATAACACTCGAATGGTTTATTTTTTCATATTTCAGCTGTCATTTAAGCTAATTTAGAAGCTCTCTTCTCCCGTGTTGATCCATTTCCGGTTTTACAAATTGAAAATAACAGTTCGATAAAAGTTTGTAATTGAAAAAATATCAAACATAACTATGAAATTACAATTTAATTTATTCTTAAATCGTAGATAGATCGTTCGGTTGTTTGAACTAAATTTGGTTTTGTTGAATTTCGATGTTCTAGATTGCTGAAAACTTTTATGTACACTAATTAGTGCCATTCTTTAAAAAATAAAATTAGTTACAAAAATTTTATCGGTAACGATTATGTTTCTTAAAGAATTTGTAACTCCCGTTTGAAAAACTATACGCATGTCCGTTTTCTCAGAAAAAGTTTTTATATTATTAAACTCCTCGAATTAAAGCTAAACGATACGTTAGTTACTTTTCATGGCAAAAATCTTATTATATAGTTCTTTCTTTTAGTAAAAGTCATCAACATTTTGTACAGTATGTGAATGCATCCGAAGAAGCCATTTTTCTCATCCAAAATGTGCTTTTTTGCAAGGAACATATATCATTTTATAATTAATTCTTTCTTGTTCCGTAGAGGTGCATGATTTGATAAAAAAAACACCAATGATGAAAATACGTTTGTATATTTTCGTATATTATGTAGCATAAAATGAAGTAAATTGGAATAATTTAAATTCCGGTAAATTAATTGAACAATCGTTTGTACATGAAAAATATGTCTAATACTTTGAAAATCTTATTAAACGTAGCAAAAGATTTCTTGACACATTACACTGATCACAATCAAGAATTTTTAATTTGTATAAAAAAAAACTTAACTTTTACATGGACAAATAATTTAACTTCATTAGTTACTTAATTAAATAACGACAATGACATTCTGTGCAATGGACGAGTGTTTTTTTCTTATTCAAATCTAATGCGCATGTACACATCGAATTATTCAATAAATATATTTCGAACGTAAAATGAATAATAAAGAGTAAACATAAATAATGCCTTATTTATTATATGCACATTTGACATAAAGTTCCAGCATCGTTTCAAGCGCCAGCATTTATATTATATTTCTCTCATCATTTAAGGCATATTTAGTATTATATGCTGTAAAATGCATCCGATAACCATATCATATATATTTATCTATATATTTTTATAATTCACAACAACATATACTTGTTAGCTTTTATTTTCTTTAAGCATCTTGCACCACGAGTTACAAGTTACTTGAACCGCACACGTACGTGCAATTGCAGTACCTTGACTCAATCAAGTACTCTTTTGCGATCGCATTTATTTTGTTTTTTTAATCATTTTTACATGTAAATAGAAACAACTTAACCGCTTCGAAAGTATTCGTGTATACTCAGTTGGTATGACTAATTTAACTAAATCACATACCGAAATACTAATCGTTACCATAAAAATAACATAAAATCAATGTGTACAAACGAGTTTTACAATAAAAATATATATATATCGTATGTATACATTCATAGACTGTGCATTTCTTTTTTTTCTTTTTTTTTTATTGTATGTACATTTGTAAACTAATCTAGACATTTTCGTTACTTTTGGTTTTTTCATATAAAATAGATGGATTTTTTAGCTCACCCACGCGAAATATTTCTATATATTTTTCTTTTTGCATATACATCGATAAGTGAGAAAATATTTCGTACCATTTTATTATTACAAACTCCTCTTTTTGAAAATCATTGCTAAGTCAAGGTTTGACGGACCGTATCATTAAATTTTGTCATTTTGATAAGCAATTTTTTTCACAAGTTATTCAACTTCACATATTATTATGAAATTGAGAATATTTTTTTGTAACAACTAATTAATAGAACATTATTATATCTTTCAATAATTTATTTATAAGCTTTTTAGGATTTTCCGTATTCATTATTATAAAAATCTCAGCAGTCTTATGACAAGTAAAATTTTTTAATATTTTATAGTCCAGTTGAACATAACAAACCTGTACGTTACAAAAAGTTTTTTTAAATTTTCTTAAAAATTTTTGAAAAGTAAATTAAAAATCGTAGCCAATTGGTTTCAAACAATTAAAAGTTTGAAATAAGTAACATGATAGATTTTAATTATCACTCGATGTCTGTCTATTTCAATTATGAATTCGATTGTAGAACACACTCTTTTTACATTAACTATATTTATTTCCATCTTACCAATGCTTTGCATTAATAATATTAAAAGTAGAAACATCATAATTTAATTGTTTCATTGCTACTTTAATTAATGATTATTTTTCTTTGACTCAATTCAAATTTTTTAATACATTTTATTAATTATAATCATTAGTCAGTCAAGGCAAAAATCTGCATTAATTTAATATTATAATATAATTACTATGTTCGTAGTTTATCAATATTTTTTTCGTGTAGAACTTTCTACCTATATGTTACTTTCTGTTTTTTAAAAAAAAATTACCCTTAACACGTAATATATTTCTCTTTAAACTATTTACAATGAATCCTATTGTACAGTGTTCAATATGCAATAATTTACATTTCTTGGAATAACAAAAGCGATTATTACTCAATCTTCTGTTATGACTAATTTACTAAGCACTTAAACGTGTTTAATGATTTTATTAAGAATAACGATTTTCCTCGCAATAAATTGGTAATTATATTACACAGGCTTTGTTTTATATTATTATTTTTAAATATATTAAAACTCGATGGACACGTTTTTTTTTAATCAATTATTGAATTTGCAGGCGTCGGTGCGAGCTTATTGTGTACAAATCCAATATCAATTCGCGAAGCTTATACACATTTAAAAAAAAGAAATCGAACAGTCATGTTCAACGAGCTATAGACAATATGAAATGAAGTCTGGCGTTAAACCAACGATCGAAAATGCTTATATTGTGTATATTATATGTGAGACAGAATAAGGAATAGTGACGGTTAAACCATAAAACATATTCATAATGCAATTGCTGGCTAATGAATTCGTTAATCTGCCTTTGGTAAATAAGATTCGTTAACAGCTTGATTTTAGTTGGGCTCGACGTTCTTATACATTTACGTGGTATAAAAACGGAGTTAAGTTTGCTGTATATACGTATAATAATAAAATTTGAAAGGAAAAAAAAACTGACGTAAAATATGTTTTTCATAGAGAAAAATATTTTGAAAATTAATCTTAACGTTATTGTAACGAGTACTGTTCATTAACATGTACTTATATTATTTAGTAGTAAACAGTAGATGGCTTCGTCGAATAATATAATTTGTTTGTTTATGTATATCACAAAATAATGCCTCTGAACGAGGCACGCATTGATCAACAGTAAAGTTCTTTGAGTTACACTACCGCAGTAGGCAATGGCAATAGCGAGACTCGATCAAAGATTTGAACTCTCAGACGTTCGAGTGATTCGGCTCTGTGAGATTGAATTATTTTCCTTTGGTGACGATGAGCTTGTCGGTGCCGTTGATGATGAAGATCCACCGCCAATGGCAGAGCCAACTACGGTACCAGGTGTTGTTCCCGTCGTAGTCACTTGCTTCGGCACATTATTCGAAGAAGCAAACGGCATTGCGAATTTGAAATCCGAGCCATTCGGCAGTTTTCGCATGATTTTACCGGACGTAATAAGTCGACCAAAGCCTTCCTGGTGAGCAAAAGCGTAACCTGAGCGTAACGATCGTCGCGTGCGCCTCGTCGATGGCGTACGAAGTATGTCTTGACTCTGCCGCGAACGCATCTGTGCGAGTCTCTGCTTCAGTCGTACACGATCCGAAAGTGTTGGTCTCACGTCGATGAAGAAAAATCGCCACGAGAGCACTGGTATCACAAGCATTATTACCGATATTACTGCCGTAAACCAAAATGTTGCTTCCGACATCGCCTGCAAAATGATATAATTTCATTCGATAAATTATCTTTTTAATAAAATTAAATGATTCAGATAAATTTAAAGTACCATCGTAAGACTGCCGACATAACTGCCTCCAATGACAAAATTATAAAAGTAATCTAGGATAAAATACCAGATAAGAGAACCCCACACCATGAAATGGTTGATGATGGTCCAGTATGAAGTATCGAGTGCAATTTGCACTGTCACAACTATTACTAATATTGTTGCTACTACACTACCCAACAGCATATGGTCCGAAAGTACATAGCCTTTCGGTGAAACTCCATCTTTATATGTGCCTGTTGTTGTAAGAGAAGAAAAATTTATTTAATATCATAATAAGTCATCTTAAAATCATAAAAATACGCAATTTACCATAGGGCACCAAAAAAAGTACACAACTGGCAAAGAATCCGTGAAGAGCACTCCAACAGAATTCTTTTTTATTGAATAATAAATTCTGATGACCCGGTGTGTATAACTTTGGATACATTAAGCTATTTTTATCGTTCACATCTTGATCAAATATTCCAACTGCCAAAACGGGCAGTGATGTGTAAAATAAATTGTATACAGAAATGTACATTGGATCGAAAACGGTCTAAAAGAGAATGAAGGAAATGAAATTTGCAATGTTTTTCATAAATTCTGATTATATTTATTTATTCATTTTTAAAAAATGCCCATCAGATAAAATTTGAATTCACAGACTCAAGTACTCGACCATGGAATTCCATAAAGTATCGGTTCCTTGCAAACAATATACATACGTAAAAGAGGCGAATGAGAGAATTTCGAGAAGAATATTCACACGAAACAGGGAAAAGAGAACCAACGCATTTCACTGCTTCAAGTGCAATTTCAACTCGAAATTCCGACATCCATTCTCAACGATTTACAGCATACGTGCAAGAAGATCTCGGCCCTTACTTCACTCAACAAGGGAGTACCGAGAATCATATTCGCCTTATTTATCATCATTTGGGCCAAATATTTTAGGAGACTTGCTTCAATCACTCACCTGTGCGCTAAATCCACAAAAGAAAGCGAACCAAATGTGACATAGGGTGAATGCAAAGTTCTTGTAGAAGAAGTATCTAAGAAACTTGGACATTCTGTAATAAGACCATCGTCCGTGAACCATCAGCAGACGCTCAAGAAATCGGAACTGCCCAATCGAATAGTCTGACGCTAAAACTGCCTGCAGTCCTTCTTGCCCGCTAATACCAACACCAATATGAGCTGTCTTGATCATTGAAACGTCATTGGCTCCGTCACCAATCGCCAATGTCACAGCTTCTTTATTTTTTTTTACTAGCTCGACTACCATGGCTTTTTGCAAGGGTGTTACTCGACAACATATGACGGCTTTACCTGCACAACGATCAAAAAATATCATAATACATAAAATGGCTTGAATAGGCTATTCTCGAAGTAAAAATTTGTGAAATTAGACTTATACGCACATTGACTGGAGACATCCATGAAAAGTTGCTCCATTTGCGGATGAAGCGCGTGCACCAGCGAATGGCCGTTAATGACGATCGCAAAGCCTGCTTGCGTGTCGTTGTCGTGCTCGTCAGCCTCCTCGCGGGTCTGGTTGTACTCGGTGTCGCTGCTACATATTACGGAAAGACCATACCTTTAGATTGGTAAAATTATCGAGCGCTCCTTTCTCATAAGTGCGCCGCTAATTTTTACTCCCCAGCAGCAATATTCATAAATTTAGCTTGCCTTTTTTTCAAGCGCACCAAAAGCCATAACGTACTAATGTATGCGCGCAAGAGCAGCTCGTTTTTACACTGTGCATACATTTTCATAAACACATATATTCTTAGATAAATTACTAAATGTTTATAAACGAACACAATTTATGAATATGCTTCTGTGGCTTATAAACATATGCAATGAGAACAAATTGTTATTTCATTGATAATAATAAATATTGATAAGATTATTTATATAAGCAGACAGAAAGAGAAGGAGTGAGTATCAAGCACTGATATTTATAATGAATTATTATTCATTAATTATTGATTTATTCTAAAAAGAATTACAAAAAATCTTCATGAAAGGGTCATAATTCATTCAAAAGTAGTTTTCAAGTGTTTGGCTAATGTGAAAGTTAGAATAGTGGGTTTTCTAATGTTTTTAGGTATATCTATTCTAAAATTGAAAGATGTGCACAAAAATTTGGAAAAAAAATAATTCATTTTCCTCGTGACTCAGGTGATGGATCAATATTTAAAGAAATATTTCACCTTAAAATAATACATGCAAATATTATTTTGAGTTGCTATCAAGAAAAATAATTCATTAAAATAGATATTTTAAAATGGACTATAACTGAGATAATCGCACCAAAACCAACCCGTGTGTGTTGTATGCCATAAGCTTGGTACACGTATATAGACGGGCTATAAACAAAAACTACGCAATTTTCCATTGTAAAAAATACAACCGATCCTCATAAGTAATTGTGTGTCCTATTAACCCGCGAACCAACAGATAAGCGAGTAAACTTGAGGAAATTATACTAAAATACTTTGTAAGTGCTACATTAAATTGTGTATAGTTTTAGTGTATAAAAATGTTTACATACAAATTGAGTTGTTTTCAGTTATGGTTATGTAACGTATGTATTGTTGCAAGAAGGGTTAATTTGTAATATATAAAATACAACAATAAAAGATTTTTGAAAAATACGAACTTCAAGTTATTGATACAACGGTCAAGTTATTGATAATATAACGAATAATATATAAAATTGAAAAAAAATATTCAATTCAACGAATGCAAAATACAGCGAGGTAATTATGTAAACAATAATAAAGTATAGGAAGAAAAATCTTAGGGATACTCCGTCTCTTTCGTATTTGCTCTGACCTTTCCTTGTCCCACCTGAATGTGACAATGGAGAGTGTCGGCCTCTTTTGCTGATTTGAGGAGGCTTTTATCGTATCGAGGTACCGTGTTAATTGCGTCTCGACGCCGTCGTACGTAGTAGCATCTACGATAAATACATCCGTCAAATCGTCTGTGAGTAGCTGGCACGAGTAACCGATGTTTATCGCCGTTTCTGTTAGCAAATATTTAGGTATCAAAATTCGTCCGCTTGGAACTTTATTAATGAAATGAAAAAAGGTCATACCTTGCTTATCGCCAGTAAGCACCCAGAGCTTTATGCCAGCTAAACCGAGATTGGCAATAGTTTGGGGCACGCCGTCCTGCAGCTTGTCTTCAATGGCCGTTGCACCTAACAACGTCATGTCTTTTTCGATCTCCTCGTAAATGGCGTCGAGTTTGTCGTCCTTGTTTTCGTGACTCATGGCCGCCTCTTGGTGACGTTGTTTCCAGTCATTGAAGAATGCCTCGTCCAAGTCTTTCGTTGACAGACACAGAGTGCGCAGACCTTCGCCAGCGAATTTGTTCAGATGCTCCTGAGTTTTTGCCATTATTTCCTCGCTGCCAGCCTTGACTCTCTCATAAATAACGTTATCTGCACCCTTGCAGTACAACTTTAGCTGTCCGTCTTTCCTCAGTATGACTGACATTCTTTTTCGCACATTATTGAAATCGAGAATGCAAAGCAACTCGTAAATCTCGCGTTTGCCCATGACGTCGATGGTGATACTATTGGGCGATCTTTCCCTGAACACAAAGCCGAAATTCCTCGCTGCCGAGACCAAGGCAGCCTCGTCAGGCGACTGCGCCTGATACTCAAGATTTCCCGTTTTGTCCTCTGCCATCACCGTGTGGCAAAGCGCGAGAAGACGGAAGAAGCTGTGGACGTCTTCGTTGTCGCTACGCACAGCTTCCAGTAAACTCGAATCGTAAAACTTGAACTCAGGCTCATAATCCTTATTGAAGGAGAAATCCAACGACGGCACCGTCTAAACGTCAATATGGACAAAAATATCATTATCAGTCGAGTTTTGCTAAATTAAAGTATCAATTACATAATATTATATACAATATTCCCATTTTGATAATATAAGATGGAATTAGCTTCGAAGCGTCGGTTTAATTTTCGCTTACAAGTCAGCAAATTTAAATCGCAACCTAAGCTTCTTTTTTTTACAATGATCCCGTAACATTACTGCAAATATTAATGGATTAAATTTGCAAATACAACTATTTAATAAAAATGAAACTTATATAAGTACAAATCGATGCGGTTACACAAGAAAAAACACCGGTAGAGTATGTCAAAAACCCATGCTTACATCCCCTAAAATGTTTAATACATGAAAGTTATGCATAATATTTATAGTTAATATAATACATGTATTTATTGTTAAAATGATACTCCACTGTAGATTTTAATTATATCCTACAACCATATGACGATGCGAGAAAGTTGTGTATGAAATTAAGACACAATACATCAAAGATATTAATGTTACATGAAGCAACGAGGGAAGAAATTTTTGTTTATGTGTATGTTTGTGTCCGTAAATACGTAGCCTTGAATCATTGCCATTGAAACATGAACTTTATACACCATGAAAACATGCATGAAAAATTGTTTTTTTTTTACAAAATAGCATGGGCATGCACTAAAAAACAAAAAAGCTCATTTCAAGTGCGTTTATATGGTAGATTGCTAGGGTGAATTCTTTTTTAATATTAGCATGCGTACTGAGCGTCTCATTGGATTCTTCAAGATTGGATTACTACTGCCGTTGAGTATTCCCGCTGGTAGGGTTGCAGATTTCACTTGTTGTTTTTGTTGATGATGATCCAGTAAGCGATCATTCGGCCCACTCAGCTGCGTGTAAACCGGCCTAACGAAATCCTGGCCATTTTTCCATTTCATTGTTGCTGCCACCGATGGCATAGCAGAAGGGATAGCAGTGGTGCTCGTGGCAGTTGATTTGTCCGCCGTTGTCTATAATATCGTTTCTTATCATGCAAAAAACACGCACATAACGCACACGTGCCATGCTTCGCGCGCTTTCTACTACTACTCAAGTACTATTTTTTGCGTGTAGTAAAAGAATTTTTTTCTTTTTTCTTGATAATGAAAATAATTAAATCGCTGAGAAGACAATACGGTTTATCGTGTAAGCAGTGCATTTAATATTAAATAAAAAGTATGTCATCTAGTAAAGTATTGTTGTGAAATAAAACAAATGCATCGTTCACGCAGCATATTTTTCATTCGTAATCGAGGGTGAAAGTTTTACTTAATCAAAGGCAGCGTTGGCTGAAACTTACCCTGATTTCTGTGAGATCAATGACTTCACCGGTGACTTCGTCGATGACGTCTCCGTAGCATTGGCCAGCGATGGAGCACTTATTGAAGGTCATAATGTTCTGCGTGAGGGTGCCAGTTTTATCGGAAAATATGTACTGTATTTGGCCAAGCTCCTCGTTGAGGGTAGTGGTGCGTGCTCGTGCGTGAGTATTGGTCGGCGCGTGATACATCTCCTCGTCCCAATTGATGAGGAACGACTGGACGAATCGAATGACCTCGACGCTCACGTACAAGCTGATGGGCACCACCGTGTTGAGGACAATGGCGTAAGAGAAAAAAACGAGTAGGGCTATGACCGTAGCGCCGGCCAGCGGCTCGCTAGGTACCAACGAGTCCCACGGCAGGTACACCTGAAAGTAGCGGCCCACCAGGCTCTCCCAGATGCCGCAGCCGATCATGCAAAACAGGCAGAGGCTGAGCAAGAAGAGGACGATGCCGATTATGAGGAGATTGAGCAGCCGGTCGATCGACGTGCGCTTGAACTTGCTCTTGCCCGAGTTCTGCATGAGCTTCGTATCTTTGCCAGCAAAGATCACGATTCCGTAGCACCACTGAGTGTTGCGCAGCACGCAACCGCGCAGGATTACCTTGTCGTTGTCGAGGATATACTTTTTGCCCTTCCACGTGAGGATGCCGTCGAATTTGTTCAACAAATTGTTGGGCGTCTCGCAGATTATCTCGCCATCGAAATTTCCGATCAGCTCGTGATTGTCCATCATTTCGGCAGTTTCTTGCAAGCACTGGCGGCATTTCAAGTTCGTCTCCCTGCGCAATGACAAAATAAAAACATGAGCAAAGGAAAAAAAAACTGCACTCTATTGATGCATTGGCGTCGACACCAACCCATCCAACTCGGCCGTTTCGATGTAGCACAGTCCGTTTGGTTCGCTCGTAGTGAGCAGGAGAACGTCCGCCGCGACGAATTGGTCGTTCTCCATGCGTATGACGTCGCCCACCTGGACTTGCGACCATTTTTCTTCGCGCAGCTTCGTGCCGCGCAGTGTCCACGACTTGCGATTGTTCACCTGCGAGTCACTGCTGTGTCGTTGCTGTAACAAAGGTAATGGTTTTTTATTTATCATTCTTCCTTCGGGGCCACGTGCTGTCTTACTTATCGATACTTACAAAATCATCATAGGCATCTTTGACGGCAGTAAGTGTGAGTACCCCGATCAGAGGTATAGCTGTAGTCACTGGGGTGAGGGATGATATGGCGGGTATCAGTTGAAGCACCAGCAGGCACAGGAAGTAAAAGTTTGCCAGCCTTTGGAATTGCTCGAACAAATTCAGTGGCAGGAACGTCAGAACTGAGTACTTGGACGTTTTGATGTAATTGTTCTGCAACAAAAATAAAGAGTTAAACCATTCGAATCACAGACCTCTATTATTTGCTACGCATTATTCTCTATATCTTACCGCATAATTGAATTGCAAGTTGTACTCGCGATTATTGGCGCGAATTCGCCTTTCTGTCTCTGTAAAGGGCAGCGCAAGAAAAATATTAACAAAATCATATCAAAATTTAGTAAAAAGTTCAAGTAAACATTTTTGTCAGCTAAACGAGGCGATACGCATACTCTACCATGAAATAGATACATAACTATTAGTTGCGCGTTCTGATAACATTTTTTAATCGGGAATTTATATCGAAATGAATTCAAAAATTAATTGCATTGTTGTTTTTTAAAAGTAATGTACTTAAAAATAAACTTGTGGCAAACTTATGGATGAAAAATGTTGTGCCAAAAATCGTAAATATAAACAAAACAAGAGGAAAGCCTTGATAAAAGTAAATGACAAGTTCAGGAGCAAGGTGCATTTATGTTTGTATGTAAAATAAGATAACTCGACGCCTTTAATTTGAGCGAGGTAAAGCGATATTCGCTTCCTTGTCGCGGCTCGACTCGCATAGAGCAATGGTTAGGGCAGCGTACGATGACAATCCACTTAGTTAATGGAGCCTCAAACACGAGCGCACATACAGATTCAAGAGGGAATATTGGATCGACGCTCGCACAGCCTGAAAATAGCTCTAAATGCATAGCTAGGCTATTTTTAGATGTGATCGGGGGTGTAGTTACTTGGGTTGATTCTTCGAGCACCCCGTATAAGTAGATTTATCGGAGGAAAAAAAGACTGAAATGAAATAGAAAAGATCGATGTAGGTGCGATAGTCATGCTTACTTCGCGAATCATCACCAGACGAGAAGAAACCGCCGCTGCGTCCGATGCATTCGGTCGGGGGCGGCGAGCTCGGTGGTATCGAGCTCGAGGACGTCGGCGTGGGCCTGTATCGGGTGCCCTTCCAGACGACCAGCTTGCCCAGCACCGAGAGCAAACTGTTGCGCAATCGGCTGTGACGGGCACCGGAAGCGGCGCCAGCGGTCGCGCTCGACGTTTGGGTCGCGGCGCACCCGGCAGTGAAGCTACTGCTGCCGGCGGCCGCGAGACCCGCTCCGCTCGCCGCGCCGATGCTGCTCGAGGCAGAGTCGCGTTTCGACGAGTACAGAGGCGCCTCGCCCGAACAGACCTCCTCGAGGCCCGAGTCCCTGAAGGAACAGCCGGCCTGTGCCGATAAAGATCGACGTTGATGACGCTGCTGTTGCTGCTGCGGCTGATGATGCTGATGATGATGGTGGTGATGGCCTCGCGAACTCGACACCGAGCCGAGATCTCGGGGGTAAGCGCCGGCCGCGGACGAGGAGGTGGAGGACGAGGTGAGGCCAGCGAGGCAGCAGGCCGACGAGGCGGTCGAGTCCTGCCTCTTGTGCTGCTTGGCGCTGCCTCGTCTGCTGCTGCCGCCACTGCCGCCGCTCGACGACTTTTTTCTTCGCCGGAGCTTTTTGCGCTTTCGTCTGGCCCCACCGGCGCAGCCCAGTCCACCCGCGCTCACTTCCTCCTCGTCCTCGTCGTCCTCGTCGGCCTCGGCCGCCGCTATCGCCGCCGCTACCGCAGCCGTTTTGGCGCGAGCGGCCGCGCGCTGATGCCGATGCTGCTCCAAGACGTCTTGGTCATCGTCGTCCAAGTCGTCGTCGTCGTCCGTGATTTCGGGCGTAGCTCGACGCGCTATCTTGCTGTGTTGCTGCGGCTGACTTTTGCCGCCGTTCGTGACGGCACCGCTCGCCGACGCGCACAGCTCCGACTTGGGAGTTGCCGCGGCTTCGCTCATAGACAGGCAATCGTCGCTCTCGCATCGTACCTGTAATTTTATTTCATCAGTTTTAGACAAAGAGTCGGAAAAATCAAGGGTAATAGGATGGCTTTCGTAGTACCTCAAAGAGCTCGAGCTCGAGGCTGTCGCGTTGATGATGGTGTTCGGCCTTTTGAGCGTTCATCATCGTACGAAGCTGCGGCTGCTGCTGCGGGGCAGGGGCACCTGGGGCTCCTGGGGCTGGCACCTCGTGCACCGCGGCGGCATGAAGGCTCCCGCGGGCCCGGGCTTCTGCCCCAGAGCTACAGCTAATGCTACAACTTTGTCTTCTGATGCTTCTACTGTTCCTTTAGCTGCTGCTGCTGCTGCTGCTGCTTCGGCTGCCGCTGCTGATGCAGATGAGGCATACGTATCCGACAGCATATTAATTTTATAACCACGGAGCACGATTGTCGGGTTGACAGAGTCTTGGATCGTTCATAGGGGGGGCGGATGGCAGCAGCTCGACGTCGTTCCAAAGGCGCTCGTTCCAAGGGAGGACAGATATTAGAATATAGCGTTAATCTAACTGGCCACCGCTCCCGAGGACGTTTCACGCGCCGACATGCTGCAGAGGCTCGAAGCGATCAGGTCGCTGTGGCCTACGCTACCGCTGCGCTCGTCTTCTTCGAAAGCCATACTTGCGGTATATTTAATATGAACGAATCGCTCGTCGAGGCCTCGACCTTCTCCGATGCTTTGAGTAGAATCCGCAGTCCGCGGTTCGCCGCCGCCGCTGATCTGCGCGCTCCGCTTCTTTCCTCTTCTAAGCTCGACGGCACTGATGACGACGGCGTTCCAAGTGCGCGCACTAAGTCACACACGCGCAATACATACAGCCTTGGTTAGTCGTTATTTCGCACAATACTACATACTGTAAAAATGAAAATGTCGCATATTTTCTACACGCTGTTGCCACACTGGTTTTTTTATCTCGGCCACGTTGGTGACTTTTTTTTCGCGCGAGTTAACGCATCTCGAAAGTTAGAGGCGAAAATTACACGGCGTCGGCCGAGGTGTTAACTCGACTTAGCGCGGAAGTTTAAATACTTCAACAAGTCGAATAGTAGAGCAACTTTTAGTTAACGGACGCGGACGAGTTGGAAATGAAACGTTGCCGCGGGTACGCAAAACTGCGTGGGCGCACCACCGCTGCACCTATAGCATGTAAACAAATACGCCTTAGACAGCGTGGAAGGGGCTTTCGCTCGTGTCAATGTGTTTGCACTATACCTGTGTAACTATATTTGTTTGTACATTATACAGCTGCAACGCAAATGTGGAAAATAGTCCGTGACGCGAGCAGTGCGCCACGACGACGATGCTCGACGCCACATTCTAGTCTATCTCGATAGTAATATATATAAGATACGCGCACGTTTAAGAATGTCGGAGATGCTTCGCGCAGCTCTCCTACATTATACACATTTTTTTAATTTTTTTTACTTCCACTCGTTGGCTCGGCCCAACCACTTGGAATTTCTTTATCAACGTTTTTATCCTAGCTCCGCCAGTTGTGCACATCGAATGATTCGCATTTCCCGCGCGCAGCTGCTATTATTATTAATTCAATGCAAATATGCACGATTTCCTTTCTTTCGCTTGTTTTCATACACGTCTGACGTGTGCGCGTATAACATTTAATGATTTTCATCCAAGTACGAAAAGGGCACGAGTTTTCTTATGCACATGCTTTAGTCGCGTCTTTACACTATTAAGAACAGACTACGAGTGCACGCATACGCCTGAAAACTGGCTTACTCTATAGCACGTCGAAAAAAGTTACAGCTCGGCGAGCACCGACTCGTTGGGCTAATTTTTTATTTCGTTCTCTTCAAGTTATTATGAAGAATTTTAAAAAAAACTCATCGCATGAGATTAGGATTTCTTAGTTTGTTGCTATCTCTGTGTGTATGTGAGTGGATATGTATGCGATCGAGCGAATCTGCGGATACGTGTGCGAGTAAAGCGAGCTAGCGGTCGAGGCCTTGACTCACCGGCCAAGAAAATTATGTCAGTAGGCGGTTATATAGGGGCTACATATGCAGCAGAGCATAAGCAACATTGCTTACGCGCGCGCGCGACGACGGCTTTGCAAGAAATGTCGAGAATTATTTTTTTTCCAATCTTTTCAGCTGCAAAAAAATTGCAAGATTTCTAACCATCCTACGCATTATTACGCGTGCAGAAATTTCGGAAAATCATCCCTGAATCGGCAGTTACATTAATATGTATCGTTGTGACCAACTATATATTTTCAAGAGAGTGGAAAAAAAAGAATTCTGCAAAGTCGATATACACAACATCGCTCGAATAACAGAATTAAGCGTACTCCTACAACTTTCTGTTTTCTGCTAAATGAATCGATTTTTCGACAAATCTAATTGCGTGCGCAGACGAAATTGCTTGTCCACTTTGCAAAAGAGTATCTGCATATTTTTCTCGTTGGAAACAAATCCAACTTTTGATTGCTCTCGAGTACAAATGTAAGCCAAAAGTTTAGTTATGATTATAAACGGAAAGAAGCTTCATAACACGGCAAAGATACATTTTACTGAAGAAAGAAGCTTTTTCGAGATAGCAGAGTCTATACAGTGAGCAGGTTCGATAAACAAAAAAAGGAGGGTAAGTCATCGTACGTGTGAGCTTCTTGCAGCACAGACACACTTTATTCTAGAGTTAAGAATGCGCCTTTCATTTATTATTATTATTACTATTACTTAAACGTTTTTTCAGCACGAATTCAATCACTCCACGTATATTTTATTTACAATATATAGTCGCGTGCGTGAATGTCTATAAGACTGGTCGACAAGAATAGGCTTGATTAAAAAAAGAGAAGTTTGTAGACATTAAATTTGACGTAAAAAAATTTAATAGTTTATTCTAAAACAAGTCGATTCCAGCTATACAATATGAAAATTTCAAAACGAAATGTATCAAATATTGCTATACACGCTGGCAAGACGTTTGCATGTGTGAGTGAGTATTAATGTACTTTTGTGCAGTCTCATGGTCGCAAGCTCGCCGCGTAACCAAATTATTAGTTTAATCCTGACCTTTTATAATCCATGCTTTTTCTATCTCTCTTTTACTTTCACGTTCTATATAGATATTTCGATGTATATTATTCTGGAAGATTTGTCACGAGCTTTATGATATTATACGGTATTTCGAAGGACGACATCGTCGCCCTGTTTGTGTAATTGTCACGCCCTCGTTAGAAAATACGTTTTTTTATGGAAGTAAAAAAAAGTTAAGCACTTGAATCCTCGTGAACATTAGCATGTAGTTAGGGATCTCTTGGTGGGTCGTATTAAAACACTTACTGGATTTAAACGTAATATTTTACTTATTTATTTGTTCAGTCTTAGAAATAGGCCATGTAGTTTTATCGCCTCTCTCTCTCACTTGCGCGTTTGCGTAATTGTTGCTCATTTCTCTCTTTCCAGCCGAGTTGCAAACTCCAGTTTCAAAACAAATCAACGTCACAAAGTGCTGTGCGTCCTTTTTTTTTAATGAAAAAGCCAAAGCTTTTTATTGCGTTCAGCGCTAAATCACATGTGGTTGAGGAATGCGATAAGAAGAAATAAATATCGAAGCGCAGTTGAAAAGTTTTTCGAAAAAAACGTTAGTTCTGGGAATTGTGAGCGAAGGTCAATTCGTAACTTCAGTTCAAGTGCCTTCAAAAACGAAGAATCTAGAAAAGCATTTCTTTTTTCTTCTATAAGTGGGCACAAATCTAACTTATCGATTTCATTTTGCATACTTTTTCTAGCCAATGATTGTTGAAACCAAAAAAAGCTCTGCTCGATATTGTGCAAAGGATTATAGGATATTATTTTTTAAAAAGTTCAGTTGAAATGATCCAAAATTATACAAGAACGCAAAAAACGTGAAAACCATTTTTCAAGCCAGAGGAAAAATTTACATTTTCGAACGTGTGGGTACTAATATTCTTAAAATCGCAGTTTATAGAAAAAATTCTTTATGCTCGGCAACAGAAAGAAAAATATCACGCGGAATATCCGTCGGAGGCCAATCGAATTTTATTTTTTAAAGTTTTGCAGTGCAAAAATGTCGAGGGAGCATATTATAACCTGCTGCGCTCTTGAACGACCTATAATTCCTTGCTTCATAGATGCTTTCGTTGAAATAGCGAAAATTCCAAATATTATTTAATAATACACTTTCTACTGGGAGCCACGCAGCATTGGCAAGTTTGGGAGAATTTTATGCCGTCGCATGCGCGGCGTGTACGGCCACGCATACAGGAGCTTTTTTTACACTTGATCGAACTCAGCTTGCTCTTTCCGCGCTCGGGGGATCGATCCATCATCATGACCCGGACGCGTGTAGGGAGGCATTTGGTCAATAGGCGAAATCTTTCAGAAACAATTTTTTCTCCGCAGCATTTCAAGTTTTTTTACCAAAAGTAATAAAAAGAGAATTTGTTATTGTGGCTAATCCAAGCCCTTTTCAAATAACGAATTCGAATATAACAAAAAAGTTCATGCTACTACTGCGCATTTGAACAAACAAATTGCAGTGGACACTTTCAATGAGCACGTCTCCAGAATTCACGATACGTCGTGTTCGCTCCAACCTAAATTGATGAATTCGTCTAACAATGCGTGAGATATTGAAATTCCGATCACACCGTGTTCTCCCGAAGCTTTTACTGTGCAAACCCGCGTAAAAAAAATTCACGTTTCGCGAAACTTTTGCGAAACTTAAAATCCGCAAGTTGATCTAAACTTCATATGAACTTTGGGCCATGAGACTCGCCAAACTTTGATTTCGGTGACTTCAAGTAGTGCAAGTTTGGCGAAACTTTCGCGATAGTTTCGCGAAAGTTTAATTTTCATTTCAAGCATTAATAAATAATAAAAAAAATTATTCATTTCTTAGCTTCCAGTGTAGGCTTAATGAAGAATTAGATAAGCGATTAAAACTTCGCAGGCATTTAAAAGATTTTTTTGTGTTAAAGATTTTTTTGGGAGAGTCCGCGGGTAGGATTTGAACCTGGGTCCTTGAGAGTGGGAGTCGTGAACGGTACCAATTGAGCCATGTGCGTAATTTACATTGGTCACAAAAATAAGATATTTATGAAAAAGTTATTATTGAAGCTGAAAACCAATAAAAAGCCAAATCAGACATTCATTAATTGTAATTTATAGTAATTTTTTAGTTTTTTATAAATATTTACGATTTTTCATATAAACAATTTTTGTTCGGGACATGCTACACTACTCAACAAAAGTATTGAAAAAAAAGTTTCATCAAAATGTTGTCAATTTTCAAATGCTTCTATCTATCTTTGTCTATATTCATCGTATCGAGACGAACTTTTTTTTGATTTCTTGGAAAAAAGTTCCAAGTTACAAAAAGCAAAGTTTAGCGAGTTGTATGAACGAAAGTTCGTACGAAGTGTATATTAACTGTGCGGAATGCAGAAATTTACGCAAAATGTACATTAAGTTTCGCGAAACTTTTGCTATCAATGGCTCTACGAAGATGTTAGTTTGGTGAGTCGTTTGGGCCAAGGTTTCTACAAAGTTTATATGAGTTTTACGGAATGTTTCGCAAAACTTATGCGAAACTTTCGCCAAACTTGCACAATCAATGAGTCCATGAAAACGTAAGTTTGGCAGAGTCTCACGGGCCAAAGTTCATATGAAGTTCATATAAGTTCGGCAAAATCGCCAAACTTAAAAAAAGTTCCGCGAAACCTAAATTTTTTTACGCGGGAAAGCTCTCCTCGCAGCAACAACTAACCTTAGAATTATAACAATTCAAGAGCAATTTCGA